GGAGCTGCTGACGTACAACATGACCACGAACGGCCAGTTCCTGTCGCGTCCGACGTGGCAGCGGTTCACGCTGTACGTTTGTCTGTGGCTCGGTGCCGGTCTGATGGCGCTCATCGGCAAGTGGGCCTAAGTGTGCATCCGCTGTCAAGTGAACGAACCTAAGGATGAATGAGGTATTTAGTGACTGTCGCGCTCAGCAGGCAGTGGATCATTATTCCTATCGTACAGACCGCCTTTGAGCGCTCGTGACTCTGTTTAACAACAATTTAATATGATACTCATGTTTTCAACGCATTCGTCTACATATTGAAGCGGAGCAGGCTCGTCGCATTCTCTTCCTCGTTGGCGCGAGGCACGCTCCTCCTCCGCCAAAGCGGTACATCATCGGTACTCGCCTCGCTCGCGATCTTTTGGTCTGCGTAGGGAAGCGCGCCCCATCAGCATCGAACATCGAAGCGGGAAATCATTTCGAGCGGATCCCAAGATGGCGGAGGTGGCGGAATCGCGCGTGCCGGACCTGGCGCTGGCCGTCGCGTGCTGGGCCGCGCTGTGGACGCTCATCCTGAACACCGTGCCGGCGGGCGCGCGCGGACGCAACCACATCATCACGCTCAACGCGGCGCACGGCGTCGTGTCGACGCTGACATCGACGGTCACGCTCTACTACGGGCTGGACACGACCATCTCGGTGGCGGTCTCACTCTCCTACTTCCTCGTGGACCTGGCGGCGATGGTGCACGCGGACGGACTGCGCAACCTGTTGGCGCTGAGGCAGTCGAGGCTCATGGACTACGCCCACCACATCTTTGGCTTGTACTGGGGCGTGGTGCTCTTCGTTAACGAGGCCACCGTGTGCGACGCGTCCTTCGGCAACGCTTACGTCTGGATGCAGACGAACGAGGTGAGCACGGGCTTTTATAACTGGTTCAGGCTCACGGACAGTAAGGTGGCCGGAGCCTTGTTCGCCAGCTCCTTCTTCCTGTCGCGCGTGGTGTTCAACACGGTCTACATCATCCCGCGGGTGACCTCCCAGTGCCAACCGCTGTACGTGCTGGGGTGCTCGCCGTTCTTCGTGCTGCAGTACGTTTGGTTCTACATGATTGCGCGCAAGCTCGTGTCCAGCGCGCCTGTGGCAGACCATGACAAGAAACACCAGCGTCAAAAAGGTGCTCCGATCACGGACGAGCACTCGACAGTGGTGGCAAAGAAGGAGGCTTAACCACGTACATCACAAACAAGGAGCCAAACGACGATGATCATCGATAGATTTAACGTACAGATCACGTGCGTGTTGGTTGCAGCAGGATAATTTTTGCATACCACTGAATCGACATCGGGAGGTTAAGTCTTTGCATGATGTTCGCTTCGTTAGCGTACTTGACAGCGATCACTCCGTCGTATGCCGATCGCAGCGTCTTGCAAAGCTGTGTCATTTCCATCAGATATTGCGACTGATTCCCCCAAGCGCTGCTTTCTTTCCAGCACAGTATAGGCTACCCGGAGCACTTGCTCCGGCAGAGTACACAGGTCGTCGGGTAACAGCAACAATAGTGAATTTGAATAAATGAAAAGAGAGGGAAGACTAGGAGCAGGTGGAGGAGATCAACTTGATCTTCAAGTGCTACGATACGGAGGGGAGCATTCGAGACTGGCCGGGTTAAAACTCCAAGTCTTGGGTCCTGGAGGAGAATTGGACACAGGACCCTTGGTATATATGCAGGTGTTGATTTCGGACAGTAGGTATCTTCTTGGAGGTCGAGTATGGTAATCGCAAACATGTTAGGTTCTACTAGAAAAAAATCGCTCCAAAGTACATGCAGAACTTATCCGCGTTCAAGAATGCCATTATGATGGTAGACTTTTTAAGTTACGAGACTCACCTCTTCAAACGCACATCTAGTGTACCGCCTTCTTGAATCGATTGTATGCTGCGAGCACGAGGAATTTCGGTAGTGTATACTGTGCCGGGAACTTTTTCAACGACACGTGATAATTACGACCATGTCGCCGTCGGATATGGTACAGTTTCCACAGGGGGTGCGTTCACCTGTACCGTACATGCCGACGGCCATGTTGCTATATGCTTCAGTACAATTTAGACGAAACCATTCAGTTTCCTTGGAACATGTATCCAATTGTTCTTGCTTGAGCCAGCAGTACTTACAAATTATAGTGATTTCAACCATGCAGTTTCCAATGACAGGTGAAGCAACTTGGTGATGAATCCATGTACATGCAGAAGTGCATCGAAGTCAAATCTCACGTCCATTCGATTATGTAAGCCAATACGAATACAATATGTACACAATTGGGATCCCAGCGCCGTCTCAGCACCAACTTGTCCGGCGGCGGCTGAGCCCGTACAGTTCGCCGACGGCGGGGGAACGCAATGCCCGGAAGCCAGTCGATACATGTACTGTAGATGCGTTCTTAACACGCTGAAGTTCATCCTGGTACTCACTTTTGAATTTGAATCCCACCAACTTCAGCAAATACATTTCAGTCCAGAGCCATGGCCGACGAAGAAACCTGCTGCGGCTGCGTCTCGCTTGACGAGAACGACTATGACATGGGCCTCCACATTGGCGCCATCTTCATCATCTTCGTCGTGTCCGCGGCCGGCACCATGATCCCCATCATCTCGCAGAAGATCCCGCAGTGCAAGGCCAACTCGGTCATCATGGAGGCCATCAGCGCGTTCGCGTACGGTGTGGTTATCGCCACGGGTCTGATCCACATGGTCAACGAGGGCGTCGAAAAGCTCAAGAGCGAGTGTCTCGGCTCGATTGTGGAGAACTACGAGAGTCTGGGTCTGGCGTTCGTGCTGATCACGTTGGTGCTGATGCACTTCATCGAGTGCGAGAGCTCGGTGTTCTTCGGCGCGCAGGGATCGATGCTCCACGGGCACGGCCATGCCCACGGAGAGGTGGTTATCCATGAGGCAGTTCTCACTCCCGAAGGTGCTGTGACCCCCCGCCCCGCCGAGCACCCGTACCACGATAAGTCCCTGACCCAGGCCGCGCACGACTCCAAGATCCGCCGCAAGATCGCCACGCTCATCTTCGAGGCCGGTGTCATCTTCCACTCGGTCATCATCGGCCTCGACCTGGGAGTGACCACTGGCTCCGAGTTCAAGACGCTGCTGGCCGCGCTGTGCTTCCACCAGTTCTTCGAGGGTATCGCCATCGGCACGTCGGCTCTGAGCTCCCTGGAGAGCAAGGGGAAGCTGTTTATGGTGAACTTTGCGTTCGCCGTGACGACCCCGGTGGGCCAGGTGATCGGCATCGCCATCCGCAGCACGTACTCGGACTCGTCGACGACGGCGCTGTGGGTGCAGGGCATCCTCGACTGCGTGGCGGGCGGCATTCTGCTGTACACGGGTCTGGTGGAGCTGCTGACGTACAACATGACCACGAACGGCCAGTTCCTGTCGCGTCCGACGTGGCAGCGGTTCACGCTGTACGTTTGTCTGTGGCTCGGTGCCGGTCTGATGGCGCTCATCGGCAAGTGGGCGTAGGTGAACCTTCGTCGTGAAGGATACATTGTCAGCTTTTGAAAACTGTCGCGCTGCTCCAGCTCTACAACTAAGCACTCAAACTTAGCACATTTATTTTGCTCTACTGTCGGCCGTTTTCGACGGCGTTGATGGTAAGTTGTTTTTACTGTAAGGAAAAAAAAACTTTCCTACGGTGTTAACTGGATCTGCTAGCCAACGTGCGGTTGGTATTGTCTCGCTCGAGTCCCTGCAGAACGCAAAAGGTCGTGGTGTGACCCACGGGGAAGGACACACACAAGAGGTCACTTGGGGAAAATCTGACGGCGCGATCATGCCTGGTATACGCATATTCCAAGCACCGGCACCGCTTGTGCTGGTGCTCCTGGTTGCTCGATGATTCGTGGATGTTGCCAAGGCTTATCCACTCGGACCCAACCGCTTCTTGGGCACTTGCCTCGACGCGACTTGGGTAGAAAGAATGGAACAGGAGCTCGGGGTCTCGAACCAAGATCGTGACTCCAATGGGCACCCACCCCATCCACCCGTTCTTGCAACCAGCACTCAAACATCCACGGTACACGGTAATACTTGCTTCCAAGTACTTGAAAAAGATGTGATGCAGCAAAACTAACACTTTGCGAATAATCACAAGGTTGATGATCCGCGTACAGCTTCAGAAATGGCGTTTTCGGACAATTGTATGGAATCGGGAACTGTTTTCTATGGCGCCGACCAAGACGATTAAGGTTCAACTCAAGGCGAGGTGGCAGGCACTCTTGTCTTGGATATGAGCGGCTGGGATACACACGCGCTATCCACGATGGTTTTGGCGATTCTGGCAGAAGAAGTGGTACGCGCACCATAAGTCATTGCTATCGCAACGCATAAATGTAACTTATGGCTTGTACGCGCAGGTTGGCTACAAAGTGTCCCTTAGCGTAGGTGGGTCGAGCTCGCGGATCACAGAGCGCATGTCATCAGTGAAATCGGGAGTGTGTACGCCTACCCACTTTAACACTGAAGTCTGGACTTCAACCACGATGGCAAGCTTGCGGACCTACCTTAACGAGAGTTACAGCGTTGGAGGAGTGGGGTATCACAGAACCTCGGGTCTCTATGTCTCACGTAACTTACTGGAGGAAGGCATTAATTCGAATCCGCCCTACTTTCCGGATTTCTGGAGGAGCTACAAGACAAGCGAAGCTCTAATTGATGCGCTCAGTGTGAGCCCTTTCAAGGCTAACTCCAAGTACTATCCTCCAGCTGAAAATATCTGCCCGGATGGTACGATGGGCTGCCAAGACAATTGCCAGAAAACGGAGGCGTGCGCCCAGAGGGAAAATGCAGGAAAAGAGTGTTTGGTCGTGGCGATGATGTATCCAAATTTTGATCGAGGGTACTTCCAGGCTGTCCTCTCCAACCTTGACATCCCGGTCTACTTTTGCTTCATTGGATATCAAGGCGTCAATCAATACGCATCAGATGCACCTGCGAGTGGTGAACCAGTGTTATTTTATCATTATGAGCCTGATATTTTTCATGTAACTCACGGGGGGCATTTCGAGCGTGTGTTCTTGCCGAGAACCGATCCAGAACGTGTGAAGCTGGCTAGTTTGGTGAGCATGGCTACGGCCAAAAGACTGACGATCCCGTGAATGTGGATTATCCGAGTCTACCACTTTTGAAATTTGCCGCCTCCATTGTCGAAGATTTGCCTATCGGCTCGTTGTTTGCCAGATTCACTCTTTCAGACTTGGACATCCATGACCTTCTAAGTGAGTACAGCAATGCCACGAGCGACTCAGTACAAGAAGAACCCTACTTTCGTGCTGCTTGCAACTGGATAAAGGATAACTACGAGGTTTGGACCGAGTGGATTGACCGGCTTCCATTATGCACGTTTGAGGAGCACGTCGTCACTCGTGTCACCGGCTGCGAAGATGGCAGCAGTGTACGTCAGATCGAGTTTGAATGGAAGTCACCAAATCCAGAAAACCCACTACTCCCGTACGACTGTAATGGTGGAATGATATCTTTACCTGCAACCGTCACTACTACCCGCTCCTGTGACTGGATCCGTGATAACTATCGCGCAGGCTCTGGTTGGGATAGTTCAAAACCTACCTGCGACTCAAGCTTTTACGACCACAGCATTTCTGCCTGCAAATCGAATGGATATCAAACGATTCGATACTTTTGAAAGCTTCCAGATGCTGCGAATGATCGACTATCATCAGAATGCACGGGTGGAGATACTTTGCCGAACCCTTCGCGAATCAAATGTGAATTCGGGCCGCGATCGGTGCAAAGCTGTACGGAATTTTGCGGAGCGTGGCAAAACACCAATTCGACGCGGGGGGCATTCTCAGGTTCTGATGACCACTGGTTGGATATCAACGTGGCTTTTGTGAACAATCTGCCACGAACTTCCGGGGGATTCGATTCAGTTGTGGTTATTATGGACTTTTATTGCGGATTACCTGCGGTTCTTCCTACGGCCTCGCCAAGACAACTGGGAAGACTTTTTGCAGGTTGCGGAAGACATTTACAACTCACGCCGTTCATCGGCACCAGTGTAATTCTAACGGTCTCGCCATCACCCACTGACGGCGTCAATGGTAGCTAGTGGTTGTCACCGCACCATGATCCATCACACCACTATAACACCAAATAACCTCGATGCATACGCTCAACTTGAAAGCAAGTTGCGCTTGCGTTGAATGAATAAGCAAAAAAACTAAACCAGCCTGCACCTTGCCTTTGCGAAGCACTTGATGTCCTGTACATAATGAAGAGTGATGATCATGTTGAAGCGCGCGAAGCGTCGCAACAGCGTGCAGGACCAAGATGCCCGAGTATTTGGAGATGACGACACCCGAACGAGAAAGCGCGGTGCAGGCGCGAGTGGAAGCGATGGACGTGGTGCGTGCTAAGATCGGGTGGCTGGATGCTTTGTGGCGGGGCCCGGGGCTGATTTACGGTGTGTAGGCCGAACGTGAACAGGAAGAGGCCATTCGAGTGGAAGACAGTCCGAATAAATGTATGAATACTGGCACATATCGAAGGAAACAGAAGCAGTGTTCATTGTGAGTGGTTGGACTGTGTGCAGACGAGAGTATGCCCAAATTTGAGGCAAGAATCAGCAGTCGAGGCAGTGACGGCTTCAGTCCTGACAAGGGCATGGAGGCGGGCCGGTCTGTTGCTCACGTGTACGTACCGACTCTCCAAGAGCGGGTACACGTCTCCATGCTGGGGCCCTTTGGCTTGGCTCTCGAGCTCATCAACTTCGCACTGAGTATGCTCATCTTCTTCGCGTACATCGCTGAGGTACGTGCAATCGGATATCTATGGGGTTACAGCCTTTCCTCCTGTTGCCTCTGACAAACAATTGTGCAGCTCTATGAGCAGAGCATTTATTACTCGGACTCGCGCACTGCAGTGGAGATGATTGTCACAGCATTCTTCATCTTCGACTTTGGCCTGCACATGTTTATTGCAGCTGAGCCGTGGAAATTCGTTTTCTCCGCGCAAGGCATGATCGACCTCGTCACGATTATCCCGTCACTGATAGTGGTGCGTGTCAGCTTGGGTATGAAATTTAAATGTTTCATTCTGTATTGATTGTGTTTTTTCTTGAGTGATTCCTTGCAGTTCATTGACCCAGCGAGCCGTTCAGACTTGATGTTCGTGTTTCGCGTGCTTCGCATTTTTCGGGTTCTGCGCGTGTTGCGGTTGGCTCACTATATTAAATTCAAGAAGCATGGCTTCGAATACGAGGTACGTTAGTCTGTAGCAATACCAGACAGGATATTGATCGGGGTTGAACTTATTTACTTACATGGGATCGGTGTTGCACAGCTTGGTGTCTTCATTCTGTCGACGATCGCTGTCATTCTATGCGCAGCAGGGATATATCAAGCACTGGAATCCGAGCAATACGGAGAAGGCGAAAAACTGGAGTTCCACGACTCGCTATATTTTGTCCTAGTGACCGTGTCGACAATAGGTAAGAAGTTCATGTGACCATCGAATCTGTGTTACTCTGATGATTATTTCTCTTTACTTAGGATATGGCGATATCACACCACGCACTTTGTTGGGCCATGTCTTCGTGATTGTCATGATCATTGGAATTTTCACGATTATCCCGGCCGAGGTGAACAAACTGAATGTTCTGGCGAAGCAAAGCAACCCGTGGGATAAAGAAGTTGTTGTGAAGTCGTCGGGGCACGTCATTGTCTCCGGGTACAATATTTCGGCTAGCTCCGTCCTGGAGTTTCTTCAAGAGTTTTATCACCCGAGTCGCGGTTCGATTCATTTAGATGTGGTGTTTATGAGTGACGACCCCCCATCCTCAGAGCTGCTTTGTATCCTCGAAAAACAAAAGTACCGGCGACGGACTAGCTATCTGAGGGGAAGTTTGATGAAGGAGCGAGATCAGTGTCGAGTGAAGATGGCCTCAGCAACGGCAGTGTTTTTCTTAGCCAACAACCGACACGAGCCTGCGCAGCAAGACGCCGCAACGATTCTACACGCAGTCTCAATCCGAAATTACGCTGATAGTTGCGGAAAGCACGTGGATATCTATGTGCAGCTACTCTCGAGGGTATACGAGTACGAGATGTCGTCCGTCTTACTTGGTGCAAACGCCACGAAGACGTCTGAGCTGAAAGATATGCTGTTAGCCCGCGCAGCTGTGTGCCCTGGATCCAGCACTCTCATACTTAACCTAATTCGCTCGTATCATTTGGGTCAATACGCCAAGTGGCGGACGTGGGGTAAGGCGTGGATTCACGAGGTACGTGTGAACAACCGGCGACTTAGTGTTAGCATTTGCTGTCGTAACTAACGGCATTCGTTCCTTGTTTAAACAGTACTTGGATGGGTTGACGTATCAAGTTTTCCCAATCATATTCTCATCTCGCTTCGGTCACCGCAAATTTGGAGTGGTAGCTCGTCATATTTACGAAAAGTATGGGGCACTACTTATCTCGGTTCTCAGCCAAAAAGCTTGTGAAGATCTCGGTAATCTATCTTCTGAAGGAACGCACGCTGCTGGTGTCCAGCTGGCTCCATTTCGAACGGCTATCCGGGAAGGGTACGTATTGCTGTGTGCACATAGGAGCATTTGAACCCCCGTTATCTCATATTCGCCTTGCTTGTGAAATGAAATGTGGCAGCGATATTGGCTTCATCATTGCTAGAACAGCATCCGACGTTATACGTATCGTTGGCACGTATGGATATTGGGAGGGGGAGTCAGAAGGAGATCTCAGAGCCTCATCGAGTTTGCTCACTGCTTCAGTGCGCGTTTCGTCAGACACGTTGTGGCGGAGGCGATCACCACGCCATCGTTTTCAGCCTACTACTCGGTCAGCTTCAGTTCGAAATCTTCAATTGAATTTGTCCGAGCAGACAGAGCGAAACCGATGGGAAGAACCTGTGGAGAGTACAATACACGATACCCCGGTCAGCAGCGGTGGACGACCGGCCGCTTCATCCTCTGGCGAGCCGATGAAGAAACCACTTCCGATTCGGTTCAACCGAGCCCTATCGATGCCTTCGGTAGTAAACTCACCTTCGAATGGCAGCTCGCTACAGGCAGCCATCCTGTCCAAAGACGAAATAAAGATTGAAGCAGTATTTGAGAGAGACCACCTCCGATCTCATGTAAAGGGGCGGTCAGGCCACTACGTTATTTGCTCGAGAAGCTTGTCGGATGCAGTATCGATCGGCACATTTCTCCGACGTTACGCCCGACGCGAGTATAAATGCAAGATATTTGGCAGCGAACGCGATCAATCCGCCGAGTGTGTGAAGATAGTTTTCCTGATGGCGTACAAACCGACAGCAAAAGATTTAATGATCGCAGCAGAAGAAAGCAGTGCGGATTTACTTCGCAATGTGCTGGTTGTGGTGGGGAGTCCAGCTCGGACCAATGATCTAGTTCGAGTGGAGGCTACGAGGGCCCAACAATTGGTGATATTACCGCTCGACAAAAGTATATCAGAAGAAAGCGATGAACTCTCATCGACCTACCAAGTGTCTGAATTCGGGCTTAGTGGTCAAAACGCCTGGACAGATGACGAGCGAATGGCCGACTTCGGCGTTGTTTGCTCGCTGTTGGCTGTTGAGATAACGAAACAAGGGCTGTCCAGAAGCATTTCACCTCGATTCCGGCGTCAACACAGCAGCAGACTGGAAAGTGACTCAAAAGCCTCTCCAACTCGAATATCGTTCAAGCGTGAACTGGAACAGGGTATCCCGCGGGAAAGTGCGAAGCTAAGAGCACTTGGCCGCTTTCCTGGCTTAGATCCTGGTATCTTTCGCGAAAAGTCTGATGTAGTTGACACAGAGCATCAGCACCACGATTCGCAAGCAGATGAAGGAAAACCTGCTGGTTCGAGCCCCTCGTCAACAGTTCAAGTGACGAATACGTTGTCTGTCTTGCACTACGCATGCAACGCAAAGCTCTGTCGCCCATGCGATGAAGCCGTCCAAGACGAGTTCCCATCGCTAACTCCATCATTTGCTGGAGGTAACATCTTCCTATCCAGTCTCTTGAACCGAATTGTGTGCCAGGCATTTTACAACCCCTACATCACCGATGTGATCGAAGTTCTGGCAAACGGAAGTGGTGCAACGAGCACGGGCAAAAGTTCACATGGAGTTCCAAATTCGGGCAGTTCTACCGAAGGCCCCCACCGCAGACTTTTTGACGTGGAACTCGAGGACGAATTCGTCGGTGGATTTTTCATTGATGTGTTTCTGGACTTCATTTCGAGGGAGATGTTGATTATCGGCGTGTTGCGGCATACCCACTGCGAGTTGGAGAATTTACTTCCATTTGTCTACACTTGCCCCAGTCGGACAACTGTAATGCACTCGAAGGATCGACTTTTCGTGCTCGGATGAATACGCGACTTCATGAAGAAGCTATCATGACCGTAAAATAAATGGCCAACTTGGGATTTCGGTGTTAAAAATGACGTAATTGATGAAGAAAGGAGGGGCAGTGTAGCTATCCTGTCTATCTTTTCCGCATCGCTGCAGCTCGAGACCCGGGCTTAGCTGCTGGCGCTCTTTTCGACGATGCCTTGATGTTGTCGCGCTGGGACTTTTCCCGGCAAAAGTTAATATGACGCTCAGCTGCCTTCTCGTTGAAGCGCCGACTGCAATACTCGCACTGGATAAGGCTTGGGTCGGGCGCCGATGGCATCACGGGCGGCAATTCTTTCCCCTCCTTCAATGCCTTGGTTACGTCGCGACTAGCCTTCATGGCATTGCGGAACATTTCGCTCTTCTGCTTCCAGTCGGCTGCGCTTTTAGCCTTAATTGGTTGCTCCGTTGCAGATAATGGCGCTTTTCGGGACCCACTGCCTGAAGCTTTACCCTTGGCCTCCCTCGCGAGCTTCTCGGCCTCAGTCCCCTCCAGACGCTTCGCCGCCATGTTGAATACTTTGCGCTGTCCTGAAAACACCTTCTCGCAAATCTTCTGGTGCTTTTCGAACGACACGACGTTGAACTTCCGGTTGCAGTTGTGGCACTGCTCCATCACTTCTGCGCCATCTCCGTACTCATCCTGCAATGCCAACAGCGTTAATAATCGATCTAAATCAACAGGAACAACACTCTGATCCGTGTTCTTACCAATTGTTCAGAAAGGTTGAACCCGGTACTGATGGGAGCAGGATAGCGAGTGTCGTCGGTAGAATTTTCATCAACATTGTGCAGCGGTGATTTTCGTCTTGGTGGCGGTGTTGGAGCTGCTGCTTGAGCTGGAGCACGACGTGGTGCAACCGGCTGCCGCGGAGTTGGTGTATCACGGGACATCGTTGTTGAAGATGGAAGTCGCGCAGAGTGAACAACAGCGCTGGGGGTGTTTTTCTCTACAAAAAGCGAGGCTTGATTCGTGGGTGCGCTCCTAGCCTTTCGGCGAGACATCTTGGACTTGAGAAGCATCAGCGAGTTCTACACCACCAAATGGAAAATGATGAGAGCCAAGCCAATACGTGTAAATACAACCTGAAGCACATACCCCCATTTCATTCGGTGCCGCCATGGTACGTGCGTTGTTCTCACGATACGAATCCGTTGACGGTACAGATCTTGGCTCCCTTCGACGGATGGGTGCGTCATCGACAAAACTGTTGCCTGTAGTAGTCGAGGCGGGACCACCACCACCACCGCATTTCGGGCACCCGCAGCTTGAATTCCGTAGGCATGGGCCAGTGTGATTTCCAGACCGAGGTGGCCCCAACGTCTTCTTGATGGGGAGATCTTCGATTTCTCGTCCTGTCGCGCGCTTTACTTCTCGGAACAACGTGTCATGCTCTGAGTCAATCCCAGTGTCCATTAGAACCGCAACACATTAAGCCCATCGGCCCTCGGTGGGTACTAGAAGACAAAACAAACTACTAGCATACCTGGCTCGAGCGGCGTCACATTTAGCGACGACATCTGCTGCTGAGGGGCCTTCTTTGGGTATCTGCGCGACAAATTGTCGAGAGCATCGTTCTCGTAACTTGTTGGGTCGTCCATGTCGTGGTGGTTGTTGTTGTTGTTGTGACCGGGGTTACGGTAGGCCATGCTGTCGGATGCAGAGCCTTGGTCCAGTTCTTCTCGTGATCCTGGTGGCGGCGGGTTACGAGCCCTCGTGTTCACTCTGTTGAGAAATAGCAATGCACCACAACTCGCACATAAGCAAATATCCCCGCAGCAGGCCTAAAGCGAGGCTCCATACTTAGGAGAAAAGGTATGCTCGTCGGAAAAAACACCGCGCTGCCGCTGTTCACGAAGTTCTTTTGCTCGTTCCTTCTTTTCTTGCTGTCGCTTTGCATAATCCGTCGGGTCGCAACGTAGGCGGGTACCAGGCTGCTGCATTAATATCTGCGGCAACTAATGCACGAAGCTGGTGCAGTCGTATTGAATGGGGAGCGCGCCGACACGAGCCACCGATACCCGGCAACTTGGCTGGACGTCTTGAAGCAGGAGGAAGTTGAGGGTGGCGGAGCAGTTGTGCTGAGAGCACAATACTGCTGTACTGGTACGTTTCCGTTCGGCTGGTTTTGGGAGCTTTCAGTCTTTTGCAACGCACGACGGACACCATACAGTCTTCAAAAGGTCAGGCATGCTATTGATATACTGCATCCGTTATGGATACCACGCTCAGTCAGTTAGTTGGACGTGTGAGTAGCTCGCCTACCACCTCGCGAACCCAGGGCTGCGTGAACTGTTGGGGATGAGGAACATTGAATTCATCCAGCTCAGTCTCCGCCGCTAGAATCTGCGCATAGTCATCCATACATACACGTTAGAAGAATTATCGGACAAAAAGTTTGATCACGAAATGTATGTACCTGCTCGTCTGCCAATTGCGACTTCTTGACGTCGGCCATAAACCCGCAAGGATCGTGCGCGAACTGCGCCATCCAGTTTTTCTTCCTGGTGTACGTCTGCAAGCGCTCAAGGATATCCAACTCTTGAGCCTGTAGCAACGCAAGCTCTTTTTTCTGGTCCTGCTGCAGTTCCTCACACTCCTTCAGCGCACGAGCCCGCGTCCTATCCAGATCCGACGTCGCCGCAACAGACACATCGAAGAACTTCTCGTCCAGCAGCTCGGACTCGCACGCTGTCGAGAGGCTTAGCGTGTACTCGAGATCGATGGCACTGATCGGGGTGAGGTGCTGCTTGAGCGCTACCACGATGGACGTGAAAGGCAGAGAAATGCAGTTAAGCACCTGCACGAGTCTGTCCTCGCACACAACCACCCGGCAGTCGTCCTCCTTGATGAGGTTGCGTAACTTGATGTACTCCCACATCGCCAGCACGATGTCTTGCTTGGTGTAGGCTTTGGCAGGACCCAGGTACTGACCAATCGCTGCTTCCAGCTCGGGCGAGATCGAGAACCTCTCGGGCGTTTGCGCTGCCAGCAGCTTAATCTTGACCGTGTGCGCCATGCTGCCATTACGGGACACCTCGAGCCCGTCCACCTCGTGACTGGCCTTCTGAAAACTCGTCCACTGCGAGATGGTTGCAAATACCCCCGCACGGATCAATATCCACAGCTACAAAACACTTGAGACCGACAAATACTCACCTCGACAACGTGGTCCGAGTACAGATGCGGATCCAACTCGATCGACGCCTTCCGGAAGTAACTCGAGAATTTCTGCAGCATTTACACAGCCTTAACCGTCAGTATTTGCATCAATAGGGAGCACCCTAAGGCGCAGCCACGCACCACGACCGTAGGCTCTCCAGCCGACGCGTCGACACCTTCAATCCGCAGCGTCCACCGTCCGGGCGTCGCCTGCGTGTCCTCGGAGGCTTCCACTGGCGGCACGTACGTGTGATACACGCGCACACGCAGCTGCTTCGTCTCCGTCTGCCACCAGCGCATTCGTTCGTGAGCCACATGTAGTAGCAGGTAGAGGATTCTACTCAGTAGTATGTTATGCTGCAGCTGCAGCTGCAGCTGCACGCACCTGCGTCGGGTAGAAGCGTTCGCCGCGCAGCTCGCGCGTCATGGCCTGCAGCCGCTGGGTGAGCTGCTGGTGCGCGGCCTGCGTGCGCTTGAGCAGGTCGATCTCGCGCTGGCACGCCCAGTCGCCGTGAAGGAGGTCCTGTGCATGGAGGAGAAGAGGCTAGTGATGAGCAGATACCGCTGCGAGAGGCTTCGGGGCAGCCGACTCTCGACGCACCATGGGCAGGTCATTCATGGTGCTGCTAGGCCAAAGAGAGCGAAATTCGACGGCGAAATTATTTTTTTGCTTTTATGGTGTGGTGCACATGAGATATACCTCCGAAACAGAATTGACCTTCGTAAACAGAAGTGACTAAGAACCTCGAGCATTTTATCGCCAATTGATCCCATCGGATCGCAGCCCCCTTCTTGCCGCTGCCGCTTGGGCACGCACGTCGAGACTTTCGACTTTCTCATTTCTCAGCGCCGGCTTTCCATCCGCAGCGTAGCGCGTCGGCCATCTGCTGAGCTGCTGCCATCTCGACCCACAAAGGCTCGCACACGACTACCCTAACCGCGCTCTTGCCATGTCGGACTGCGCTTCCATTCGCTCATTTCTGTATCAGGCCACGACCAAACGGTAGGGGCCAGGTGAGACCGAGGAAGCCAGCAGCTCCGCTACGATACGGGAGATCTCTCTCTCTCTCGTTCGCGCGTTCTCTGCCTCTCTGTCTGTGCGTCTACCAGAGACCGCTTTCCCCCTCCCCTCCCCTCATCGCTCGGTCGCTCGCTCGCCGACTGCGCGGCGCGAGCACTCGCCGAGTCGCAACGACCGGAAACATTCGCACAGGCGGCATCGCCATCATGGAGGAACGAGGCGCGGCCGGCATGGCCTACGTGGGAGGACTGGGCAACGTGGCCAAGGTGCTGCTCTTGCTGCTCAACATGGCGTTCATGGTGGCCGGCTGCCTGCTGGTGTACTTCAGCCACCGCGTCAAGAGCTCCGGCTGGCTGGACGTCTTCCAGGGCGACTACGAGTGGATCGGCACGTCCACGCTCATCTTCACGCTCGTGGTGGGCGCCGTGGTCATCGCGCTCTCAGCGCTCGGCTGTTTCGGCGCGCTGCTGCAGCAGAAGCTGCTGCTGACCGTCTACGCCATCGTGCTGGTGCTCACCGCCGCGCTGTTCGTGGTGGTGGCCATCGGCGCACACATGGCCAACTCCAAGGCCGAAGACTGGAGCAGCCAGGACTACCCGGCGACGGACAAGGAGGCGTCGCTGGGCACCAACTTCAACGAGCTCTACTGCTACGCGCAGGTGCCCTACTACTGCCAGGACGCGACGGTGAACACGGTGCTGGAGATGTTCAACGTTTCGCTCGCGGGCTACTTCTCGGACTCGACGACCAACTTCACCAACGTCTGCTCGACGGTCACGCTCGCTGCCATCAGCGACATCTGCGCCGTGTGCGACCTCGTTGCCGAGTACGACGAGTACTCGGTCGTGCTGGACTGGACAGAGGCGTCTTGCCCGCGCACGAGCGCCAACCAGATCTGGTGCGGCGGCTTCCTGCTGAATGCCACGGCCGCTGACGATATGTCCACCAGCGCGCCGTTCATGGAGTGCCGCAGCGTGTTTTACGAGCTTGTGGAGAAGTGGACCAACGTGATCATGGTGGCCAGCATCATCTGCGTCATCGCCGCTGGTATCGTGCTCGCCATGACTGGCGTGCTCTGGAAGAATGTGCGCGCTGCTCGACTGGAGAAGCCGCTGCCCCCTGCGCCCGCCCCGATGTACCAGTACGGAGGTCAGCAGAATGCAGGTTATTCGCAGAACAGCGAGGCAGCGACCAACAGCAACCACTACAGCATGAACTCGAACGCACCTTACAACCCCAACGCCGCCAATCGTAGATACGACAGCCCGTACTAGGAGCACAACGAGTCTGTGCATGAAAATATCTAAGCTGTTTTTTTCTTGTGAAAAGTTCCGTGAGGTTATGTGCATCTATTGTTTGGTCCAGCTACTTCTTGAACACTAGCGACTTGTCGTCAGTGGTCTGCTCGTCAAGCTCAAGGCACTTCTGGAAGAAGGGCGAGGCGTTCTGCTTGCGGTACTGCTCGTCCAAGTTCGCCAGCGGGTCGCGCACGAAAAACTGGCGCGCGCGACGTTGGCGGGTCTTCTTGCTGTTCTTGTTGTTCTCGCTGGCAATCTTCTTGTGCAGCGGGTTGCTCGGCGGGACCGGCACCTTGGACTTGAAGGTGAAGGTGGCGTCAGCATAGGGGTCGAACGCGTCCATGATAGCGCGGGCGTGCTCATTCGGCAGCGTCGTCTCCATCTTAGCAGTGCCCAGCGCGTAGCTAGCAAGCTTCGGGTGAGCATGGTGCGTCAGCAGCGCCAACTCCCAGCACGCGCTTGAGAACGGGTTAGCAAAGTCAGGGTCGTCGATGTCAGCACGGTATTCGCCCGAAGCCACGCGATCCACGTCCGACTCGAGGAGCTGCTGCAACTTCGAGTAGCGGTGGAACAGTGCGCGCAATAGCGACAGAATGGCTAGCGCCTGGTGCGGCGGCAGGTGCTGCGCCACAAGCAGCAAACGCTTCACGAAAGACGCCACACGCTCCACCACAATCTCCTTCCGGCGGAGGAAGACGGTCTCCACGCACTGCAGCAGCGTCGGGAAGCACGACGAGTCCGAGCCCGCCTCGCCGTCGGCAAACCGGTGCAGCAAGCGGTACAGAATGTCGACGAACTCCTTTTCGTCGACCATGAGCTCCTGTCCGCCAGGCCCCTGCAGGGCGCGGAGTCCCGTAAGCACAGCTTGCAGCGCTGCCGGGAGTGGCAAGACATCCTCTTCACGTAGCACAACCTTGAGCACCTTGAGCAAGTCGATCATGATGTCCAGATTGATTAGGAAGGAATACTTCGCCAGGCCCTCAAGCACGGCTGGCAACGCCTGCGAGTAGGTGGCTTGCTTCAGGATACGGAAGTAAATGAGCACCAGCTCGTGCAAGATGTCAGCCTGGGTCTTCTCGCGCTCAGCACGATCCACAACGGCTTCAGCCTCCTTCAGACCAGCAGCAATAGTGTCGCCCTCGGCCTGCTGACGACGGCGCTTCTTGCGGTCCGACTTCGCTTTCTTGCGCGCCGCCTCACCCTGCTCCATGGTAACTTCAAGCGGCATAACCAGCAGCGTGCGGATGATGAAAGGCTGCACACGGTGCTGCTTCTGCTTCACGTAACTCGAGATCTGCTGGACGATTTCATACGAACAAGCACACGTCTTGTCGCTCTTGAAGACGGTCTCGAACGACGCGCAAGCCTGTTCACGGACAGCCGGAAAATGCGAGTCTGCCATCGGCACCAATGCGATCACAAGGTTCAAGTGGAAGTTGAACGCATACTTCTTCTCCAGCAGCTGAGCCAAGCAACGGACGCCAGTCTCCGCCAAAAGCACATCACGGCGTTCACGCGCAGTCATGGTCGGCATCTGCTCCGGGCGCTTGCCCTTGAGCCCCGTCGTCACCAGCTCAGCGCAGTACTTGAGGAACTTTTGGTAGTTGTTGAGCAGCATCGCCTCGTAGTCGTGCATCTGCTGCACCTTCTTCTTCATGGGGCGGCCGTGGTTCTGCTTGCCCTTCTCCTCCGCGCTGATGTCGTTGTTCTGAACACGGATGCGGTAGTCAGGCAGGATGTCTAGGAACACCGACAGCTGCGACATCAGACTCAGACGCTGCACCGTCGCGTCCGGGTCGCGGCACAGCTCCTGGAGCTGCTGAATCTTGCTCAGCTGCTGCGGGTGCTCCTTGTTCTTCTTAAAGGACTCCTCCGGGTTCTCCAGAATGCCCTCACAAAGCTGCGCGATCTCCACCTTCTTGGTTGCAAGACGAAGTGCACGCTGGCGCTTCAGGTCAACGGCTGACAGCTGAGGCTCCGGGGTCTCCTCCATCGGCGCCGACGTCGACTCGTCCTGGATCTCTTCAAACTCCATGTCTGACACGTCCGAGTCCATCTCCTCTCCCTGCTCCTCCTCTTCTTCTTCTTCTTCCTCTTCTTCTTCGTCCTCCTCCTTCTTTTCCTCCACAGCCTTGGGCGCCTCCTCCGTCAGCAGCTTGTTGGCACGGACGCTGCCGTCCATGAACTTGACGGGCAGCTTGTCCTTCAGCACCTCCTGCTTGTCCGTGGTCCACGCCGCCTTGCGGGGCCGCGCCTCCAGCTTCTCCAGCGGCATGTCCTCGTCCTTGTCGTCCTTCTGCTGCTCCTTGACCGGCTTGGGCGTCGGCTTCTTGTCGCCCTTGGGGTGCAACGGCTTGCTCTTCAGCGCCTTGGCGTCCATGTTGGCCAGGAAGGACGTAAAGGCGGCGTTGCCCTCGTAGAAGGCCACGTCCTCCTCGTCGATCTCCACGTCGTCGTCCTCCTCCTCCTGCTCGGGGCGGCGCGCGGTCGGCTGCGGCTTCTTGCCGCCCTTCTTGTGCTTGGACGCGGCGCCGGACGAGCCCTTGCGCCCATTCTGGGCCTTGCTCTGCTTGTTGCGGGTGTTGCCGCCGGCCCCGCCGGGCGCGGCCTTGCGCTTCTTGCCCTTGCCTGCCACCGCCATCGTCTAGCCCGGGGTTACAGTACAATAGTTGCTGTGCGAGTCAAGGGACGTGAGTGGCGCGCCAATCAAACCTGGACAGTTTGAGCGCCCAATTTGAAGACGTTATTATCCGTCCAGCGGCGTTATGCAACGTCGTGCTGTTAAGAACTGTCTATTGAAATCAAATCGTGTTAGGAACATAGGGAGACAACTTCAACTATCTACCAGAACGGACACCAGCCGTAGTAGAGCTGGCACAGGTTCTCGTGCGACGTGGCCTGGTGGATCAGTCGGTCGACCTGCGCGTCCACCAAGAGGACCTTGCTGCCGTCGTCGAAATCACGGCCCGCCAGCTTCTTTTTGACGCGGTCCACGACGCTCAGCGCCTTCTCGTTCAGCTGCGGGTGCTCGGTCGCCACGAACGACGTGCCGAAGTTGTCGCGCTGCGCCTCCGAGATCGAGTTCCGCGCCAGCGCCGGGTCCAGGATGTCCATGTTGTAGCCCAGCATTGCCGCCTCGGAAGACGAGTGTCGTCGCCTTCTTGGGGTCACAGGGGCGGACGACGTTGAGCTCTTCATGCTGCCTTCTCCCAACTTGTCCTCTTCAGCGTTCGTTGCGTCTCCTTCTCCGTCAGCATCGTGGCCATCATCTCCGTCTTCGTGCCCAGCGCGTCCAGAGTTCCTGTCGCCGTTGCCATCAGCACCGTCACCAGCGCCTCCTTCTCCTCCGCGTCCAGCACCACCGTCTTCTTCAGGCTGGGCATGAGAAGGTAGTGTGTCTTTCTTGAGTAAGCGCCAGTTGATCAGCGGGTCGTACACGAATGCCTCCAGCACGGCCATGAGCGAGTCGCGGTTGTCACGAAGCACTCGCATTGAAGCCTCGCACGTGTACCGGAAGTTGCCTTCAATACCGCTGACCTCCATCGCCTGCGTGAGCATGCGCGTAAGGCGGAACGGGATCTTCTCGGGGTACTTGTCACGCTCCATTGCTACCTCGAAACAATCGCCGAAGTCGATGTGCACCAGTTTACCCGATACACGATCCAGCATGAGGTTGCTCGGGTGACGATCGCCTAGACCAAGAATGTAGCCAGCCATCGACATGACAGCCAGCGATCGGGTGAAGTTCCGGCGGCGGTCCAGCCATACTTCCGAGTCTTGGCTCTTCAACCACAACACACGATACAGATCCTGACCGGTGGTCTCGCCTAGCGCATACTTGAAAGCCTCAACCTTCTGCATAAGCGGTAGCTTGTCGTAGTCCGGCGCCATTTGCACCATAAGGCGGTGCTCCACATTCAGCTGAATCTTGCGGGCCTCACGGTAGTCGCGGATGAGCTGGTGCAATGTATCACAATTAGGCACCCAACCAATGAGACCACTGGTATGCGACAGCGGGAGTACCGAATACCGCTCGATCGCGAGGTTGCGCTTGCTGGTGTCGCTGTCGTTCGCGAGCAGCGTGTTGATGACACCAAAGAGCTGCATCACACGCTCGTCCTGACGTAAATCCTCGTGGCCCTTAAGCAGGAAAGGATAGGCTTTCCCGTCACTGCCATTGATCGACACCCTGCGGGGTCGCTGCTTTGACGTTAGCACCGTCACCTTCGTGTCGAACGTCTGAATACGAACGATCGGGGCGCCAGCCTTGTATGTGCCGGGTACTGCGAGCGAGAGGTTGCGCACTGACAGCAACTTCGGTCCAACGTTGGCCAGCTCAAGCGTCGAAAGGTTCGCCAATTGCTTCCGGATCTTCGAGAATACGTTGTAATAGATGTCCCAGGCTTGATTCAGATCGTCAAGACTCTTAGTACGCTCGTACACATTGGTCCATTCCTTGGCATATTGAAGATCCCGAGCAAACGCCTGGTAGAATGCCACCTCGCGCAGCGTTGGTGCCTCCTCTGTACCGATTTTAGACATTAGTTCGTGGAGTGGTGCTAACTCAGCAATCATGGCAGTCACATCACGATTGTTGAAGAAGTGCTTGGACGCTTCTTCCAGAGCACCGTGCCAGAGCTCATTCCATAGGATAGCCACACGGATGAGTTCACGAGACACCATGTCAGCCTCATACACCAGCTGAGAACTGTGTCGCCGGACGGCAGCAAGAATTCCTTCAGCAGCTTGCTTTCGCGTCGGGTTTAGTGCCTTCGAGGCCACCGTGATCGGGTAAATTAGCGCCTGAGGGTGTGCTTGTCCAATTCGAGATAGCAGATCGTGAAGAAGCTCGCTTGTCTTCAGATTGGGCGTATCAATACGCGCAATAAGCTGCGGGATCACATCCAACCACGTATCAACAGACGCCTCCTGGAAGCCTTCGATCATCGCCATATGCACGTCACTACGACTGCCATACGCAAACCAAAGCGTCAGCAAACGCAACACGTCTTTCGTCACGTCATAGCTCGTGTGGCCAAACGAGATAGAGCGGAAGAATCCCTGGATGGCTCGAACCGCATATCGCTTCGAGTCTCCTTGACTTGGGTCCTTTACAATAGCTTCCAGCGCTCGGAAATTCATGAGTGCCCACTCATGCCAAGCCCGATCATTGGTCGGATCCAGCTTAGTTGCTGTCTCGAGACACTCCAGCACGTGGTCGAATGCACCATCAGCCTGCTTGTGTGGTTCTGCTAGCGACATCTGCCATTCACCCAGTTGAATGTACACCTGCACACGCAACTTGCGCATATCCTCGTTTGTTGGATCTCCGTGTTGCTCGAGCGCCTCGATGAAGTAATCCATCTGCTTCAGAGCCACATCCTCGCGGTTCTCAGCCCACAAGTGCCTCAAGTAACTGAACGCCACACGTGGGTCCTGAGCCGCACTGTCCGCTAGACTCAACAATCCATTCGCAAAGCCCTGGCTTGCTCCAGCATTACCGCCTAGATTGATCGGGATCGGCGCGTAAGGATCTCGTTCCACACTTCGGATAAACGGTTGTGCACCAACACGCAACAGTGCGCTTGCAGCAAGGTTGACATGACCCGATTTGAGACACAGGCGGGCATACTTCAGCCAAATATCCACGTCTTCTCTCGGGTCGAACACAAGAGATCGCACCAGCATGAGGTTCTGCCACACCTCAATGTTGCGCTCCACGCCCAGCATACGCCTTGTCCAAATTGTCTGCAACTTTTTTAGTGCCACTTGCTTCTCATGTCCATATGACGTCGATGGCGATGCTGACACAAAGTTGAGGCTACTGATACTCTGCTTACGACGCGACGTCGTCGTCGACGTTGACGACGATGATGCAGGAACGGACAACAGCATCAACTCCCCATTGTTCTTGTAGGCAAAAGTCTTCAGATAGGCGACAATTTCCTCCAGCTCAGTGAGCATCTGCAGATTTACGACAGCCGGAAGATACGCGCGAGCGTAGCTCTCACTTACAAGAGAACGCAACGTCGGGTCCATCTCTTTCCGACAATCGGCTATAGAGCTCATAGCCTCGTCCAGCTCCATACGACGAATAGTCACGACGGCCTTGAAAAGATGCGACTCAGTAGCATCCATGTCCGAGTTGATGAACTTCGGGATCGAGTCCCAATTCTGCAACGAAAATGCAACACGCGCACCACTACTACACAGCTCCTTTTTCAGTGCCGGGGGAACATCCAACAGCTTTTCGCCATCCTCCTGCTCACCGTTCAAGTCTTGTCCTTCGCCATAGATTTTGGACCAGGTCTCCTGTACGTGATCATTAAGCTTGCGCCACTCGCCAATGGCCCACAGACACCGCATTTTGCCGAAGATGGCCTCGACGTTGTTCGGGTCTTCTAGGAGTACACGATCGTGTGTTGCCAACGCATCATCCCACCGCAGTAGCTTTTCGTGCCACGAAGCCTTGACTTCAATGCCTGGCAACTTTTCCAACGCGTACTTCAGGATGCCTCGTGCGGCCTCCGGTTGGTTCAGTTTCGAGTTGATACTGATAAGCGCTTGAATACCATCAGTACTTGGGTTAGTGTTGAACTCAAGCTCCTTGTAGTGAAGAGCCTTCGCGAAAGAGTGACACTTGTCGGCCAAAGATCCGAGCAATCGAATATCAATCGGGAGGGGTTGGTCATCGTGCTCCATAAACTCAGCCAGGTTCAGCAGCGTCTGCAAAATTTCAGACGGGAGGTGCGGCGATTGGAAAGCAGACTCCAGAGAGCGAATCAAGTTGTCCTGAGTAGAAGACGATAGATGTGACCACACGCTCACGAATGAGGCGTTAAAGAGCTCTCGCGCTAGAGGCTGGTACACCGACGCGAGCTCCTTACAGGCGCGTAGAACAGGCGATGGAGACTCACGGAGCAGTTCAACAGAAAATGCCAGAATCCATTCGTTCCAGTCCTCCTTTGTAGATCGTTGTGACGCTTCCCAGGCCTTCATCAAGTTTTTCTGGTCGCACGGCAAACTCTTGGTTTCATCTTGGGCAGAAGAACCCGAGTCCTTGTGATCACTCGATGCATCGATACGCGATTTCAGAGGGTCTGTTGCCCACGAAGCCACGGGGAGCGGTTGGTACTTCAAAATCTTCGATACGAGCAAGTCATACCGATCAAAAATATCATTCGAACGCGATGTATGGCGGCCCAGAACCTGGCTAATGACAGGGACGAAGATCGCGTAGTCATCGCCCATCGTGTAAACCATACAGCAGAGGCAGTCCATTGCGAGGTAGACCATCTCCGGCTGCGATGAAATCACACGAGCCAGCATGTGAATGATTTTCGAGGCGTATACGCTCACGTTAAGCTTTTTCACGAGCGACCCGAGCGACCCGAGACCTTGTTTCCTGGCGTTAATGTCAGCATCGCTCTGGATCAGCGCTACGAGGGCTGGGATGATCAAGTGAAGATATCCATCAAGCAGTCGCCCGAGAGATACAGCAGTTTTCAACACCAATAGCGTCCGCGGCCTTGCCGGATTGTCGCGCTCTGTGCGAATTACTCGTAGCATTTGAGGGACGAGATCAGGTAAGTACACTCGGAAATTTTCACCAAGAGAGTTTGCCAGCTTCTTGACCAGATTGAGAACCTCCTCCAGATGCTCATCCCAATAGCCGTGAACGATAGAAAGCAGTGCTACCTGATCCAAATGTGGCTGGATCTGCTCTTCCACAATCTGCACCAAGTCGCATAGCTGTTCGAAAAGGAACTTGCGTAGCGAACGGTTTACCTTCTCCAAAGCGTACAGGAAGGCTGGAATAATTTTGTCCAGGTGCTGCCCCATACGCTTCCTCTGACTTTTGCAAATGTACATGATAGCCATAAATGTACCCTGGTAATGAACCGAGTTGCGAGGTTCGAGCAGAATACGGATCAACGCATTGATCGCAACCGTCGGGAAATACTGCGTCGAATCGGGGATCATTGACGGCAGTAAATCGTCGGGCGGAACTTCCAGAATAATGTTGGTCAGCTTACCGCTTGTTTGCTTGTCATTTTTCGCAACCTTTCGCGCGGGTGTCAACAGGAGTGATTCTCCAAGCTGCTGAGCATCTTCTTCACCGCTTCCATCGAGAACTCCAAGCCCGCCATATCCATTACCAATTCGAATTCCAATGACAGCTCCATTCGTGTTTGATGCGGAACCAAATCCATTCGTCAGTTTTTCTGCAGGGTTAGCCGCATTGCTAGCCATCAGGCTAAATACCCCACCAGCACCAAGGGCCAAGGCACTCGAGCGAAACTCTTTTTTCTTCGCGTCTGTAAGTTTGCCTTGCTTCTGCAGGTGGAACAAACGGAGATTATACGGGTCCAACGCACCCAAGACACCAAGCGTACGTCCTGCTTCAATCCGCAAAGATTCGAAAGCGTCACCTGACTTCTGCAGAGCTTGGCACAGCAAGTCCAGCAGCTCCGGATACTCGTGATACGGCAGCACCACATATCCAGTCGATGATACCAACTGACCGAGCGTTTTAATTGCAACTTGCAAAATCTGAGGGTTGCTTGAGTCGCGCATCTCATCAATAACGTCTGGCAACAGTTGTCCGAGGTACGGCGTCAGTTCTTGGGCTCCCACCTCTGCCAAGTCTCCCAAAGTTGCCAATATGGCCTTGCTGACACTGACTGTGCTTCGACTGTGGCTACGGCGCTCTGAGTCTTCTCGCAGATTTTTCATCAAAACGCGGAGAATCGGAAGGACGTACGGCTGGGCAAGCTGTGATGCTGACCGAAGCAGACAGCCGATCAAAAGCGCACCTTCTTCCTTACCACGAGAGTCTCCACTGAATTCCAACTCAGCCAAAAGTTGTACTAATGTTTGCCGAAGCGATGGCAATACAGTTGATGGGTTGTGGTGCGTGAGTCGTCCAAGCGTACTCATTGCCGTTTGCCTGATGCTGAAGACTTCATCATTCAAAGCAATAAAAAGGCACCGCAAGTTGTCGTTGAGAGCGAGGAGCGGGTCAAAACGTGAATCCAGCGAAGCCAAAACCCGCAGACGAATACTTGCTTCAGTATCAGCGATACCCACTGTCAGTAACCGTTCCAGCACTGACGTAACAGGTCGAGCAAAATCTTCCGAAGTCATCGCCGTGCTCCCACCGCGATCTTCGCCTGGTGGCAGAAGAAGCTTACAACACGTAAGTGCCGCACTCTTACGGATCGTTGCAACCTCGTGGTCGAGGAACTTCACTACTGTTTCGTGAACAAACGACATAATCGGGATGAGTCTGTTGCCCTGGAAGTCGAAGTTAGCCAGCGTCTCCAATGCGAGCGCCTGCATCGCGATTGCGGGCGAGACCTCTGCAGACGGGGCCCCATTTTCTGACGCTCCATTGGCCTTAGATCCCGTGGCGGAGTAGAACAGGTTGGACAGCATTCCACTTGTCACTGAGATCGAGGCGGTTTTGAGCTTCCTACTGGTTGGCGTCGTAGCAGACCCAGTGATGTCCTTTTGGCTCGAGCGCAAAATCGAGCTCAATCTTTCGAACAACTTCTGCTGAATAATTGGTTTCATCGGCGGGATTTTCTTCACGATAGTCGTCAGCGTCTCCACCAGTGAGGTATCCAGATCATTTTGAAAAAGCGGCCCGACCATAGACTCCAAGTCAACTCTGATAAGCGCGGGCCCCACCGTCTCCGCTAGCATGCGTAGACACGCGAGTGCCTCTCGGTGGGTGTCGAAATCTTTCCTGCGCACCTGCAGTCCACCTTTAATACCGTTCATAATCGCCATCAATGCCTGTTCGTCCCTAGCCATCAGCGGTCCAATTGCCAGCGAAAGCTTTCCAATCGAAAGCAGAGCGTCCGGGCGCGTTGTCGTCGTAGCCGAGAAAAGCACTTCCAGCAAGTGGTTCATACACGGGCGATAATACTTCTCCACAAACACCGAGGTGTTAAACTTCGCCAGCCGCGGGAAAAGACTGATCACAGCCGAGCGCACAGTGGCGCTCTTGTGATCCTGGTGGCTGAACACGAGTCGGCACGCCCGCGGGTAGTGCGAGTGCATGAAGTCCCCCGTGTTCCGCAGCAACTCGTTCAGGATGAGCAGCGCGCCGTGCGTGGCGTCCGAGCTGTTGCGCTTGAAGGCGCTTTCCGCTTCATCCAGCGCACGGTTGTACCACGACGTCTTGCGGTTGGACTCGCGCTGCTGGATGAGCATGAAGCACGTCTGCAGCGACTCGCTCGCACTCACGCGCACCACGAGCTTCGAGTCCCAGAAGGCGCTCCAGATGAAGTCGAAGTACTTGTCCATGTATCTGAAGGACGTGGAGGGCGCGTTGATGGACAGCTCCTTCAGAATCATGACGGCGGCGTGTCTGCGGACGTGGAACGTCTCGTTCTTGAGCCACTCGAGCGCCGGCTTGACGTGGTAGTCCTCCACGAACTCGATGAGGCTGGTGCCGCCTGTGGACACGATGTGGCCCAGCGCCTTGGCCGCGACGCGCAGCATGGGCGGGTCGGCGCTCGGGATCTTCTCGAAGACTTTGGTGAGCGAGTGCGCGAACTCGATGATGGTCTGGTCGTTGCGCTCGGCGATGAAGAGCTCCACGAGCTCGTCCATGGCGGCGATGCCGCCCATGCGGTCCGCGCTCTCGTTCGAATTGCACAGCAGCATGAGGCGCGCGCTGATGTCCGTGACCCACTTCATGTAGAGTCCGTGCGACAGATCGCGCGACTCGGACTCGATGTACAGCCGCAAGCTCTGCGCCGCGCGGTGCCGCACGCTGCTGTTGCTGCTGCGCAGCCCCGGCAGGAAGCGTGTGAAGCTCTCGGCCATGGCTCTTGGGTCTGCCTGCGTCCCGCCACCTGCCTACGTGACTACGTGCCTGCCTGCCTTCACTCAGTCTCCTGCCTTCGCGGTACGTTCGCAAAATGCGTATAGTTGTGTTTGAGGGGGGAGCGCAAATCTCGCATACAAAGTTCAAGTCAAATCGGGCACTGAGAGTTTACTATGATTCCAACATGGCTACATGAACAAAAGGCTACAGAGCCTTCGTCCGCGGCGTCTGCTGGAACTTCATCTCGCGCTCGTAGGCTGCCTGCTTCATGGTGCAGTTGGCGCTGAAGTGGCCTAGCTGCTTACAGTAACGACACGGCTGCGGGCAGTCCTTGGAGTGGTGGTCGTCCTTCTTGCAGTTGTAGCAGCGGCGGTGGCGCTTGGTCTGCGCCGTGACGGGCGGCTCCTCGCCCGACTGGATGGCCTTGGACCGCGCCTCCCACGCCTGCAGCTTGTTTTCGAGCCGCCGCTTCTTGCCCTTCTCCTTCTGGCTGTACATCAAGCGGCGACGCTCCTTCTCGTCCGCGTCCATGGGCGGCTTCCGGTTCGGGTCTGCGTCGTTCTCAAAGTGCTCGGTAATGCGCGTGAACTGCAGCTTGAAGAAGAACAGCAGGTCTGACAACTGCGAGGCGTCCGAGCCTTCTGGCAAGGCGATCTCAGCTTTGGTCGCCGCGGCAGCGTACTCTTCAAGCATCAGCTGAATAGCTGCATCACGATAGAAAACAACACACCGTTAATTGATCCCCAAGCGTTGCAATCGAGTCATTCGCCACGCACCTTCAATCGTCGAGACGCACCCCGCTCCGGCCTTGTGGTAGCGCCAGAAGCTGCTTTCCTTCGGCGGCTGGTCCAGCTTGACGTGGCGCAGGTTGGCGATGGCAGGGTCCGCGCAGAGCGTTGGCGCCTTTTGCCATGGGCAGTCGATGAAGATCATCGTGCGGATCTCGCGGAGCTCTTCGGGACTGATCTGCTCCAGCGTCTCGGCCTCAAAGGACGGATACACGACCACTGCGTTCTCGCACGTGTACGTCGGAAGTGCGTCGCCTTTCGCCGCGGGGTACGGGATGATCTCGACGTCCTGCGGGGCCAGCACCTTGGCGTGCGGCGCCGTGCTCTTCTTGATCTTGTCCTGGAACCACACGTGCACCTGCAGCGGCAGCCTCAGCGACGGCACCGTCACATCTTCCGGTACGCCCAGCGGGATGTTGCACTTGGGGCAGTAGAACTTGTAGCTGCGCTGGCACGACGTGCAGGGCAAGCGCTCCCACGCCTTGGGCTTGGTCTGCAGCTCCGCGGCGGCGCTCATTTTTGCTGGTCAGAAAAAATATGTCATTTGTAAGAAGAGCCGGTATGTAACGTATAACTGTCAACCAATAGAATTATGAGTGGGCTGATCCAACGCCCTACGATTGGTAGAAGAGGCCGCCCCACGTTCGCAGTCTCCATTGTCAAGTCGCCACTTCCCTCCAAGACCTCGCCACAGTATGTGGTCGACCATGATCATGCGCTTCCCTTCGCAGGCCAAGACGCTGTCGCGCGGCGCGCTCGTGACCGCGGGCATGGCGGCGTTCGCGGCTTTCTCCGGCTCCTCGGCGGCGCAGTGCGAGGAGGCGCAGCAGCCCAAGGTGGCGCTGAGCCCCGAGGAGTTCCGCTCCTTCACGGTGCGCAAGGTGGAGGACGTGAACCACAACACAAAGCGCGTGACGTTCGACCTGCCGTCGCCCCACCACGAGATGGGCATCACCACGCCCAGCTGCCTCGTGGCGCGCGCCGAGGTGGACGGCAAGACGGTCGTGCGCCCGTACACGCCCACCAACGTGAACGAGGAGAAGGGCTTCCTCGAGCTCGTGGTCAAGGGCTACCCGCAGGGCAAGCTCAGCAAGCACATCGTGGAGCTCAAGGAGGGCGACTCGCTCGACATGAAGGGCCCCTTCCCCAAGATCAGCTACTACCCCAACAGGTACAAGAGCATCGGCATGATCGCCGGCGGCTCCGGCATCACGCCCATGCTGCAGCTCATCAAGACCATCTGCCGCAACCCGGAGGACCGCACCGAGATCACGCTGCTGTACTGCAGCGTGTCCGAGGAGGACATCATCCTGCGCGAAGAGGTGGAGGCGATGATGTATCTGTACCCGCAGATTGCGGTGGTGCATGTGCTGAGCAACCCGTCCGACCAGTGGAAGGGCCTGACGGGCTTTGTCTCCAAGGAGATGGTCGAGAAGTACATGCCGGAACCGTCGGACGACAACCTCGTGTGTGTCTGCGGCCCGCCGCCGATGATGTACCACGTCTCGGGCGACAAGGCCAAGGACAAGTCTCAGGGTGAGCTGCAGGGCTTACTCAAGGAGCTCAACTACACCTCGACACAAGTCTTCAAGTTCTAAGCCGTTCGCCTGCATTGGTTAGGCGCACGAGAATTTTGAACCCCGTGATACAAAAAAGAAAAACTGTTTGAACTGACACGTTTTGAGTGCATTAGATTCTACGCGGTGCTGTTGAAAAAGGTGTGCAGCTTCTTACCGTTCGCTTTGCCCAGCAGCTCTGTGAGTTCATCTAGTGACTGGCGGCTGAGCTCGGCGAGATTCTTGACGCTCGCCAGTACCTTCCGGAAGTTGTGCTCATTGATGCCCGGCAACTTCTTCAGCACATCGATCGAGCTGGTGTTGTAGTAGTTGGATGCTAGCTTGCCCTCGCCACTATTGTTTTGAGCACCGCTATCGTCCATAGGCAAACCGTTGCCAAGCGCAGCAGCGGCTTCCATGTCGGGCTCGTCTTGATACTTTTTGATTATCTTGAAGAGGTCCACGGTGGCATGCGGGGAGCGCGACCACAGGATTCGCAGCGACGGGAAGTGCAAAATCAGTAACGTGAGCTTGGAGACGATGTTGGTCGCAGTGATCTCAGACCCAAGCTCGGACACATCCTGCAGAGAGAACGCCTTGCCTTGAGTGAACTCAATCAGGAGCACAGGGGTTTTGTAAAAACGCCGCATGCTCTCAGCTTGGTTGAACAATCGCCCAGAGTTTAAGGACCCGAAGAGATCGCTGATACTCTTACGCTCGACACAAATCTCGGGCGACAAGATGTAGTCGCCGATTTCCAACGTCACAGGCAGCACGAAGAGCCCCTCTTTGTGCAGCATGGATGGCAAGGCACTTCGGAACTCGCGGACGTCTACAACAACTTTGACGCCACCGCGGTGCGACTTGGCACGCCCGCCGGTTCGAGTGTCCATACTGTATTCGACAGTTTGTTGCCTCAGCTTCATGTGGAGAGGGAGGTCGTACACGTTCGCTGGCATCATCAGGTGAGCTTTCTGGTGGATGAGTTTGTCGAATGCACGCTTTTCGCGCTGAATCTCACTCAGGTAGGACTGCTGCTCTGTGCTTTCGTCGTACATCATGAAATAAATCTCAAGCGGGGCAACGTGTGTCGCGTGGAATACCTCAACTTCGCGGATAAACGCCATATCGGGATCATATAACACGATACAGGAGGGCATGAGATCTTCCAGAAACGCCGATGCGCCATATCCGTGTTGAGTAGCTTGCTCGTATGTGCACAGCACAACGCTGTCCAAAGGATCAACCACTTCAAGGGACAAGTTCGAGGTTCCAGACTGTTCATCCCGACGACAACATGCCGCTCGAAGACGGCCATCGAAAAACGCCTTGGACTTGCCATCCTTTTCAGACTTCTCACTCGCAGTAGTAATAGCCTCTAGTTCTGCTGCTGATAATCCAAAACTCGAAACTTCAGTGGTATGAACCTGGACATCACTGTAGCTTGTTTCTGAGGACTCCTCCCGAGCACGCTTCTTCGCTTTGCCTTGTGCTGCACTAGACTTCTGCTTGCCTTTAGATCCTGATGACACGACTGTTTCTTCCTCAGTGTAGAGTTCATCTGTCCTCAACTTTGCTGCAGCTTCTAACAGCAGCCTCTGTTCGAGTCCAAGTGAGCTCAAATTGCCACCTTTTTGCTTTAGCGTTGCTTCCTTCTGAAGCAAGTAGTGACCGAAACGCCGCCGCATCATTTCTTGCGCGCCCAAGCTGAGGAACTCACGCAGCTGAGCACAAGTACGCTCGTCCTTGACCATTACCAGAACACTGGCCCCGCCAACAGCCAGCTTATCTTTGTCGTTGGTCTTTTTCTTCTGTTGCTTACGCTGCTGTTCATCATGCACTTCGTCCAGGATTTCTTTCAAAGCGTCCCACTTGGGGTTTTGCTCGAGCACTAGTTTAAGCTCAGCGCTGTCTGCTGCATTCGAGTTTGCAGTAAACTGACGAAGATTTACCGGTTTCTTGGTCGTAGAATTCACAATCTGGCAAAGGCGCTCTTTCGCTGCAGTCAGAAGGCGGTCTGCAGCATCAGTGAACAACCACGGCGACGGAAAGCGCTGCTGGCCGTTCATAGTTTGATAGTTCACCAAGAATGAGTAGTACGAGATGGCGTCATAACGTGGGAGATATGCCAGCAATTGACGGAGCGTCGCGAGATCTCCCACGAGTTGCTTCGTTTTGACGGGCAGTTTATGCCACAACGGGTCCAATTGTCGTCGAATGAAGCTGCTGAACGACTTGGCCAGCGCCTTGTCCATTGTGAGGTCCGCCGCATCCAGTGACTTGGTGCTGCGTTGCAACTCCTTCACCGTAGCCTCAAGCGCCACAAGCAGCGCCTCCTGCATGATCTTCATTGAAGGTGAAAACGCCACTTCAATCTCGTACACTTCTGGCTGGTGCTTCTCCAAGCACGCGTTAATCGCAACGTGAAATCTCGGATAAAGGAACACGTTCCGCACGTACAAATGCTTGAGCACTTGTTCCACGCGGTTGAACCCCGACGAGAGCGCGACGCTGTCGCCACAGAAACCTTTGATGAACCCTTCACGATTGCGTTCACGGTACAGTCGTAGGATGAACGCCTCAATGGACGTCTCTGTCATGTGGTGAGCGTCGTTCACTAGCAGCCCGCTGATGATGCCTGGGTCCACGTGGTTGGACAGCAGATCCACCACGAGGATACGCGCCGTCACGAAGAAGACGCCGCCGCGCTTGTACATCTGCTGTCTCTCGTTCAAGTTAATGCGAGCGTCCACCACACGCGGCAGCAGCCGACGATCGAGGCCGAGCGCTTGCACCAGGCGGCGCAGCGTCGCAGCCTGCTCGTTGGCGTTGAGGCACAGCACGAGGCTGCGGGGCGAGCAGTAGAGACGCACGAAGCTCGCCAGCACGCGCAGGAGGCCCAGGCCGCGGCCCAGCACCAATACGCCGTCCTGCGCATAAAGCTCCTCGACCATCTCTCGCTCATACGGCAGCCAGCGCGCCGCCAGCGAGGAGATCACGGTGTCGGCGTCGTCATCGCCAGCTCCGCCCACCGAGAGATCGACCACTTCCGGTTGTTGCGCCATCCGATACAAAATCCAAATGAAAAATAATTCTAACACGAATCGAAATCATACCGGTAACTGATATTGAAGTTACCGATTGGCAAGCTGCCGCCGCCGATGCCAAGCTTGGCGCGGGAGGCCAGCGGAGTCCCAGCTGAACACTGAGCCGTAGTTGTAGCTGTATGCAACGCAAGCGGAGAGCGCACCAATGATACTGCCTGCCAAAATGTCACTGTAGTGGTGCCAGTTGTCGATGGAGCGCGTGATCGCCACCCACGCCGCCACGAAGGACGGGAGGAAGCAGAGCACCAGCTTGAGCATTTTGCGACCGCCTCGCAGTGCAGACTCACTTCGGTTTTTGCAATTCAGACGCGATCGTCCCAATAAATAGAGCTGTCATCACGCAAAACAGGTAAGGATCGAACACAGCGCGCATCTCAAATTGAAAGCGGGGCATACCGTAAGAACGAGCATCGTAGACCACGCAAACGAAGCATGACCGGATGGGAAGCTCTTGCGGCCTTCCTTTTCACCGGCAGGGTCAGTACACAAGTTCGCGATTCCATCCCACACGATATCGTACTGCCACTTGCACATGTCGTGGAAGCTTGGACGGAATCGACCAGTTAAGTTCTTGGTAAACTCGGTTAGCAGCTCACTCAGACTAGCAGACTGCGCCAGCGACAGCAGGAAGTCACGCGTGTCGTGGGTGACGAGACGCACTCTCCAAGCTCTCGGGAACACGTAGTTCATGAGCAGATTAACCGCTACAGGGAGGGCCATGCCCCAGAAGACCAGGGCCTCTGTTGTGACCTGCTCCGCGTGCACCTTAGCGTTGAGCGTTGGGTCTCGGGACCAAACGGTTCGGGTCGAGTTGATCTGCACTTCGATGCTCGGGATGGGGCGCTGCTGGACGGGAATGGAGGTGAAGAAGAGAGCGAGCGCGAACATGACCAACGTGCAGCTGAACTCGAGCGCGCGATACTCGCTAAGCAAGCGGTTGAGCCAACCACGAGCTCCATATTGCTCCCCACTTGACGATAGCTCTGGGGAATTCCCCATCATGAGTGTGTACTCGTCGACGTCGTCGCCATCCTCGTCCGCCATGGTCGGCAGCTCCATCGCCGGTTTTGACAGTGATCTGAATCGAGAAATCGAAGTTTGATTGGTCAAAATATGTTCGGTCACCTTCAACTTTTTGGCGGAGCTCTTGTTGTTCAGTAGACCTTGCTGCAGAATTGCTGTACTGTCAGATCATGATCCCTGGAAAATCGTTTCATTACATAAACTCTTTCCCTTATGCAAAATAAAACATCGATGCCTAGTTACCATTCGTTGTGCGGCTGTGGACATTCAACACGTACTTGCCCACCTCGCTTTCTTCGCTGCTTGTGTACGTCATTTTCCCCTAAACAACACAATAATATTGTTGTGAGCTTCCATTTGCAGAGCAGAAGAAAACAGCTTTCGTTTGTACCTTGCCGTGCAGATGGCACCCTTGAAGAGGCACACCAGCGTGCTGGCTGTGGAAGACCGACGCATAGTTGAAGCTGTAGGCGATACAGGCAGAACCAGCACCGATGATGCTGCCCGCGAGAATGTCGGCGTAGTGGTGCCAGTTGTCGATGGTACGCGTAACAGCCACCCACGCTGCCAAAAACGTGGGGATGAAGCAGAGGAATAGCTTCAGCGTTTTCCGTCCTCCTCGCATCATGGTCTCACTGCGGTTTTCACAGTTCAGAGACGATCTTCCGAGCAAATAGAGCTGCAATAAAGACAAACAGAAGAACGTCAGAAACTCGTCCATAGTATCCAAAGCCAGGAAATATACAAACGACGTTGGTGCATGACCTACCGTGAGAACCAGCATCGTCGCGAACGCAAAAGATGCGTGCCCCGATGGGAAGCTCTTGCGGCCTTCCTTCTCGCCCGACGCACTCTGGCACAGGTTGGTAACTCCGTCCCAGACGACATCGTAGTTCCACTTGCACATGTCGTAGAAGCAGGGGCGGAAGCGGCCCGTCATGTTCTTGGTGAACTGCGTGAGCAGCGTGGCCATGCTGGTGGACTGGACAATCGTCAAGAAGAAGTCGCGCGTGTCGTGCGGGATGATGCGCACGCTGCGGAACTTGGGCATCGCGTAGTTGATGAACAGATTAATGATGATCGGTGCACCAACGCCGATTCCGACCAGGGCGACCATGGGGACCTGCTGCGCCTTCTCCTTGTTGTTGATCGTCGGGTCTCGCGCCCAGACGGACGTCGTCGAGTTCAGCTGCACCTCGATGTTGGGGATCTCACCTGCAGAGCGTCACACCACTTCGGTAACTACTCAAACGCTCGCCCAACACACAAAATGCTCAAGCACAAACCACCAGTCGAGCAGCTACCGTACGTACGTTGTGCGACCTGGATCTTGGCGAAGAACAGCGCGAAGCCGTACATGAGCACGGAGATGGCGAACTCGGCAAGGCGGAAGTCGCGCGCAATGCGCTCCCACTTGCCTCCGCTTTGCTGGGGGCGCGACGGGTGTTCTGCCAGCGCCGGCAGCTCCGAGACCGATGTGATGGACTCCATGAACGGCACCTCGCTCGCGTTGCTCGAAGCAGCGCGGGGTCGGCCGTAATTCGACTCCGTCGTTATCGCTGCGCGGTGATACAACGCGAAGGAGGGCTTCTTCACCGCTTCTTCGCTACTGGATCGAGCGCCTGATCGACAGACGGACAGCCAGCAGACAGAGGGAGGGACCCGCGAGCGCACGAACGTGTGCAAGTGCCGGGGAAAAGCGAAATGGCTCGCGCAGCCAAAATGCCGCCGAGATGAGGTAGATTAACGCGTGCGACTGTCTAAATCTCAGGTCATTAAGGATAAGAGGGTAAGCCCCAGTCAAAGATGAGTCAAGGAGGAATCGATTATGTACTGTACCCAAAACAGTAAGCGTTCTCAAAGGTAAATGGCCAGTAATTTCTGACTGGACAAACTTTTTCAGCTGACGCGAAATACAGAGACAGGCCTGTCGTGCAAAGATGGACGCGTTGCAGGTGAGCAACTTGGCCGAATAGGTTCGGGCCGGAACTCCGACACAGATCGGAGCTTGTCATCGGGATTCCCGCTGACAAGTCTTAGTGCTCACGCTTTTGGCGTTGCTCTTCAGGGCTGGCACATCAACTGCATTGCACCAGTTATTTTAAAGTAGGAGCATCCGAGAACTAATCGTTCACCAGTGGACTCAGCAACAGGGTTGCTTCGATCGAGTGTTGGCATAGCACCCGCTGTTAGAACATACAAACGAATCGTTTCTTCTTCTCTTCTTCACTTCTTCTCTCTATCGCTAGATATCGTATTTTCGTGCAAGCGGTAGTTTGGGCTTCAGTCAGGGGGCACAGAGTTTCGGTAACGTGAGGTATACTTTAGCGTTTGCAGGATTGTTTTCGAAAATTGGTTGCTTTTTCATCTGGCCGTTGTTGTTCTCCTGGAACTTAAGTACCTTCCAGGAACTAACTGCTCACGCCAACGTGGAGCCCTCGCTGTCCTCGATTTTTGCCTACTCACCAACACGAATCGTCAGTTCACATGTACTACGAAGTATGTTGCACCTTTCAGCGCAAGGTTTTCAGCGCACCTTCCTCCGTTCGTGAATTGCATCCCACGGCAGACCAGAGACTTCCCAGGCATAGATAGAACCGTAGTTGTGGTTGTAAGCTAGGCATGCAGCGGCAGCGCCGACAACGCTGCCAGCCACGATGTCACTGTAATGGTGCCGGTTGTCGGTTGAACGCGTGATGGCGACCCACGCTGCACCCAAGCACGGCAAAAAGCAAAAGAATAGCTTGAATGTCCGAATTCCCTCCTGGAGATTCGAGTTACTTTGCTCGGGTCTTGTCAGTCGTGCGCGTCCAAGTAGGTAGAGCAATGACAAAAACAATCGTGAGATACAGCTGATACAGCGATGTGTTTTCAGCATCCTCCCGCTTTGCAGCTCACCGTAAGAACTCCCATGACCGACCACGCGAAAGAAGAGTGGCCTGATGGAAAGCTCCTTCGGCCTTCACCGTCTCCGGCCGAGTTGCTACACAAATTGCTAACTCCATCCCAAACCAAGTCATAGTTCCATCCGCACATGGCGAAGAAGCACGGGCGAAAGCGGCCTGCCGTGTTCTTCATGAAGTGACCAGAAACGTCGACAGCGTGATAGCCTGTCCGAGACTCAGCAGGAAGTCGCGGAAGTCGTGGGCAATGACGCGGATTTTGAAGAACATCGGGACCACGTAGTTGATAAGCAAATTGATCCCGATAGCGATGGCAAGACTGACGATGATGAGCATGTACATTGGAACTGGTCCGACCATTAGTTAGTGCAAAACTCACTTCGATATAGGTAAGACCAGCATCGCACCTTGCTCTGACAGCTTCTCTTGATCCATGGCAGGGTCGCGCCCCCAGATGCTAGTGGTGGAGTTCAATCGCATCTCGATTCTTGGAAGAGCACCTGGCATTCGTCGTCATGAGCAGGTCTGTTAGACTCCATGCATACACTATTCCTCTCCGCCACACCTCATTGAAATACCTACGTTTGTGCAATGCCATCCAATTGCCGAGTCTCCTTGCAATAACGTACAGCACAATTGCAAAAACATATTCGACCACGCGGTAGCCGCGAAGCACTTGTTGCCATTTCTTCTTGGAGTACGAGCCATCCCCAGCACTCTCCACGGAGTCCGTCACCGCGCCACTGTCGGGCTTCTCGTTTTGGGCAGGCGTGCAAACAGTTTGGTAGTTGTCGTCTTCGAGACGGAAGCCGCTGGCAGTCGCGGCAGCGTCGTCGCCCATTTCGGTCGAGAAGAACGCAAAACCTAAAATGTACGGTCTCAAAAAGGGAGTTTGTCGCAGGTGATTATGCTCATTTCTCTCCGCAACTACCGGTACACACCTGAAACACACGGATCTCGTTCATGTAAAGTGCGAACACTTGCCAACGGCGTCTGTACCCCTCTTAAAAGAAATCTATTGAACAACTCGCACGAATTACACTCGCTGGCTGCTCGAAACTCTAGTGTTTTGGCTCATCATCTTCTCGTGGGCCTCTTGGGGGTCGTCGCTCATGGACTCCGACTACATCGTCAAAAGGTTGTAAGATTTCAGCTGCAACACATGAAGCAACGGGGTACAGAAAGGAGATTGCCTTACCTTGATCTTCTCGTGCACCGCTTCGCACGGCATCCCCGCGTACTTCCGGCAAAAGATGGAGCCGTAGTTGTAGCTGTAGGCCATGCAAGCAGAGATCGCGCCAATGATGCTACCAGCCAGAATATCGCTGTAGTGGTGCCAGTTGTCGATCGACCGCGTAATGGCGACCCAAGATGCCGCCAAGCACGGCACACAGCAGAGGAACAGCTTCAGCATCTTCGTACCACCCCGCACAGCAGATTCGCTGCGGCTTTTGCAGTTGATTCTCGATCGCCCGAGCAGGTAAAGCTGTAAGCGATAAGTACACCGTCAGTATCCATACAGCTACCACAATGGAAAAGGCTAGAGCAAACGCACCGTGAGCAGAAGCATCGTCACCCACGCGAACGAAGCATGGCCAGACGGAAAGCTCTTGCGACCTTCTCTCTCGCCGGCTGGGTCAGTACACAGGTTGGTGACTCCATCCCAAACCGCGTCGTAGTCCCAGCCGCACATATCATAGAAGCTCGGGCGGAAGCGGCCAGTCACGTGCTTGGTGAACTGCGTGAGCAGCGTCGACATGGTGACGCCCTGCGCCAGACTCAGGAAGAAGTCGCGCACGTCATGCGGGATCACGCGGACGTCACGGATCTTCGGCAGCACGTAGTTAAGCAGCAGGTTGGTCGCGATGGGGACGCCGACTCCGAACAAAATAAGAGACCACATCGGTACTGGGGTAGGAGGAAACAGGTTAGTTCAATACATGATCCACGTAGCTCATCAGCTGAGGGGGTACACCACCTTGCTCGTGCAGCTTTCGTTCGTCCACGGTCGGATCCCGCGCATAGATCGTGGTGGTGGAGTTGAGGCGGATCTCGATCCTGGGAATGGGGCGGTCGTTCACGGCCATCAGCGTGAAGGACTTGGCGACGAGGAGCATGGCCAGCGTGCAGCCGAACTCTGCGACACGGTAGTCGCCCAGCACGCGCTGCCATCGCCCGGGGCGCTGCGCGACCGCGTCGTCCTCGTCGCGAGGCTTCCAGGCGGGCGGGGGCGTCGTCACCGACAGGAACTCGCCGGCCGAGCCGCGCTCGAGGTCGGCGTTGCTCTGCATGCCGCTTACCTCTTCGAGGTCAAAAACGAAGTGATCAAGGTGAACGTGCGCTCTTGAATCAGAGCAGCTGCACTTGCTACACTACAGTGTAGAAGCCAGTATGGACTCGTGCGAACGGAAATGATTACAGCTAATCGATTGATTAAAATGATGCAGCGTACAAAAGCGAAGTAGTTTCTGCTAACACTTGACTTGTATGTTGCAATCTTTTGAACATGATTCTCTTTGGCGCAAGCCTTGGACTCCATGGACTCGATCCACCGACACCTTGAAAAAAGCTAGCCCTTGCGCCTCCCAGCCTCTTCTTCTCCAGTAAGAGTCCTTACGGACCGCTGTCTCAACTTGAGACTCTCAAGAGCCTTGAGTCAAGACGCCGCCTCATGCCGCTGCTGCAAACCATGAATACGGCTTCATGTACAGGGACCTTCGCACTTCCAACCACAACAGCATGGATCCAGTCTAGATCGATGGTCATAGGGCAGTAGCCACGCATGGGGCAGGGCCTTGAGCTGTGACCAGCAATTTCGTCACCACGCGAGCGCGAGCCATAATCGCCAAAGGTGTCGCACGTTGCAGCAAATTAATCACTTGTGCGAACGCCGAATTCCGAAGTGATCCCAGGTAGCATGAAGACGTTACGGAGTTAAAAAAAAGCTAAGCAGTGGCGGAGTCCCTGCTGCGACAACTTAGATCAACGATGCAGTCGCTCGACATGTGCTTCAGCAGCGGAGGGCCAGACTCAAAGTTGTGGTGCCACATCGGCTGCTGGTCGAGGTGTTCACTTCTCGCTTTCTTCGCCTTTTTCTAGGGTAAAAGCAACAAAGATTTCTTAGCAAAACGCCGCTTCTACTCCTTAGAAGGATTCGTCCTGCTGCTCTCTTACCATGCGACGTTCGTGGATCTCCTCCAGAGGCAGGCCTGCCGATTCCCAGCTAAATATCGACCCATAGTTGTAGTTGAACGCGAATTGTGCTGACGCAATGCCGATGACACTGCCAGCCAAGATGTCGCTGTAGTGGTGCCAGTTGTCGATGCAGCGCGTGATGGAGATCCATGAAGCGATCAGCACTGGCGCGCAGCACATGAACAGCATCAGCGACTTCTTGCCACCTCGCAGCGTGGAGTTGCTGCGGTTCTCACAGTTGAGGCGTGATCGGCCCAGCAGATAGAGCTGTTCACGCAACATTGTCAGCTTTTAGTCGTCGCTATCATCAATCGCAATGCAGCAGCAACTTACCGTGAGAATGAGCATAGTCGCCCACGCAAACGAAGCATGCCCCGACGGGAAGCTTTTGCGACCCTCCTTCTCGCCAGCCGCATCCGTACACAGATTCGTGACTCCGTCCCAAACCACGTCGTGGTTCCACTTGCACATGTCATAGAAACTTGGGCGGAAGCGACCGGTGATGTTCTTCGTAAACTGCGTCAGGAAGGTCGCGAGAGCCATGGACTGGAAGAGGCTCAACAGGAAATCCCGCGTGTCGTGAGCGATGACTCGAACCTGGCAAAATGCCGGGAGCACGTAGTTCATCACGAGGTTGATTCCCACTGGCAGGCAGATGCCCAGCGTCAGCAGCAGCCACATCGGCACTGGAGGTCACAGTACATAACAACTTTAGCTAGGTGCTCATCCCCTTAATCAAAACAAACCAGCCTCTTTCCAACAAACTCACCTTCCTCCGACAGCTTCTTCTCGTCGATGGACGGGTCGAGCGACCACGCAACAGCCGTGGCGTTCAGGCGCACTTTGATCCCAGGAATCGGGCGTTCGTGCACTTCAATCTTCGCGAACACAAGCGCCAGCAGATACAGGACGACGGCACTGCCGAACTCCAACAGTCGGAAGTGACGACCGAATCGTTGCAGCGCGCCCTGGGGCGGTCGGGTCGAGCCAGCTTCAGCGATATCAATGGGCGTGTCGTCGCTCTCGTCATTGGGGTCTCCGTGGAGCGGTATCCCGCTAGCAGACGATTGCATGGCTGCAGGCAGCGACGACGGAGGAGACCGCGCCATCGTGGTGTATCCCGCTTGGATGTCGTTCTTCTCGCTCGAACGCTTCACGCCGCCCACAGTCATGGCTTGCACTGCTGGATAATTGTGGAATGGGCGGCTGCAAGCTGCAGCGACAGTAAACACGACATCAGGCGGCGGCAGATCGCAGGCTGCTATCTTGCATTTCCGGGATGGATGGATTCTCTGGTCGGTCTTCGGTCGGGACCGGTACAGTAATTAGGCCACAAATGACCCGTTATGAGCTTCGACACGCCAGGCCAGGCCAGAGCATGCGTTAGACACTTGAGAAACCTTCCGAGTCTCGATTATGGCTGTATCGATGGGCCCTTCTCGATTCACAATGGCTGCATATTACATTGTACCGTAATTTTGGTACAATCTGATTCGGCTTCTAAACTCGAAATAAAAAGCGAAAAGAAAGATCGATCGAAGTGAAGAGCTCCGGAACTGTCATGCGCCGCTCCACGTCGCGCAGGTGAGCCCGGCCCCGCGATATTCGCTGTGTATATGTCTCTAATGCAAACTTAATCGCCCCCGCTATCCATGTCGTAGCCGCTACTCCGCTTCTGCCTCTGCTCGCGGCGCCAGGTGCGCTGGAAGCTTCTGCTTGAACTTTTTTCCTTATGTATGGACAAATTATTATTTTTATCAATTGTGTTACTATTGTATCCTTGCTGCTCTAGTACCGAGCGAGATCGTGTGTTCGACAATCTGCAGCGTCGACTGGCTGCGCAGGACCTGAGCGATCGCGGTGCGGAGGCGGAGGATGTGTACGAGGATAAGCGCAGCGTGCCGCAAGCTGCACGCTCCAGTCCGGCTGCAGCCGCTGCAGTACCGACGACAGCGCTGTGCCGCTTCTTCGTGCTGGGCAAGTGCCGCTACGGCAGTCGCTGCACGTACTCGCATGCGCTCCCAGAACAGGTGAGCGAGTGTGCAGCGGATGAGGCTGAGGGACTATCGGCGGCAGCAGCGCTCGTAGACTGCCCGTTCTTCCTTCGCGGCAATTGCAAGTACGGAGAGCACTGTCGACTTCGCCACAATCCTGCCATGCTGCTGGGGGCTGCGACCTCCGCTCGTGCTGCTCCGAGAGCTGGGAGGCCTTCGGGTGCCGGTTACACGTCTTCGAACAACGCTGCAGTTAATGCTACGGCTGCGACTCGCGAAGACAACCAGCAAGACTTCACATGCGGTATTTGCTTCGACGATATTATTCAGTCTGGCAAACATTTTGGCCTGCTAAGTAAGTATCAGTCCTTTGTCATTGGAGGGGTGTCCTCTTGATGAAACTTATATTTGTGTCAAACATGTAGGCTGTGATCACTGCTTCTGCTTGGACTGTCTTCGTGAGTGGCGCCAGTCGAAGGATATGGAACTGGAAGTGATTCGCGCGTGCCCGGCGTGCAGAGTGCCTAGTGACTTCATTGTACCCTCGCTCATCTTCTGTAAAGGCGAGGAGAAGCGCAAAGTGGTCGAGGCGTACAAAAGCCACTTGGCTCTGCGCGAATGCAAGTACTTTAACGGCCTCTTCGGTAGCTGCCCGTTTGGGCCGCGCTGTTTTTACGCGCACCGCGACGCTGAAGGTCGTGACGTAAAGCACCTGGATCGCCCCAAGCGCTCCATGAAGCCGCGGCGTGGCCGGAACGGACGACAAGGTGGTGATGCAGCACTGCAATCGTTGCTGCAGCAGTACAGCCACCTTTTCCGCTTCTTCGAAGTTGCAGACTGGGACGACTTCGATCTGGTCGGTGGCTTGTACGACTCGGATGACTCGGATGACGACTACTTCGAGTATAACTATGGTTTTTCGGACGATGAATTTGACTCAGATTGAGCAGCAGATCAAGGGTGACAGCGCACTATATGGTGGGGTGGTTGTATGCGGAAAAAGCGAAGCGGCGAAGAAGAAAAAGAGAAACGAAAGCAAGTATAACACTGCGATGAAAACAAGATCACGCATTTAAACGTCACCAACTTTGTCTATCCATCGTTTCTAGTACGGACGTCTTGTAGCAATGGTGATAGGCTTCCACTGTCGCTGACACAAAAAGTTCCAAGGGGATTCAAACAACTGACTGCACTGCGCTCGCGTTGATTCATTTGATTGCATTAGTCAACCATGGGTCCATGGTGTACAGCTTCATTGTAATTTAAACGCCACTCTGTCCCACATCCATAGCGTCGTCACGCTCCTTCAGTACGTGGATAGCATCTTCTAAACAGCGAACGCAAAGCACTGTGGAGTTGAAGCGCTGATTGTGGCCATCATTAGGCGCGAAGCACAATCTACAGGCCGGCAGCACTGACTGTACTTGGAGATTTGCAGCTACAAACTCGCGCCACAACACCGGGTTCCGTCTGCGTACTTCGGCGCGGTCGTCGAGATGGTTTTCCTTCATGTACGCAGCAAGCTTTTTCCGCGTCATACGTTGGGGCGCGACTGCTGGGGCGGCATCAGAATGACTAGGTTCAAAATTTTCGGTTGCGCTGCATGGTTCAGCCATTATCGGTGGTACCGGCGCATCACTTGCCACCATAAGCTCGGTAATGTTGTTGTTGCTTTCAGCTTCCTCACTCGACCCTGCACTGTCGACGTCAATTATCTCTTTCGGAGGCTTGGTCGCAGCATCTACCAGTTCTGGATCTGCATCATCATTAATCTCGATGACACCAGCTGTGCTGTCCATGATTTGGTCGCCGTCGCCGTCTTTTGACTCAGAAGTAGTGGCAACTTCATCATCAGCACTCACCGCTTGATCTTCGTTGTTCTCCATTGGCGGAGGTGCTTGGTCGACAGCCTCTGCCATTTGACCTGCTTCGGCTTCCTCCGACACAGATTCAAGAGTAACAATTTGACTTTCGTCGTCTTGTTTTGCCTCGAGCTCAGCAGTTCCCCCTTCTTCGTCGAGCAAGTTCAGTCCGCTATCAGCAGTCTGGTTGGTGACTTCAGCGTTGGCATCCGCACTTGATATTGTAGTGTTCTCCTCAACTGGCGGCTTCTTTGTTCGAACAATTGCGTTCCTCTCAGAGGATTTATTTTCCAGGGAGGCGGCATCACGTTTCCTGCTTGATAGCAAGGCAGAGACTTCTGCAAGCTGCTCGTCTGGAACTGCGTTACCCTCAGCATGCAGCACCCTCAGATTCTGGACCGCATTCAAGGAAGACGCAGACAGTAGCGAAACTGCATTCCAACGAATATCCACAGTATTCAAATGTGAAGCCGCGTGAATCGAAACTGCTTGTATGTTGTTGTGGGCCAACCTCAGCTCGCGGAGCTGAGTTAGTTTGTTAACACACTCAGGAAACTCGATCAGCCCATTTTCGGATACGTCGAGCTTTTGCAAGTTTTTGAGGCGACCCAAACCCGCCGGGATTTCCGCTAGCTCATTGCCACTGAGAATCAACGATACCAACTCATTCTTGAGCAGCACGGAGTTTGGAACGAATGCCAACCGAAGGCCACGCAAAGTCAGCGACGCAGCTTCCGAATCTTTGATAACAGATAGCACCCCCTCACTCGCCAACTTGTCATCGCCGTAGGTGTTACAGGCAAATACCAACTGCCGCTTTTCCATCTCGGCAGCTATCTTTTGCGATCTCTCATCCACTTGTTCTCCAAACAAAATTTCGAGGCCAACAGCAAGGCGCCAGGTTTCTAAAAGAAGTGGCTCCGCTCGCATCTCGCTTTCGAGCAAACTGGACACTGCCTTCATATTTCTCAGCCGCAGTTCCACCGCAACTAGGGCTTGGAGTATCTGAGAGTGCTGAGTTCTCGCCCTGCCGAGGCATTTTCTTAAGCTTGCTCGCGCAGCAAGAAGCTCCCATTCATGGTCAGCAGCGTCTACATATAAAAAAATAATACCACCAACAGTCAGAATTGTTGGAAGGTTTAGCAAGCTACGTATTACGATTTGCGTACCTGAGAAAGCAAGCGAGAACTCTGAGGATAGCGCTAATGAATCGGTGAAAGACGCATAAAAGGTAGTCTGCTCCGGGCCAGCTACTGCAGCAAGACATAGCCGGAAAATCTCGATATTGACATCGTATGTAATCAATTGATGCCGCTCCGGATACAGGCAACCGCACACAGCGTCTTCGACAGCGTTTCTCTCCATGTCATCCTTAATTTGTTTGGAGACCTGGCGCAACATCTCAGCCTCCACACTCATTTCACCAACGTACTTGCGAAACAATTTTGCCAACCCTGCTTGGTGCTCTCGCCACGGAGAGCTACCAACGTCTTCTTGCTGAAGCAGATCCACTTCAAAAACGAAACGTTGCATCCAAGCGAGCTGCCGCGCTTCGAGTGATAAGGAGCCAAAGTGAGACGAGCTCAAAACCATTTGCAGTCCGTCAACAGCGGCGGATGGTTCCAGCAAGATGCCCATTAAAAGGCAGATATCCAATGCCACGTAAATATCTGTTCGTGGGCTCTCTTGCTGTTCCAAGACGCTCTTTTGGCTCATGTCACGGTGCAGCACTGAAAGCTGGCCCATCCAAGCATCCAGCAAAGCATCCAACAGCGCATTTAACGCACGCGCTTTGGATATGTTACTGGTGTCGCGCATAATGTCTTGAATAAACTTCTCCACCTTGTTCGTATCAACTTTCAAAAGGCACGCTAGACGCTGCATAACGTCTGGAAATGCCTTGTCCAGCGCACTCACAAGCGCTGAAGACTGTCGGCAAGCAAATAAATAGTGATGAAGGGCCTCTGGAAACAGACCTTGAGAATCCTGATTCATCATCGTGTGCATTATTTGATGCGCCTGCTGCTCGCCGCTCGGCTTATCCATCAATAGTTTCGCCGCAGTGTGCGACGCAACAGGGAATCGCTTAATCATGTCCAATTTGTCGTCAAGAAATGTTTTCAGGGGCTCGTCTCTCTCTCCACCCTCGTCTTGAAGGGACAATAAAAGCATCCAATTACTCAATACGACACCGCCAGTCTCCTGTACTCCATGACACTTGCTCTGATACGTTTGAAATGCAAGATCATACGTCACAAAAACTTGATCGAAACCATCTTTGTCAACGGTGCTATGGTGACTCTCGAGAGATTCAATAGTGTAAGCCATCTTTTTGATCGGGACAGCCTCGTAACTGCTTGCAGCAACCCAGTGCTCGATAATTTTGGGCATCTCGTTGAAAAGCAAGGCATGAGCGAAAACCAGACATATCACCACTGTTTCATCGCCGCGTAGTTGGCTACGCACCATTTTGCACCATCCAAATTCTGAACTTGTATCACCAATCTGCAGAAGCGCCGAAAGAAGCTCGAGAACGCGTTTTGTGGCGCCAGCACGCCACAACTTGATACACAGATGGAAGCATATCGCCGTCAACAGAATAGATAGCTCCTTTTTGGGGCTTGGGTCGGAGGCTTGTCCATCTTCACCTGAGTTCACTCGTGCAAGATGCTCTAGTAACCTCCAATAAATACCTTCTGCCATGCCCACCGAGTCAAAATCATACGTCGAGACATACCGAAGCCACAGCACATGAGAACTTGGAAGAAATTGAACGGCTTGCTCGACCGTATCGATCTCTGTCTGCTTGCTGGTAACTTGGCCGCATAGATGAAGATATAGCAACCACAATGCTTCACAGTATGCGTTGGCTTCGATTTCTAAAGCTCGAGAAAGTGTGTGCAAGCACCGTTTTAAATTTGACTCCTCGATATTCAGCTTCCGAGAAGTCCCGCTTCGATACATAACATTGAGCTCCTTGCAAAGAAAAACGAGCTGCTGCTGCAAGCGAGCATTGTCAGAAAGGTTTGCGGCTTCGTCACTGCAAGCAGAAAATAGGGCGTAGTCGTAAGAGCGACGCACTGTTTGCAGGATAGCAGTATTTACGTACCTTAGCTCAACATCAAGCTCGAGGTGGTAGATGGCCAAAAGAAGCCACGCATCGGTGGCATTTGGATCCTCCTCAACCTTTTTCTGCAGCGAGTCACCATATAGATTTCTTGACTCGATATCATCGAAGTATCGGGCGTCTCCAACAACAGGAAGCTCCTCTCGGTTAGCAAGCACAATAAAATCGTCGTTGCTCTCTTCAGCGTTGTCATCTCTTCGTTGAATGTCTTGCACCATGGGCGGATCAGGTTCGGATGCAGACAGGGATGTATCTATCGCAGTTGCACCAGTATTCGTCTCAGCCAACTACGTTTAATCAAAGCGTCAAAACAGTTTTCGTTCATCCATTGCATTTTGAATACAAAAATGGCACTTACCACCGAGGAAGGCTGGGAGGCGGATATCACAGGCCATTTGCTCATGATTCGTCCTCGAAACTCGGCGAAAGAAATCAGCAATTGGTCCATTCCTTCCGTTTGCAGTAACCGTGCATCGCCGTCAGCATCAGTGCTGTCACCAGTGTTGTTGGTACTACCCAGCACTGGTTGATAATCTTTGAGGTGATAATTCGAGCAGTTCCTATCGTTGCAGACTCCGTTCAGCTCATAGTGGCACAAAATCCTAAACGAAAAATAACACCATCAGATTGCAATAGTAAAAAGTGGGGTATAGCACCATTGATACGTACTTCATTGGATCGAGCCTCTTCGCAACAGCTGAATGGAGCGAGCCGACATCCCGTAGTTGCATTACGACGGATTCGCTTGCCACTGAGAATGGCTTCGCATGTTTTGACGAGAAAAAATTGCCACGGGAACTACGGGGACGATTCACTTCATCCAGTCTTGGAGAGAGGCTATTGCTTGGTTCAATTCTATTGGCTTGGTCACGAAGCCATCCCTCCATTTTATCGAATACACTGGCGATTTGACCGTACGACTGGTATGGAAAACGTTTCGTATAGCCGGGCATTGAGCCCTTTGGGGGGTTAACTCCCACGCAGGCGGAGAGAATAGTTGAGAGTGTGGCAGAGTTAGGTGATGTCACGACACATGCGCCCAGCAAACTTGCCAGAAACTGTTTTTGCCGTCGACTGTTGATCGCCACCGTACTGCTTAGACACTTTTTCTCCATCCAGAGCAAATTGCATGCATCAACAACAACTTGCTTCTCAACATCAATGAGTGCCTGGATACGATCTATCACATAGCAATACGTTAGTACAGGTACGGCGACGAGAGTGCGGATTTCAGAAATAAGGAAGAGTACCTTACCCGCTTGAGAAGATGAAAAAGTCGGTATCTTAAAAGATTGGCGCCCTGGTTGCCAACAAACTGGTTCTCCTCGTGTGCTGCGTGACAATGGATCCGGCGCTTGTTTACTTCCAACAGTGCTGACCAGCGCTATCGAAGGCTCCAGCAGCGAGCTGTCCATAACTTCGCCTGATTGCTTTCCCGTATAGATATTGAATTCCTGCTCCAGCCTCTCTCTCGAGATCACCTTTTGACAAAACAACATTCAAACCCATTAGATGGCAGTTTGCACCATGAGCAGTTCGATTATAACTTCGTTAGTTACCGTTCCCGTTTGCACGAGATGGCGCAATGCAATACGAAAGCACGCAGCTGCAGCCAACTCTGGAGTTTCAACATCTAGATTTGATCCAGCAGCAACTACACATAAACATATATCAAACACAAAAACGTTAGCCGTTTATCAGTTCGACTCACGGCCACAAATCCACATTCCACAGTTCTCACAATGATGCATCTCAGGAGCAGAAGGCGCAGCTTCATCTTTTCTTGTGCCCACGTCAACCTTCTTGCTCGGTTGGCTATCATTTGCCTCTTTCTCTCGCTTCCGCTTGGTCGATTGAGACCTTTGCGCGTTTCTCGCCAGCAACTGCTTTAGGTTCCTCGCCAGCACGCTCGCCGCCTGCTGCTGCTTCTGTAAATTCAAAAAGCACCGCAACAAATACAAGAAAACATTAGCACTATAAGCTACCGCAATCTGGAGCTTTTTTTACGAGGTTTTATACGTATCCCACGGACCTCTTGGGCTGCCAGCGCTCTGGCTTGGAGCTCCTTCAGCTCCTTCTTCCGAGCCAGAGCTGCAGTCGCGGCTGCAGCCTTCGCCTCTTTATCCTCGTTCGTTTGGGCGCTGGCCGTTGACGTTTCCGTCTCGTTATTGGCCGTAGCCCCCTCGTTTTGGTCACCCTTCGATTTTTTGGCATGTTGAAGCTCGAGCAGCTTCAGAAGCTTCTCCTGGCGCGTCATGGCCTGCTGACGCTTGGCAATCCAGCGCTGCCGCTCCTCCTTCAACTCGCGCATACGCTCCGCCGCCGTTTGCGCTGCGTCGGAGGCGACGGAGCCCTCGGCGGCCGCCGCCGCGGCGCTTGCCTCGCGCCCCACCTCCATCCGCATTGACAACTGTGGAATCTGCCCAGCTGGTGTGGCGAACACGAAATTCGGAGTGATGTTCATGTATTTCCAGCCAATCAGCGTTTGCAACCTTTCGCGGCCGAGGATCGCACTTGCAGTCCTTAAGATCGAGCATCGAGAGCATGTCGGGCGTGCAAGTCGTCGCTGGAGGCAACCCGCGCAAGGGCGCGATGGATGTGGATGAGCGGGACCAGTGCATCCGCGGTGAGTACAGTGAAGGTGGGGGAAAGCGCGGAGAACGGGGCTAATGGGGCTTGTTTGGTATTATATTCAGACATTGTGAGCTGGTTCCAGCGCAAGGCGGATCTCGAGCCTGCAGTGGAGAAGAACGCTGGTAAGGGCGTGCGAGGAGAATCTGACAATATGTGACAGGACAGGATGGAAAGCATTGATGTGGTCTCTGAGTGGCGTAGATATTGAGGCGCTGGAGAAAACATTGGGCATGGAGATTCCGGAGGTTGGTCCTTTGACAAGCGATCGTACAAACGCAGTAACCACTAACGAAGTAACTACCGGTAGGAGCTACGCAGCCTGCTGACAACCCAGAGCGGTGGGATCTGGTTCGACGACTACAAGGTGGGGCTCTTTTTTTTTGAGGGGGGGGGGGGTAGTCGTGTGATAACTGACACTATGCTTCGTGTCTTGACAGTCACTCTCGGCCGATGTAGGTTTTAAGCCATGCTGGGGAGTTGTTGATGCTTCTTTTTATTAACAGTATCATGCAACGAACAGGATATCATCAACAAAGCGGAATCGCTGGGGTCTATCAAGGGTTGGGAGTCTTTGTTCATTCCGTTTGCAGCAAATGTTGACGGTGGCGCGCTCATCACCGATACAAGCGCCAGGAACGCTGTCTTTGAGTTCAACGAAGACGGCAAAGGTGATCGGCCTCTTGCGCCAACGTTGCTCGAGTATCTCGAGAAGTACAGGAACCGGCTTTTGTCCGGTAAGTTCGATTTCGTCGAGGACGTCGGACTGGTCGAACGCTCGCGAAAGTAGCAAGCGAAATCACCTGCGGCTTTACACAAGGGCTATGAAGTTTCCATATGCCAACTGCCGAATTTAATTCCAACCTTTCCATTGAATCCACACATAACTGACTGGAGCATTGCAACACGAGTTCATGAATAATTCATTCAACCGGTTCTACGTGTAGCTATGACATGCTCTTAATGTTCATGCGCTTCATACCGGTTCCTGATTTTTCCATTTCACTAGCATCAGAATCGAATGCGCCCTCGTTTCGTTCTTCATCTTTGAGAAGACGGTAGTGACGGCGCCGCAAAAACCAACCGAACATCGACACGAAAAAGCCCAGCACGAGCATTGTTCCGACGAGGCCAGCGACAGAGATGTCTTCGGCACCCCCTGCAACAGTTTGATCAGCAATGGAGAAGCTTAATTTCGCACCGTTCGGCTCAATACGACGAGCAAACGTGCCCATGGACCGTAAGATACTCGTTTCGTTGCCTAACTGGTCTTGCAAGTTTTCGACGATGTCATTCAGCGACTTCTCGCCTACCCGAGATGCCGGGAGAATTTGGAAGAAAACAACGATGCTGCCGCGTTCAAGCGCCGTAATTTCCAGTCGTGAGCGCGGAATTTGTAGCGCAGAAGCGACCTCGGTGGTGAAAGCAAATTCGAATGCTTCCACAGCTGTAGGTGAGAAAAGCACCTCATCGTAGCTCATTTCAACTTCGTACTTCACGACTACCCGTTTCGAACCGCATTCAATCCCGTTGCAGATATCGGTGACAGACGGCTTGGTGTCCGTACAAAACTCCTCCGACGGGGCCTTCTCGTTAGTCGAAAGGTCAAAGCACACCGCATCACGCGTCCGCCTCCCGCCACCGCAACCACTATCACATTCACTCCATTCTGTAGCTCTCCAGACATATTGCGCCCCATCCTCACTCGTCTTCGCACTGCAATCTGGAGGACCATATCCCGGTCGGCAAATGCATACAGCGTCCAAAGAGTACTCGTCGATAGCAGTGTTGCTGGCTTTCAAGTGAGAAGATAGAGCACGCATTTGACGATGTTTGGGAGACTTCTCGTTGTGGTAATTGGGGAAACACGTGCCATGGCCGGAGCACGAGAGTCGTTCACACAAATCAGGCGGGTGGAGCGGACTCACCGCTAACGACTTGGCAGACCACACTGAGAATCCGTTCACGTTGTGTGCACGCACTTTAAAGGTATACGAACGTCCATTCACCAGTGGCTCCACAACTGTCGACGTTGGCACTGACTCCACGGCACCAGTTGAGACGCTTGTGTTTCCAGCGTGGTTGACAACGTTTACAGAAGCCGAGGTAACCCTTTGAGTCCCCACCAGAACGTTGTCTTCCTCATCAAACCAACCCACTTCGTACGCGGTAATAGAGTCCAGACCATCGTCATCCGGCGCCTTCCAAGTCACAGCAGCGCGTCCATCAAACGCGACGGCATTCACGAGGGTCGGATTGGACGGGACACCATGCATCTCCTCAGCCGGCTCAGTTGGAATTGGTGCGTCGTGCGACGATGAGCCCACCACAACTTCAGATGCTGCACTACTGGCCGTCTCTTCCTGAGCTGTTAATCCACTTGGTGCCACGGCACTCGCTTTCGTCGCTGACAGCACCAGCAAAGGCTCCGTCACCAGGGGGTAAGCCATGATCTCAACCTTGTCCAGACTTCCATCACCTGAAGCAACACCAGCGACGATTTCAGTACCAGCGCTCCCCGTGCCAGGATCTGTAGGGAAGCGAATCTCGACAGTGGCGTCGGAGCTTGATGCAGGTCCAGCAGCGTGCTGGTGGTGGGATATACTCCCGGAGCCATCGCCAACGGAAAACTCCACGAAAGCGCTTCCGCTGCCACTTGAGCTTGATCGATACGATGTAGCAGCAGTTAGACCACATAGCAGTGTCAGAACGACCGCACAGCGCCAGCCTTGGCCCAGTCGGCGGGGAAGAGCTCCCATCGGGAACAGGACGAAGAGAAATATACTGAGTGACGCAGACTAGATTTGATTCAACCAATCACGTGAGCTATTCTAGTTAGTGGCATTTGATTGGCTACCCAAGGTGGGGCGACCCTGCCTTAAGGGTAGGGCCCTAACTTGAAGTGGCGCTCAGGGTATGCTGTCAGTTGCGCAGAGTGCTGCACGAATGACCTGGTTGTCGTTTCCCGCCGGAGTACGCCCCCCAAACACGTACATCGCGTCATTATAAACTACCGCCCGGTGCCAAGCACGAGGGATAAGAGGTGGGTCACTTTTGACCAACTTCCACGTCGGAAGAACGTCGCCTGCATGAAAAACCGCACAAACGTTAAGACACGAGATCTTAATCGGCGGCGCTGGCGAGGGGGACTTACCAGTGCCGACATCTAGCACGTACGCATCACCTTTCAAACAACCCGTGTTGCCTCCGTAAATAATCAGTTGAGAGCCAATACTGGCGCCGGAGTGGGTATAACGCGGCGCTGGTCCGCCTCCAAGTGTCTCCACTGTGCGCCACACGCAGTTGATATCGCTCTCAGTAATGCTCTCTGCAAGAAACACGTCTGCGTTAGATGGGTGGCTTCGGCCAAATGCAGAAGCTTACCGAGACTTACCAATTTCGAATACAAATAGTTGACCTCGCCGGTATTTGCCGTCGTATCCGCCGAATATGTACATGCGGTCTTTGATGACACACGCCGAATGAGTCGAAGACTGGCCTGGAATATCACCACGAGGATTGAGTTCTACCCAAGTCGGGGTTTCTGTGTCTGCGAGAACGAAATAACATAACGCGCGTTAGAACTGTGTCCACGGCAGATACACAAACTATAGAAAGACGAACCAAATCGTAGAGCAAAGGTATCGCTGAGCCGCTGTGGGTGTCCATAGCCTCCATACAAAATCACCATACCATGCAGTACTGTCAGCGAGTACCAGTACCGCATCGATGGTGGCGTTCCAGTCACTTTGATCTTCTCCCACTTCCAATCTCCAGACTCTATGAGGACAAGGAAACAACACAGAATTGTAAGCTTTGGCCCGTAAAACCCATTCATAACAATTATAATATGACAGCGCAGCGTACTGAGATTGAGCGCGTGGAGTTCAGTTAGAAATTTGCCGTCCATGGTGCCTCCGATGGCATATAGTGTGTCTCCAATGATAAATATCTGTAGAAGGTGTCCCGATGGTGGAGGAGTACCGCTAATCGGCGGTTGGATCCAATGAGGCGTACGATTCGTTGCAAGATCCAGAATATGGAGGTCGTTCAGCCGCAACTTGCCAACGATCCCGCCTACAACAATCAGAAGACTCTCATACAGCGCCAGCCCGCAGTCATACCGCGGGTCTGGGGGAGCTCCCTCTGTTTTGATCGTTCCCCACTCTAAATGAGCGATCGGCAGCTCTTCGCGTTTAATCTTTCGCGATCTCGCTTTCCGCTTGCCGGTCTGACTCGTGGGAGTTCGAGTACCTCTTGCGCTAACAACCTCTTCAGTGACAGGAGGACGGCTGAATGGACAACCACTCGTCTTTCGGAAGGATATTCGCTCCGATCGCGGTGGCCCTGGAACAAAGCTACCACTTAGAGAAGTTCTCGCCGCAACGGCAGGCGATGGGCGTTCGGAATCCGAAGACACCAAATCTGCGAGGTCGATAACATCGTCAATGTCGCTAAGATTGTCCAGCTGAAGTGACGCATCGCCTGAGCTTGGCAGTAGATCATAATGCGCTCTACTCCCACCAAGGCTTCCAGATACTGGCATACTACCAGGATAGCCATTGCTGTGATGAATACCGGACAACGAAGCGAGCTACCAACATGAAAAAAGCACGACTATACCATCAGGCACCTGACAACCCACGCTCCTGCAAGGTCATAATGCTCTACTTACTGGGACGTGGAGGTCTTGCCTCGTTCCAGCGTAAGCGTAGCTCGTCGTCGGCATCTCCATCGCTGGAGCGGCTGGCAGATCACTTTTCCCAGCTTTAAAGATCTGCTGAGCTTGACACAACGGACAATCACCCAGCGCAGCGAACGACTGCTGCATGCAGTAGAAGCACAGCACATGGCCGCAGTCCTGGTGGACGGGCACTTGCGTCACGCGGAGGCAGATCGGGCACGAGACGCTCTGCGCAGCCGGTGAGAGCTGCAGGTGCACGTTGTACGAGGTCTCGAAGCTGTCCCACGCACCGTCGTCCGCCTGGAAGTGGCCCGACGCGAAGAACTCCTCGTCCGTGTTGGGCTCTGCGGTTTTCTCCTCTCTGTCGTCCGCCTGGCGACGAGCGTCTTCGTCGCCTCCACCTGCCTCCTTGTCCAAGTGAGCGTCAAAGCCGCCGCTGTGATTAGCGCCACCGTCCCCCGCGGCCAGCGATGTGCCAGCGCTCATCAGACGCCTCATTCTGTGCCCCGCAGAAGGCCCAGCCGCGGGAGAACACCAGTGGCGTGCCTCCGAGACCGTACTGCCTCTCCTGGCGCTGATTGGTTGAAAAGTGCCCCTTCGAACACGCGAAATCAGCGACAAACACGGCATTTTGGAGGAGTGTAGCCATTTGTGTGAACACGCAGATATCATTTCGAAACACGACATTTCGGTGTTTGATGTACGGTCGATAACAGTTTTGAGCATTAGGAAAAGCAACATGCAAGCCAGAACTTCATGCAAGTGAGTTGTTGCACTCACGAAGAGTCCTCGTCGTCAATCGTGAGCATGTTCTCCGGGTCGTCGCAGTCGTCGCCGATCGGGCAGTTGACGTCGTCGTCGGGCATGTGGTACAGACACTTGCTGATGAGGAATTCCTGGCGGTACTTTTGCACCGTCACGTCTTCGGGCACGTCGTCGATGCAAACCTCAAGGAAATACTTGAACAGGAACATACCTCCGATGAATATCGAGAACATCCACACGCGAGCCGACGTGTCCAGGTGGTTGAAGAAGTCACCAGTGAACACTACCACGGCGGCGTTGGTGCACACCGAGATGGCTGCAAAAGCCTGTAGCACAAGGTACCAGTACCCCATACTGCGCACATTACGCGGGCGTGGGCGGCGCGACTCGAAAATGAGGCGGTATGCGTCCAGACGAATTTCGAAGTAGTTATTCACGTACGATAGCAGAGGCGCGAACGGAAACGCCACAACGAACATGGTCGTGAAGCCAAACTGGAGCGCCATCTCAGTGTAGTCATCGAACGTGCCATGCCAGTCGTACTGAGCCATGAAAAGCTCGCGCTCAGCGTCAGACTTCTTGTAGTCGTCCAAGTGACCCAATAGACGATACTTGCTCATGTACACGAACAAGCGCGGGATGGCAACCTCGGTAATGTTGCCGACGAACAGTCGAGAGCAGAACACGATGGCGAGCATGTACTCGAGCTCATGCATGCAGCTGATATCGCAGCCTTCGAAGCCTTCCTTGAGGAACGCCACGTAGAAGAGACCCGCATAGTTGTTGACAAACTGGAAGATGACAGTCTTCACGATGAGACTGTTCTCGTACTCCATGTCCGTGCGATGGTTCTCCTGGTCCACGAGTACGATGGACACATAGTTGTAGATCTTCGTCATGATAGTAATCTGAACAACGTTTGCCAGAGAGGACACGATCGAGCCGTACTTGTAATCGTCCAAAACGAGCTTGTCCGAGTCGTTGCCCTTGGTAAGATCGTACGTCAGCATGAAAATCGACGAGACGATGACGAACACAATCAGAATCAGGAAGGAGATGACAACCCAACTGTAGGCCACACGCTTTAGCTTCTCACGCGGAGGGAAGTATCGTGTGGACTTGCCGTTGATGGGTGACGGGATGCGCTCGCCGTAAAACTGCGGCCGAAGGTTCACCGTCTCCGAGAAGTGTGCAGTTCCCCAACGAAGCGTCTCCCGCGAATTGAGTCGCTTCCAGTTCTCGAGGTAAATGGTCATCCAGATAGTCATGAAGGCACCAAAGATCGGCGAGATGTACGCAAACACGGTGTTGTAGTTGTCGTGAGGGATGGAGTAGCTCACAATGCCCGTGACGATGCCCACCAGAGTCGGATACAGCAGCCACTTGGTATAGTGCCCCAAGTACAGGAAGTAGAGCGCCACCTTGACGCCGAAGTACTGGCAGATGCGGTCGAAAGGCTGGTTCATGGGGGACGTGTTCCACACGATCCAGTGCTCCTTGAGATCCATCTTCTCCTCTTCCTCGTGCAACGGATAGGTCTCCACGATGATCCCCTCGTAGATCAGTCGGTCGATGTCTTGGCCGGCTCCTGTCTGGTGGTTGGTGATGATGTGCTCGATGAGGCTGATACGATCGGTGCTGGAGAAGAGCGAGCCGTTGGGGCCCTTCCTGGTGTAGAAGTGCTGCAAGTCGCGGGCCTGGAAGTACGGCGCGAAGATGTAGTCGAACGGCGAGTAGCGGTACGTCTGCTTCACGTCGCGGATCGGGAAGGGCGCGATGCCGTACTCGGGGATGCCGTTGAACGAGGCGCGGCGCAGCTCCTTCGGGTCCAGCTGCAGGTGCATCTTGAGGTACTCGGCCTCGCGCCGCATGAGCTCCTCGGGCGCGCGGATCTTGCAGAACACGAGTTCCTTCCCCACCGAGTAAAAGAGCCGTAGCCGCAGCCCTGCCCCACGCAGGCGCTTGATGATGGTGTCGCGCTCGTCGCTCACCTCGATCACATGCTTGGGCGGATTAGGGAAGACGATCACGTAGTCCCAGCGGCCGGACGCCTCCGCCGTGGACGTGCCGTAGTCCAGCGGCACGCGTAGGCGCACCTCGGCGGTCTGGGGCTGCGGGTACGGATCACTCATTTGGAAGATGCCACCTCCAGGAAGGATTTGGTGGGAGGGGCTGATTTTTATTGGATACTGTACTCGGGGGTACCCCTGCAATCAAGTTGTCCAGATCGGCTGGTGGCCCTAATTTCGGTACATCGGATACTTGCAGTGTTAGGCCACAGGTGGAACGGTGCACTCTGTACACATGGCCGGTGTGCCCTGGCATCGTCGGCCTCGCAACGTTGGCAAGGCCGCCCGACCCGCAGCCAACCAAATGGAGCTGCCCTTTATTGTGCAGATGCTGATCTTGAATCGGCGTGCGAGCTGCCGGCATGGTCAGTGGCATCCACTGAGTGGATGCCAGAATGGTCCAGAGCTGCAGGCGCAGCAATCTACACCGACATAGAGCCCGGAGCGGCACGCAGGAAACGCCGTGGCTACAGTGGTGAAGATAGGACTCGTGCGTGCGGCTACCTTGGTGAGCTGGTTGCACGAACGTTTCGGTGCTCCGAGCCGGCCCAAGCAGCGTCCGGCGTGACGTGCTCGTCACGAGTAATGGGCCATTATTTACTAATGACAGGTGTTACAGCCAGATATAGCCATAGCGAGCGCGCAAGCCGCGGGTTGAGGGCGAACGGATCTCCTCAATCTGGGTTTGCTGTACATGTATAAGATAATTTATCCTGCGAGCTACGGACCACGGTATGGTTCCCAGGCGGGCTGGGTCGGCCAGCCCTGTCGAGCTCTCCTCTTACCACACGAACGTCCTCGTCACCTCGCAGCCGGCGATAAGCGAGGCTGCTTGGTTGCCAGCGGAGCAGCAAATGGTGTCCGGCGATCGCGAAGGCGTCGCCCTGTATCACGCCGGGTGGTGTTGCTGCGACCGAGCTGCGCCAATGGTGCGCGGCCAACGCGCGTGACGAAGCAGAAGCCTTTTTCTGTTCGAAAAGTACGAAACGTACATCTGATATTATATATTTCTGTGAAAGAGGTTCTCACAGCGTGTTCTACACGTGCGATTTGCTGGGCAAATGCACCATAACCTCGTCAACCCGCTATCAGTGAACCTATCGGTTCACACGGGGTATCCGATTCCCGGGGCATGCTTCTCCCTCAAGAGTCATATGTCTGCCCGAAGTTCAGAAAGCCACTTCGCATGAATCTCAAGGTGCGCGTCGGCCATACGTTTGATGGCGCTCGAAGCTTCGCCTGCATTCGCGAATTCACTCCTCCGCGCGCATCGAATCTGTGGTGGCGCTCGGTGACAACGCCGCAGCCGCGAATTGAATCGGTCGCGATCGGTATTTAGTGCAGGGGGACAGGCAGGCAGGAATGAGCAGCGCGTCGTTCTCCAGCCTCGTGAAGCACCGCATGCGGCGCGGCAACAGCACCACCATCGCCAGCGACGCCAGCACGTTCCTCTCGAGCGTGTCCTCGCAGCGCGCCACCATGCTGGCGTCGCCGTCGCTGTCGTCGTCGTCCGAGACGCTCGAGGACTGGATGTACTGGCAGCGCGACGTCAACAACGCGCACTGCTGGACCAAGGTGTACGGCGTGCTGGACAACGAGTTCCTGTGGCTCTTCAAGGGCAACCACTCAAGCCGCACCATGTTCCTGCAGATCGCGGTCTCAAGCGTCGAAGTGTCGGGCGAGCGCCAGCTGCGGATCGTGGACCCCAACGGCGAGGACATGGAGATCTGGCTGCTGGACGAGGACAGCTTCGTCGCGTGGCGGCAGCGCCTGGAGGAGGCCGCGGCGCTCACCACGCAGTTCTTCCGCATCACCGAGATCGAGGCGCGCCGGCTGCCGCGCAACAGCGCCTATCGCGGCAGCCTCGTGACCTACCGCCGCGCCAGCAAGCGGGCGCGATACAAAGCCGCCATCGAGTGGATGGCCTCGCGCTGGAGGCAGACGTTCGTGCCGCCGACGCATTGAACCAAGCAGCAGCAGCAGCAACTATCGTCGCCCGGTCTGCCGCGGTCGATACAGCTGCGGCGCCGGGGCCCACCGCAGCATTTCTCAGACCCGACGCTGGTGGCGTCCACCGCGAGGTGTCTCAATTGGCACGCCGCCAAACGCCCGGACGCCCGGAGCTGTCGTTTCGACTTATTATCGTGGCTGTAGCCACCTCCTAACTATTTAACAGAACCTTTCCACACACAAAACGCTTCACTTGAGTCAACCTTGGCACGAATATTTCCTCGAGCCCGTCCTTGCTCGATTTGATTGCGGACGGAGGCATGAGTCGGCCGTAGGTTCAAGATTTGCCCTTGTCGTGTATTACGGTCCACGGCACCGGTCGTGGAAGGCATCAAAAGCCGACGCTCGGAGCAACTTTCTGCAAGTGAATTTACTGCCACGGCAGGCGTTCGTACATGCTGATGTGGGTGAGTTTGCCTTCCACTTTCAAACGCCGTCGATCGATCGCATCGATAGGGCCTGTGGGCGGTTTTCGTACTGGACGCGCTGGCCGCGCAGGGGTACCAAACCGTACACGGACTCGACAACAAGTCTAGATTTCCTATCCCCGTCTCGCCGCCTCGTTGTTGCATAGATTCCCGCTCACTTCATATTTTGCGGCGGAGCGGACCAAGATCATAGGGAGCCATGCGGCGATTGTCGTTGACGGCCATGCCGTCGCGCCGGCATAAGCAGCAGCAGAGGGCGAGCCTCAGCTCGGCGTGCGGCAAGTCCACGAGCAGCCTGCGCTCGACGTTCGGCAACTTCGGCATGATGTCGTCGCTCTCGGGCTCGCTGTCGTCGGACTCGCTCACGTCGCTCTCGACCGCCTCGAGCTCCTACGGGGGCTTCATGGAGGACTACGACGACTTGGACGAGGAGCTCGAGGACCAGGAGTGCTGCGAGCAGGGCTGGATGTACTGGAAGAAGGACACCGACTGCTGGCTCAAGATGTACGCGCGCCTGCGCAACGAGCTGCTGTGGCTCTCCAAGGGCGCGGACGACGTGGTGGCCGTCGTCCAGATCGCAGTCGCGGGCGTCCGGACCACGGACATCGGCGGCATCGTCGCCCGGGGCCCCGCCGGAGAGAGCATGGAGCTCTTCGCCTACGAGCGCGAGCGGACGAGCGACTGGATTGACGCACTGTACGTCGCGGCGCAGCTCACGCAGTCCTACGAGCGCTCCGTGGCGGCCGAGCCGGGGGAGACGGAGATGCCGCGCCGCGAGATCAAGGAGGTGGAGCAGGTGTACACGGGCACCCTCGTCATCTACAACAAGGAGCAGAAGAAGTCGCCCTGGAAACAGCTTCTGTCGACCAAGCGGCTGCGCGACGCGTGCCGCCGCCGACTTGAGAAGTTCGTAGAATTTGTACACACACCGGGCCTGACGGACGGCACGTAGAGCTCAATAGCTCGCAACTTATTTATCAAGCAAAAGTACATTGCAATTGCCCACGTGTAACCAGCCAGTCGCTTGCTTTTCCGTCTCCGCTATGCTATCATCATGTGGCAAATACTTCGAAGTATCATTTACGCATGTGCTTTGGCTGGCCCTGGCTAGCTCGCCTAAGAACGCACTCGCTTCGGTTCGGCGAGGGGGTCGACTCGACCGGCTTCAGGTTCAGCGAGCTGGTGTTGACCACCGGTCTAGAGATCGTGACGCCAGCGATATGTATGGTGATCGCTTGTTAGCACCAGTTTGGAGGTCATGGTTAATCCTGGAGCATCTTGGGCTTGCTTATCGTGTGGGTGGGGTTTCCTAACGATGACGCCCTCAACTCCTGCTGCGACGATCATTACAGGTACATGTACAGGTATGTCTGCTTGGACTCAGAGGGCGTCATCCTGGTTCCTGCGGATCCTCTTCGTCCTGGCGATGCAAAGTTGGGCTTTCCACGTGTTGATGGCTCGGGGGCAAGACAGGGGCAACACAGAGTCTGTGTCACAGACACCTTATGCGTCGACAGCCTACATGTCCTACAACAACTTCTCGACGTCCAAGGCGGCTTTGTGCGCGTAGAACTCATCGGCCCACCTCTTCATGTGCTGCTTCTCGGCGGCCCGGGCAGCTTTGACTGGCTCCGGGTCGAGCGGATTGCTGAACATGAGGTCGAGGTGGTGCGCACCACCGTCGATGAGCACGGCGACCACCGAGTCCGAGTAGTTCTGCAGCACACCCGTAGCTGAACATGGGTCGTAGTTCCCATTGCTGAAGACGATGTTGCTCGCAACCTCCAAGAATCGGCGTCCACCGAAGTGAATGGTTGGCCATGCAATGCGTGCATCGATTCCCCACTCTGCGTGACAGCTCGCATTGTCCGCAGTGTAATTCCACGGCGCATACCAAAACATATCCGCTACTCCGTCCGTTGTTGTTGGGCCGTACAACTCGGCGCAGTAGATATAGTCCCAGAAGTCGCTGTCTACAGCATCCTCGGCCGATGGCGCCTTCAACTGGAAGCATTCCTTGTCCTTCGTGCTGTTGTAGTACACCCCAATTGTCTTCGCAAAAGCTCGCAGCAGCTTGAAGTCGCCGTCTTCGGTCTCGTCGAAAGCATCTTGCAAGTGCGAGCAGGCCACTCGCATCGGATACGCAGGCAGCTCACTCACCCCGTTCATTATGTACGAAGAAGCATACGGGTAATTGCCCATAGCCATGGAATCGAACGAGTCTTTCGCCCACTGCATCACCGCGTCGATAGCTTCGTCCGTGTCTAGCGGAGTGTCCTCGCAGAGTACGAGCGCCTCTTTCAACTTCCGGCGGCCGCTGGTGGTTTTGCCAAAAGCTCTCATTGTCGGCCATGCTCGACGGACGTTAGGCACGCAGTTCTGAGCAGACCCGGCAGCAGGAGAAGCATCGAACGTTGTCACCTGCGAATATCCGCGAAGGTCATGCGCTACTTCATCACCGAAGTACGATAAGATGGGGGCGGACGCCGCGATGACGCCGTCAATAATGTGCGGGTACTTCATGCGGAACCAAGACCCCAACATGCCGCCGTACGAACCGCCGAAGCCAATCACCGGGATATCGCGCTGCCACTCCTCCTTCAAGCGCGTGATCAGCACCGCGTAGTCCGCCAGCGCCTGCTCCGTCGACAGGTAGCGCATGTGTTTGGTCACGTTCCTGCCGAACGGCACCGACTTGCCGAAGTAGCGGTGCTCCGCGAACACGAGCATGGCGCCGAACTCGTCGGCGTTCTCCCACATGAGGCCGGTGTGGTTGAGGTAGAGCTCGACGTCGGCCTCGTTGCCGACGTAGAAGAACATGACGCCTCCGGGCCGGAAGTGGCGGTCGCAGACGAAGTATCGTTGCAGGTAGGTGGGTGCCCCGACGTCGAAGTGGTCGAGCGTCTGCGTGAAGAACTTCTCGTCGCATTGCGCCAGCAGATTCGAGGGAGCGACGTCCACATTGAGCGTGGGCTGCTGATCCACGAAGTCGCTCGTGCGAACGGATACACTGCCCTTCCAGCTGAAGACCGTGGCGAGCAGCAGCATGGGAGTGAGCAGCAACCCCGCGGTCGCCAGTAGCAGGTGGTGCCTCCCGCGTAGCGCGCCTTCATCGTGGCGGAGAGGCTCTCGGCCCAGCAGTATCGGCGTCTTCTCCATCGAACTTCGTGCAGGAAGATAGCAAGATACCAGGTTGAAGCCTGGCTCGCTTCATCGACGGACCTATCTTACAGCATATAATCTGAATCCAAGTCGGTATCGAAGGTTCGAACAAATGCACCTCCTCCCCCTCGCCGCGTGGAGCTTGATCGCTTGTGATATCCAAAAGCGTCGAGGGCAGGTCAAAGAGCTCGGCGAGCGCGAGTCCCTCCCGGCCATGAACAACCCTCCGTACCAGCCGTACGGCGGTCCTCCGCAGCAGCATCAGCAGCAGCCCCCGCAGTCGCAGCCGCCGCCGCCGCGCGCCAATGCGTTCCGTCCCTTCAACCCGGCGCAGGTGAACGCGCCGCTCTCGGGCAGCGGCGGCCCCGCCTTCGCGCGCAGTGCCAGCAGCGGCCCGCCCTCCGCCGGCAGCCTCAACGCGCCGCCCCAGCAGCAGCAGCAGATGGGCGGTGCAGCTCCGCGTGGCTTCGCGCCGCCGAACCGCAGCTACTCGGGTCCGGCCAGCCAGCCCACGGCGCCGCCCCCGCAGCAGTTCGGCGGCCACCAGGCGCCCATGAGCGGCGGCGGAGGCTACGGACCCCCCAGAGGCGGACTCCCGAACGCCCAGCCGCAAATGATGCGCGGCTCGCCGCCCGCCGCCGGTGCCGCGCCCCCCATGGGACAAGGAATGCGCAGCGCTGGACCCCCGCCGCCGATGAACCAGGGACCCCCCAACGGCCAGAACGGACTCACGCAGCAGTTCGCCAACATGGGACTCAATGGACCTCCGGGTCCGGGAGCTGCGGGCCCACCGAGAGGCCCGCCGCCGATGGGGGGAGCGCCGCCTCCGCCTATGGGAGGAGCGATGGCACCCCCTGGCGCCCCGCAGGCCATGCACCAGCAGCCCCCGCAGCAGCCGATGATGAATCAGCAACCCCCGCAGAAGGCGTACAACAACAACCTGCCGAGCGGCAACTTCCAGCAGCCGAACGACATGATGGGCGGTGGTGAGTTAGTTGTCCGTTGATGCAGGCTGAAGCAAAGGTGGATATGATGTGTCTGACTGGGAGTTTTGATTGAGTAGATGGATATGGAGGTCAGCCGGGGTTCCAGGGGCAACAGGCGCAGCAGGCGTCGCCGTTGACGGAGGAGATGATGGCGTCGCAGTGCGACCCGCGATACATGCGACTTACGGTGGGCGTCCTGCCGCACTCGCTGGAGCACGCGAACAAATCGAAGCTCACGTACGGACTTATTATTCGACCGTTGGCGCCACCCGACGAGGGAAAAGACCTGGATGTGGTCAACTTTGGACCCACGGGCGTTGTGCGCTGCCGTCACTGCCGTACATACATTAACCCGTTCGTGCAGTGGGTGGATAACGGACGTCGCTGGAGGTGCAATCTCTGTGGCGTGTCCAATGACGTCGCCAGCTCCTACTTCTGTCATCTGGGAGTGAACCAGCAGCGTCAGGACCGCGACGAACGCCCGGAACTCAACTCAGGCAGTGTGGAGATCGTTGCGCCTTCGGAGTACATGATGCGCCCGCCTCAGCCTCCGTGCTACATGTTTGTGATTGACGTTTCGGCTACCGCTGTGGCTTCCGGTTCCGTGCAAATCGCTGTTGATACGATCAGGGAGCAGCTTGACAACCTTCCTGGCGCCCCGCGTACGCGGGTCGGCTTTCTGACGTACGACAGCACCATTCACTTCTACAACTTGAAGGTTCGTGCTCCAGATTTTGGATTATTTCGTTGGCTGTGGGCGCACTGTCTAAGGGTTGATTTGTTGTTGGAACTTGATTGCAGTCAACGTTGAAGGCTCCGCAAATGATGGTGGTGGCTGACTTGGACGAGCTCTTCATTCCTATTCCGGATGAACTGCTTGTGAACTTGAGCGACTCCCGTGAGGTCGTTGAAATGCTGCTGGAGACGCTCCCTGCAATCCACCAGAATGCGCGCTCGGCTGAGACTGCTCTGGGCCCTGCTATCCGTGTCGCTTTCAAGCTCATGGTAGGCGGTTATCTTGATTGAATTGCTGCCGCGTTGGGTGCTAACTCCGAATTGATTGTATTTGTTTGCAGTCATCGATCGGCGGTAAGATGCTCGTGTTCCAGAACTCGTTGCCTTCGACTGGAAATGGTGCGCTCCGAAACCGCGACAACCCGCGCTTATACGGAACGGACAAGGAGCACACCCTGCTTCAACCTGTGGATACGTACGTGATCTGGATCTTGCTGGACGTCGTGGTGGCAATCCCGCGTGCTTCACAAGCTAACTGTTCATCATGGTTTGCATTACTGCATCGTTACAGGTTCTATCGTACAAACGCCATTGACTTTTGCCGTCAGCAAGTCAGCGTTGACCAGTTCCTGTTTTCTTCTATGTACACTGATATTGCCTCGATGGGTACGCTTTGCCGGCGTTGTATCTTTCTGCTTGACTTAACAATCGCACGAGCAGCTAACGTGTGCAAATTGTGAACAGGCTCCCTCTCGAAGTACTCAGCAGGTCAAGTTTACTATTACCCGGCTTTCAACGCTGAGCGGGACGGCGAGAAGTTCCGTAAAGAGCTGGCACACTGCCTCGTTCGCGAAACGTCTTGGGAGGCTGTCATGCGTGTGCGCTGCACGAAGGGCATGCGCCTCACTAACTTCTACGGAAATTTTTTCTTGCGTGGGCCGGATCTACTGGCGCTACCGACGTGCAACGCCGACTCGACGTTTGCCATTGAGATTACCCACAGCGACGCTCTGTTGACGTCCTCGACGATCTCCGTGCAGGCCGGATTGCTGTATACAAACTCGGGCGGCGAGCGACGTATCCGTGTGCACACTGTGTGCATCCCTGTTACCAAACGTACGTCAATGCGCGATGGGTTGCGGGTGGCAAATTCAGAACTGACGTGTCTTGCTTGCTGCAGTGTTTGCGGAGCTCTTCCGCCAGGTTGACCAGGATGCTCTCTGCAACATCATGGCAAAGAACGCGCTCGAGGTTGCGCTCAAGACTGGTTTGGACAGTGGTCGCTCGCGACTGCAGACACAATGCGCCGATATTGTGCGTGCATACCGGAACTCGGGCGCCTATGGGGCGAAGCAGCCCTCTGGCTACCAGCTTCACCTCCCGGAGTCGCTGCAGCTTCTGCCTCTGTACATCGTACGTTCTTGCTGTTCGTGCTTATGTGTTTTTGCTGCGTGTGTCTGACCTTAGTATGTTGTTCAATGTGTGCAGATGTCTCTATTGAAAAACTCGACCCTGCGCGGTGGCACCGACCTGAATGTGGACGAGCGCACGTTCCTGCAGTATGAGGTACGTCTGACTACAGTGGCTTAACACGATGCGCGTTTAGAGAAAACATTGACTAACACTGGGCATGTTTGCTCTATGCAGTTGAACAACATGCCAGTCGAGCTGTCGCGGGTGTTTATCTACCCGCGGATGTTTGCTCTGCACAACATGCCCCCGGAGGCTGGACTGCCCGCCGAAGACGAGGCCGGCGCTGAGGGTGCGGAGGGCAGCAAATCTGTTGTGCTCCCTCCAGTGATCAACCTGTCGATCGAGCGCCTGCAGTGCGACGGCGTGTTCCTGCTGGACGACGCATTGAACCTGTACCTGTGGGTGGGCCGTTCGGCACCGCCTGAGCTTCTGCAAAGTCTCTTTGGCGTTCCTTCCATGGAGGGCGTGGACTGCAGCCAGGTAAGGGGCTCTCTGCTCAGCAAGGGGAGCTCTTTGATTGGCGGGTGATAGATTACTTACCTTTTGACTTGTTTTGGTGGTTGGTTCACTCAGCTGAAACTTCTGGCCCCTCACGACGACACAAGCAACCGTGTGGACGCGATCCTGTCGGCGATCCGCGCGGAGAGATTGCCGTACCAGAACGTGGTGATCATGCGGGAGGGCGACCCGGCCGAGGGCCGCTTCTTCTGGAAGCTAGTAGAAGACCGGGCCAGCTTCCCTGGCGGCTCGTACTCATACTCGGAGTACCTGGGCCAGATCAGCCGCATGAGCCTCTCGGGCGGCACCGGCGGAAGATAGATTGCAACAGAAGAACACAAACTCACGGGCAGCGTGGTAACGGGAGCGAATGGATGAGTACCTTTTTAGATGTCGGTCTTCCTAGAACGCTGTCGGAACAAGTTCAAGCAGCTTGGTCGCGGATTATTGAGCGTCTGGATGTGGTTGCCATCCCCACCTAAACGGATGGCCATGCCATGCGATTGAATGTTTACCGCTGTAGCAGCAGGATATTTTACCGAGACTTGTTGAAGTGGTAATGGTCCACCGCCTCTCATTTCTTGAATTGAGCTCTAGCTTGCCTACAGATAAGGTTATACTACAGTACTTCTCTGGCCCACTTAAGAATTGACAATTCAATTTAACCTCATTTCTTGCGACCCCACCTGATTAGCTAAATATATGATTTCAACCATATGATTGGGTATAAAGTTTGATTAGAGAGCAAGCTCACAAAATTGCTTAGAAAAACCTCAAAATTTTGACGAATGCCACGCCTTGCGCACGCGTCCTACGACAGCGAAATGCCCAGCACTGTATCGACAGCTAACCAAGCTTTCCCATGATACCATTTTGGTGTAATATCGCCAAAAATTGTAGCCACTTCGCAAAAAAACCTAATGCTTCCCAAAATCGGGTTTACAAAATTTGTTCTGTTCCCCATATTCCTGCTGTTTTTGAGCAGCCAATAATATAACGCGAAACCACAAAATCTCAGCTTTCTTTGAGCTATTTTCTGTCTCCGACAGATTTTTTTGATTTTTTTAGAGCTGAAAAATAGAAATGTCGATTCTTGGGCGGGCCAGAGAAGCATGTTGCACACTCCTCTTCACGAGCTCTTCCACTGAGGACATCGCCACACGATGGTGAACGCCAGGGCGGTGCACTCGTGACGATTCCATTGAATCAGCGTTAGTCTCTGCTACGCTGGACTCTGCAACTCAGTCAACTGCGTCTTTCGTGGAGTGGAGAGCTCCGCCGCAACTGGATCGACATCTGTAAGCCGGATGTCATGTCAGCGTGGCACTTTGTAGGCCCGAATTGTCCTTCATTACACATGTTGAAAGCCTATGGCCGTGGCAGCACGTGTCTGGCCTTTCTCGACTGCTTCGGTACCAGCTCAGCTTACCATGATCGACAGCGCGCGGCTCACCGACAGAGGGAGGGAAGTCGGTCGGCATTTGGTGAAAGCCGAAACCAGACGAACGTGGCATCTGCTCTTCCGAGTGGAGCTGGCGCTTCGTACTCCTCCTCCTCACGAGGAAAAATGAACTGCCCGCCATCCAAGTCCAGGTATTCATTGCAACAATTCTTCGTAGCAGGCTCGCGCGAGAGTCTGGGGCTGCGGCGTTCGCGCGCGACCTTCACGAGCCACCTCAGCATGACGCCGCGCGCCTCGGAAGATCTGCCGCCTCGCGGTGACACCTTCTGCTGCGCGATGACCAAGTCGGCGTCTCCGCGCTCGCTGCGCGAGGTCCGGCAGTCCCGCGGCTCGTTCGTGTCGCTGAGCAGCACCATCTCCACAGTCTCGTCGACGCAGATCGCGTCCCCGCTGCCGCAGGGTCTCCGCGTGCAAGGGTGGATGTACTGGGCCCGCAACGAGGACAGCAAGGACGACACCAGCGCCCAGCGGTACACGAAAGTGTACGCGGTGCTGCGCAACGAGTTCCTGCTGCTCTACCGCAATGATCAACGTCCGTCCAAAGACGTCCGAGCGCAACCGTTAGTGCAGATTGCAGTGGCGAGCTCGTGGCGCGGCGTGGACGGCGTCCTGCACGTGGAGGATCCGTACGGCGAGACGATGGAGCTGCACCTGTACGAGCGCGAGGACTACGAGACCAGTCGCATGTGGGGCGACGCACTGGAACAGGCGTCGGAGCTCACGCACGCGCACTTCTCCCACTTCGACGTGAAGGTGGAAGACCTGTCTCGAGGCAGCGTGTACCGCGGTACGCTGCATGACTTCCGTCTGGACCGCGAGAGCTCCATCCGCAGATCGGTCACGCACATGAAGAAGTTTAAAACCTGGAGCTCGCTGCGCAAGTTCATCCCGACGCGGATATCGAGTCGCATGAAATACTCCCGATCGTCGGCGCCAAGTTGATGGGAGTCCTCCTTATTTATTTGGCGAGCTAGCTACCCAGCATTCTCGCTCCCCCTGCATTTGATGCTCCACTGGAAGAGCGTTGCAGTGCAGCTTGTAAATAAATGTGCTTTACTTTACATTACAGTGCAGTCACTCTTCCTACGTTTGTTCTTGGGGACTACCGGACCTTGTTGGTGTGGAGTTTCACTGGTAGGCAGTTCGCTGTCTCCGGAGGTGTTAGCAACGGCAGGGAAAGTCGTCACTCGACTCATAGTAGCCGTCGCCATGGAATAGTCATCAGCTCGTACACTGCGCTGACTACCTAGCGTGATGTCCAAGTTGAGGGCATGGGTGCGATTCTCTTTCGATGACGACACATCCGATGCCGATTCCTGCTTTTCAGTTGCTGCAGGAGTATCATCATCACCCACGGGTGACTCTACCGTCGTAGTTTCGACGCCTCCAAACACTACTTCCTTCAGTACGCGATCCATTTCAGCTCGAGACCTCCTTCTTCCTGCGGTCTTCGGGCGATCGCGGTGACTACCCGACGATTTGAGAATGGGAGCAGGAAGTTCGGGAGGTTCCTCAGTTCTGCTAGCTGTGGATTGACAAGGCTCAAGCTGTGGAGGCTCGGACGTCGTAGTTGCAGTGGTCTCTTTCAGAATTTGCTGTTCGAGTTTAGCCTTCAACAATTTGTTGGTTCGCTCGAGGCTTTCCAGTGCATGACGCAGATCCGCGTTTTGAGTTCGCTCAAAGTCGAGGTACTGCTGGAGACTGATCACTTCTTGCGTTTTGTGTTCCAGCTCCAGTGTATTCTCTGCCAGCGTTTTCTCCTGCACTGCGAGTTGCTCTCGGTACTGCTGCATAGTTGCGTCCACGTTATCCTCATCCATCGCTTTCCCCTTACGACGCCGCATCGACTTCTTTTTACTGAGAAGAGTGTTTCTGCCGTTCGCATCAGCGTTGTAGAATTGCACTGAGCCATCCCCGTCCAGCAGATCCGCAGAAGATGAAGTGTTCTTGAGATCGACAGCATACGAAGCCACTTTGTTGAGATTGCTGCTTGGTACAATCCCGAAGACGCTAAATTCCAAAGGCGAGTTTTGAAGAAACGCTACCAGCTCGGAGGTTATCGGTTGCTCGACCACGACGTGAAATTCCAGTTGGGGGTCCACGGATGGCGAAGACGTTGGAGTTGACTTGTGTTCCGTTGGTCCCTCTTGTTCTCCGTTGGCCCCGGACCAGGTAAAGCTTACATAAGCATCTTTACACAGCTTGCCTGGGATACCGCGGAGCCCTTCGATGAAGATATTTAGCCGCAGATTTGATCCGATGAAGCTCGAAAGTGTGGGAAGAGTAAGTGCGCCCACGTCCTCTGGACACGTCTCCACTAGCCGATGCTGGCACGCTTGCCATTCATGAGACAAAATAGTCGGTGTGATCTCACACTTGAGATTTCCACTGGTTCCACCCAAGTGATTGAAGATAGGCGTCGTCTCGTTGATCTTGCAGCCAAACACGATATTCCGGAGAAAAACAAAACTTTTGCCGATCAACTGGGGGCGAGGGGGATCGTAGAACGGGTCGCAGTCATCACCGTAGATACTTTTCCAGGTATCCACGTAGGCTGGTGAACGGTTGTGCTCGATAAATGTTTGGTACATTTCACGCATCACGTAGACGTTGGCGTGGAATTGTTCGATGTCCCACATTACGCTGCGGAATGTGCCTGCCTCTTGAAAGTTTACCTCCACTTTCAACTCGGCGCTGATTCCGTTACTGATCGCGAGCTCTTCGTCTTCTAGAGTTTGGGCTGTTCCTGCAAGAGCTGAGGGAACTGGGCCGCAAGTGATGAGACGCAGTGTAAACAGCGTTTCCTTCTGAAGTTCATCCGCGATTGAGTTTGCTTCGTTCACGAGCGGAATGGATTGCAGTAGTTGATCATCAAATTTTGCTCGCTCGACGCGTTCTCTCTCCTTCTGCGACCCGAGCACCTTTGCTTCCCTCATCTGCTTCTGAAGTGAGACCTCCAGCTCTTTTTGGCGCTCCACCAGCTCCTGTTGCTTCTTTTCAAACAGAATTTCCGCCTTTACTAGCTCTTCAGCAAGTTTTGACTCCTGCTGGGCCAACTGCTCTGCAAGTTTTTTCTTGTCGTTATCTCCTTCAGTTTGCATTTGGTTCTTGATCTCGAGTTCCTTCACTTTCATTTGCTCGTTCAAGGCCCGAACATACAGCTCCCACTCCTCCCTCTGTTTCCCCAGCTTCTCTTCAGCGAGCTTCTGCTCTGTTTGCATCATCTTCTCCATTTTTTTCATCCGCGCATCCATCTCGCGCTTCTCCCTTTCAGCCAGCGCTTCGGCTTCCAATGTGGCTTTGATTTGCTTGCTGTTTAGTTCCTTCATTGCGCATTGCCAATCGAACCTTGATTCATGAGCTAGATCATCGGGTGTAGGATTTTCTGGCCGAGCCGAGGGAATAACAACCCGGAAGACGTTCGAGTTGCCCAAGATTAATCGATCACAGTGATGTAGCTCCACCTCCTCTCCTTCTTTCAGCGGCTCTGCATTCACGAATACCTTCGCTCCACGACAAGCCGTAACAAACAGTGCCAAGTGTTCTGGTTGGGAATCACCCTCTTCTTCTATCGTGCCTTCTTCAACCAACTTCTTCTGCTCCCGCCGTGTGATCATACAGTGTTCTTTCATGATGCCAAGACCACCAACGACGATATTTTGCTCTTCTTCTGCGTCGATGCGGCCAACCTTGTTGATACCCGCATTGAGAAAGTATACCAACTTCTCGGACATCTGCTGGTCTTCGTTTAGGTTGAGAAGATGTGGATTCTTCATCGCCTTTTCCTTCAACTCGTTTGAGTCACTTACAAGTCCAAGAACCTTTAGCTGTTCTTCACGCTTTCTGGCAAGCTCCTCGGTTTCTTTGAGCCTCTCATTCCACGTTTTCTACCAGCACGAACCATGGTCAGCCCTTCACTCAATTAGTAACATGTAAAAAGTGCGTACCTCGCTTTCTTGGAGCAAGCGTTGGTTCTCCTCAAGCTGCTCGCGAATGGCAGCTAGCTCTCGCTCTCGTGCCGTGTTTATTCGCGGAGTTCCCGATGCACCCAAATCGCCGTCTGACCCACTACCACTCGCCATTCCTCTGGATGGTGGTCGAGCATCCATGTTTTCCATCATCGACTTGCGCAGCATTTCAAGCTCCTCTTTCAGCTGTCGAATGAGAATCTGGTTCGGGTCTTCGTTCACGATAGCCTTGTTTTTAATTTGCTTTGCCCTGTCAGCGTAGCGCAGAGTTCCCAACGTTTCCTGTGAAAATACACAGTTAGCCAGGCTCGATCCAACGCGAGGTTATGACTGCCCGTACCGAGTAATTCACACTAGCAGGGCTTAATGCTGCGATCATGATTGTCTTCGAATTACCACCCAGAGAATCCTTGAGAAGGTGAGTCTACATTATTGCATGTGCACAGTTGTGTTAGTTTTCACGTTGAGGTCGATTCTGAACGCCAACTGTACGTACAAGTTTCGAGTTTCGATACGGCACTAGCACCTTTTTGCCATTCGCAAGGTCTGCCAATGCAGAAATGCAGTTCCCTAACGCAGACAGTGACTGTATCGTAGTCGCAATAGCACTGTGAGCTCCGGATGTGGATTGGTATATGAGATTAGTTCTTCTTACCTGGTTGATAGCAGCACCCTCCTTCAACCGAGACCCAGTCGCTCCAGTACTGGCAGCCCGCTCACTTCCGGCAAGATCTATAAGATTGATCCGGCTCACTTTGTCCATCATCTTCCCGGTAGATGGATTTACTTCCGATTGCGTAACAATAATTTGGAATATCGTGTGCGCCCGCGAACTTGTGGCATTCATATTCGTAGATGCCGTAGTTCGCGCTAGGATGCCAGCATTCATTAACTATTGACACGCACAATGGTCAATTGATTTTGGAGAAAGGAACCCAAGAGATGGCCACGCAGCTCACCCTGTCAATTTCGAGGTATGATGATACTGCGCTACGAGTGAGACCCTCGGCATACGGGCCTTGACTCGGGTGATCACGGACCTTTAAATTATCTGACGATGGATTAAACAGGTCTACCAGTAACACAGTTAGCAAAAAATCTTGTTGCTGGTACATACGGTTCCCTACCTTTGACGCGCTCGTTGTAAATCTCCATCATGCTGGCTTCAACTTTGAACGTGACTTCTGTTGTATTTGCCTCGATTCGCTCGAAAATCACCTCCGAGGCCTTGGGAATGATTCCTTTGTCGGTACCGTATCCAACCATGGAGAAAGATTTTCCTGCACCTACACAGCCCGGCATTTCGTTTCATTTAGCTTGTTGCAATACATCGCGAGCAAATGCTAGCATAGCTACCTGTTTGACCATAGGCAAACAAGCTAACGTTGAATCCATTCCACGCGTGCTCAAGCACCTGGCCAAAACAGAGTTATTGGACTGAAAAAAAGAACACTTCTACGTCAAGCACCACGCACTCATACCTTGATACCAATATCTTCCCATACAGTTTGTTGTGACGCATGGTCAGGTTCAGATGCTGGAACAAAGCTATTGTAGCTGTTGGCAACGTGGTTAGCGAATCAAGCTTTCGAGCTGGAATCCGACATAATACATGTCCTGGTTACCTGTAATCGAACGTAAAAACCTTCTCCACGTTTGTCTCTGGGTCTGTGATGATCGTCTGCTGAGTTTCCTTCACCATACCTGCCTGCAATCGTTAGGCGTTCGAATCGTTAAATAGTTCGCAACCGAAGACTTGGACGTACGTATGCACGACGTGCTCTCCATGGACTTCTCGCGCTCGTTGTAGGGGCGAACCCGCACCGCGACCTGCACATTTTCAGACATGGCCCTGCTTCTGGCGCTGAAATCTCAATCCTTTACCCAGCAGGACTCCGTCCGCTCTCACGGCAACTTCGTTTGCATGCCCTACGCTGGTTTTTCGCCTACGATGCCCATAATAAACGTAACGGCACCGCATTTGAACTGCCTTTCAACAGTTTTAGAAGCCAAAGTCTCAACGATGCTGCTCGTACTACCAATTCACATGCAAAGATTGAGAAAGATGTCCACATCGCCTCTCATCTCAACCTTGAGTTTTGGCTGCGACTGGCGAATATCGGTGCGGCCCCAGAGAGCGACGCATAACAAATAAACGACGCTTATCAAGCAATAAAAAAACATGGAGCTCTACTACTCGACGTAGACATCGAAGGATAGCCCCCAAGGGCATTGCATTGCGTGCACTTCAACCGGCGGAACCAGATGCTGTACCAAAACATCGGCACCGTGGTGTGGCGCACACGACTCGCCGTGGCCCTCCATCGGGCTTGCACCACCAGCAAGGTCAGGTGCTGCACGAGACACGCGACCAAAGAGAGGGTCATCGCTGTCTGCACGCACAGCAACTCGCTCAGAATCGAAGAGGTCTCGGCGGTGGCGGTGGGTCACTGGTCCTCCCTCTCTCGACGCCGTCTCCATGCTCTCGCTCGCCTCCGCCCCGCGCGCGCGCGCCGCGCTGCTCGCCGCGTCGCACGGCCGACGCCCGACGCTGCGCGTGCCTCCCCATGTGATCCGCGTGCTGTCGACGCGTCCGACGGCCGAAGTGGCCGCGGCCACGAGCTCCAAGGCGGCGGCCACCGCTGCAATTGACGCGGCCGACGTGGCGCCGCTGGCCAACGCGGCGGCGGACATGACGCTCAAGGAGCGCCTCGCGATCTACAGTCAGCTGGGCAAGGCGCGCCTCAGCGCGCTGGTGGTCATGACCACGGGCGCGGGCTTCCTCATGGCCGGCGGACCAATCTCCTGGAGCACCTTCGCCGCCGCCACGGTGGGCACGTCGCTGGCCGCGGCGTCGGCCAACACCTTCAACCAGTGCTGGGAGGTGGAGCTGGACGCCAAGATGCAGCGCACGCACCGCCGCCCGCTGCCGTCGGGCCGCATCTCGCGGCCGCACGCGCTGGCCTTTGGAGCTGCGACGGCCACGGCCAGCACGGCCATCCTGGCTGCGGGTTGCAGTCCGTTGGTGGCATCGCTCGGCGCGCTCAACATCGGTCTCTACTCGCTCGTCTACACGCCGATGAAGATGAAGAGCGAGTTCAACACGTGGGTGGGCTCCGTGGTTGGAGCCATCCCACCCGTTATGGGCTGGGCTGCTGCCACGGGCACGATTATGGCGCCCGAAGCTGCACTGCACGCGTACCTGATGTACTGCTGGCAGATGCCGCACTTCTTCGCGCTGAGCTGGCGGTCCCGCAAGGACTACGGCCGCGGCGGGTACAAGATGGTGGCGTGCAACGACCCCACGGGATCTCGGAGTGCTGCGCTGGCGCTGCGCTACTCGTACTACATGGGCGCGATCCCGATTGTGGCCGCGCTCACGGACGCCACGAGCTACATGTTCGCGGTCGAAGGAACGGTGGTGAACGCGTACACCATTTACCTGGCGCACAAGTTCTACGCGAAGCCCAGCAACGCCTCCGCGCAGAAGGTCTTCTTGGCGTCGCTGTGGTACCTGCCTGTCATTATGGGCTGCATGGTACTGCACAGCCAGCAGTGGATGGACGAAGAGGAGGTTGAAGCCAAGAAGGAGGCGAACGTTTGGCGCGAGGCATTTTTGGGCGAGGTGGAGAACTTCCAGTCGACGGACCCCTCGGCAACTATCGACGAGAGCTCCATGTCTGCGTGGCTAGTGTCCAAGGTGCGCGCGGTTCGCCATAGCCTTCGGGATATCTGCATCCACGAGAGTCTGTGGGGAGTGAAGGACGGCCAGCACCACGCTGATGAGTCGAACGTGTTGTGCCCGGTGCACGTTGGCCACCAGGCCAAGGAGACCGTGGCCATCACCGCACAAGCTTCCCGGAAGGACTTGTAGACTTGTCCGTATTGAAGAACTATGTGTAAAGAGCAGCAACAAAAAGGCAGATAGCGGCAGGCATCATACAGACTGTCGGCAGCACCAGATAACAAGAAAAGCGTTGGCACGGGCGCAAAAAGCGCCCAGGCTTGATTCAGTCTAAGCTTACACTGGTTGTTCTACTTGAATGCCGATCACCATTTGATGCCCAACGGGTTGGACTGCTCCATCTTCGGAACTGCGTGATACTGCGTGTGGAGTACTGCACGCGCTGCGTCGGAGAATGGCACTCCACCCAGATACTTTTCGTACACGTAATTCACCGCGGGGTTGGCAGTCGGGTCGCGCACTTGCAGCTCCTCGAAGCGACTCGTGACGTTGTCGAGCAGCTCCGATGCCAGAAGGGTCGATTTGGGCTTGATCTGTCCTCCACCGTTCAGGCAACCACTTGGGCATGCCATGATCTCGACGTAGTGGTACGGGCACTTGTTTCGCCTGATCTTCGTCATAATCGACTGGATGTTGCGGAAACCATAGGCGACTGCAAACTTCAGCACCTCTTTCCCTTCAATGACCAGCGAAACCTCGCGGAAATCGGGGTTGCGACCAGCCACGTACTCCAGCGGGCCGGTGACCTCCACGTTGAAGAGCTCCTTCGCAGCAAAGCGGAAAATGTGCTCCAGGTGGCCTCCCGAGCTGGCGTTCACGTTGCTACCCAATACGACCGATCCATCCTCAGAGATTCCGCTCAGCATGACCTCTTCAGGAGTGAGATTCGCGGGCTCAAGCGACGCAAAGTCGACGTTGAGAGACTCAATCAGCTCGATGATCTCCGTCGTAGCGAGCACGCAGTCCACGTCCTTGGTCGCGTCCTCTGGGTCCTGGAAGTCCTTCCGCGATGCCTCCAGCTTCTTGTCGAAACACGGCATCACCGCTACGTGATAGACTTCGCTCGGCGCAACACCGTGCTCGCCACTCACGAAGCGTTTGATGATCGAGCCCGCAATCTGCTGCGGAGATTTAGTCGTGTCGATAAACGGGATGGCATTGGGCTGCGACTTCTCCGCGTAGCAAATCCAACCGGGACACGACGAGGCCAACATAGGCATCGCTCGCAGCGGGTCTTGCAGCGGGTTGGCCGAAGTGCTGGGCTCCAGATACTCCGTCTTGGCGGACGAGACGGCCACAGACGACGGCGGCCGCGCCCAAACGGTCTTCTGCTGGTTATGGTATCTGTGCAGGAACTCCGCGCGAGACTCAAGCAGCGCGAAGTCTCCGCTGCACGTCGAGTCGATCACGAGGTTCACGCCGAGGTTGCGGAAGAGCGTCACGAGCTTGCGGTGCACCACGACGACAGGCATCTCGAAGTGCGCGGCCAGCGACGCGCGCGACTGCGGCGACAGCGTCACCACCACGTGCTTGTGCTTCTTGGCGGCGAGCACGTCCAGCATCTCCTTGAAGCTCTGCTGGGAGATCAGCACGGTCTCGGCGGACGTGACGCAGCCGCTGCAGGCGAGGCAGTCGTCCAGCGAGATGGTGGCCTTCTCCTGCGTCGTGGTGCGGATGATGTTGGGCTTCACGGGCTGCGGCACGGCCAGGTCGGCGGCCGAGAGCTCCGTCTGCAGCGTGATCTTGGCCAGGCCGTTGGGCTGCGCGCCGGCGGCATCCGGCTGGACCGAGTCCGACGTGAACAGCGGGTTCACACACGCCTGCGACGGCTGGATGTAGTCGTTCAGGTCTCCCAGGAAGACGGACGCCTGCGCGCAAGTGGAGCACAGAGAGTTAGAGCGCCATGACGGAGTACCAGGCGCAGAGAACGAAGGCTGCTCACCATTGCTCAGCCGAATTGATAAGTGACGTCCGGTGAGTTCGGTGGTCACTCAATCGGCTGACGCAAACCTGGAAAAAAGTCCGCCCAAATAATACGCACACAAAAACCAACTCTCTCCAGGAATAGTCCGCTCAATTGTGAAGGGTGCTGTGCAACTTCGAACGATGTCCAAATGGAAAATCACCTACTTTTTTCATCGACGTTTGACAGAATGTGTATGCAATGAAAATAAGTCAGTGGGCGTTTGGCCGACTTATAAAGTCGGGTAAAAAAGTAGGTTTGCCACCTACTTTTTTGTGGGAGGTATCGACTTATTCTGTCATCGGCAGCAAACCACCATGGACACAGCAGCGCAGCGGCGCTACAGCGCTCGAGACGGTGATCAGCACGGATTCAGCGGTGAAGGCGCTTCGCAGATGATGAGTGAAGCGCTGGACGCGAGCTTCACGACCCAACAAGTGCTCACTGCCGCAGATTCCATGGCGACGAACGCTCATCAAGGTGAGGCACGCCCAGTAGATAACTCTGTAGCGCCGAATACTCGCGCCCAACGCTTTGACATAGTAATATTAGTCTTGTGGTTGGCTATTTTCCTAGAACTTCTCGGAGTCGAACTATCTGCATTGTGTGGCGTTGGCTGACCTGTTGAACGGTGGTCACTTCACGACATGCCTCTCATTCGGATTTCGAAAAAAGTTGCCGACTTTTACTTGGACTTCGCGTCGACTTATTTCTCTATTTTTTGAATTAAAAAATAAGTTGCCAGCCGAAAAATCACCTGCTTTTTCATTTGGACATCGTTCTTAGTACCCCAGGGGGGTGGGGTGCTATTTGAGGGTGGGGTACTCGCATTAAATATCCCCCCTAAAACACTTTTATTACTTAAGTATGCGCTTGCAGCTAAGAACTAAGAAGTTCCATTTGACTTCCATCTCAAACTCCTCTCAAAATCAGATTTCATCCTTGTTCCGGATTTAAATTGTTCAAGTTACAATGCAACCTCTTGGAACTTTCTAGTTAAGTGAGAGCGATACCGGTAGTTATAACGATAGCAAAATATGGTATCTTAGCTGAATACGCTCAGCACTTCCTATGTTAGACCAGCAACAGAGAGGAGCTTCACTTTGTCGATAAATTTTCATGTTCTAGGGAGGAGGGTACCTAAAGTTGATTGGGGGTACTTGTTTTTTAGTGGAGAGTGGGGTGCTAATTGAGGTGGAGTACCGTTGTGAGTCCCCATCCAACGAACTCTTTCAGTCGTGCTGTAACCGAAGACTGAAAGGGTTCGTTTCGGGCAGTAGCAAAGCCCTGCAGGGGTTGCAGTCCTTGGTGGCTCACTTACTTAGTGCCATCGCCAATCCTATTGTACTGTAATTACTATGATGTCAACATGTCCTGTATCAGGCAGCGATAGTCGTCGCCGTACACCAAAGCAACCACAACGCTTTATCTTTAGTTGCCAGAACCGCATCCTGTATCGAGATGTCCGTTGCCTCCGAGGCAATGCCTCGCCTGCGCCCCCGTGGTTATGCTCAGCAAGCAATCGGTGTTGGAGACCTGGTGCACTCATCTGCATCTCGATGCACGTACTCCAACCAAACTAACGGAACGGCACACAGCAGTCATGCCACCAACAGGATCGAGCACATCGTGCCCCCACAAACGAGCAATAGCCGCGGAAGGGCTATCCGACGCGTAGGAAAACCTCGATCACGCAGCATCGTTCATCGTATCAACTCAATTTGACCGTGCTCTGGCGAAATCTGCACCCAGATTTTCATGATGATACAAGCTCCAGCCAGTAGCGGCGAACTCTGCAGTGCAAGCGGAGCTCTTATCGATCTAAAAAGGATACCGACAGCGCAATCGCGTTGCTTAGATGGATCTGAATATAGGTTGAAGCGCCTGTAGCCATCGATCACCGAACTACAGTATCCTCCAGGTCAGTTACTACGGCAACATATTGCTAACGCTTGACGGCCTCTTTCCCGGCGACTCGCCCCCTTTTCCGTTCGAGAAAGAAATTGTAATGGGCTTCCTGCCTGCTGTCGATATATAAGTTGCCGTCCACAACGCGATAGCAGGCCATCAGCTTCAGCCACTCGTAGCATTGCCACCGTCAGTCTTGAGCGCGGGCTGCTTGGGAGCCGAAGTTGGGACCCATGCTGAGTCGAGAGGTGACCCGTTTAGCCGCCTGAACCCACTGGCCTGGTCCAAGTCGCACGTGGCGGCCGATGGTCAAAGGCCAGCACTAGTTAGTAGCAGCATAGAGTGGGGGCAACCAACGCCCGCGGTTTCTGCCGGAGCAGGTCTGACGAGCTCGACAGCCCATTAAGACCGGGCGGGCGCCACACGATTCGGATTCCGACAGCTCGACAGCCTCGGCGCCGGCGTCGTCGCTAGCACAATGGTATTCGGCATTCGAGGCAGCGCCTGATCGTGCCGTTCGCCACGTATCTAACCTAAAACATTGGATTAGGTGCGTTGGGAACAAAGAAACCATAAAATTACTTACTTAGTACACGTTTGAGGCAGTACAAAACAGTATCTACTGAGTTTGTGTATCTCGCGGGTGATTTGTCTGAAGCGACTGGCTCTTCGGCCTGTTGAGGGAGAGAGGAAAGACGAGAGAAACAACCAGGCGGCACCTGGTCTACAGCGCGATAAACCGCTCGCCGCCCAGAGAGAGCTGAGCGGAGCTGAGCGCGCGCAGCCCACAGGCAGGCAGCAGGAGGAGACTCGTCGTCGTCGGGAGCACAGTGGGCGCGGCCGCAGTCCACCGTACACAGGTCCATACAGACAGACAGAACACACAGGCAGGCAGACACGACCAAACTGGCGGCTGACAGCGACGCGCGCGGGCCGAGGAATGCCAAGATGCCCCCCGCCGCCATCGGACGACTGAGAGGCGGCGGAGCAGGAGCTCGGGCGGGGGCGCGGGCCGTGGCCTTCATGGCGGCGGCGGCGACGCTGCTGCTGGGCGGCGCGGATGCGGCCACAGAGGACTTCTTCGCGACCCTCGCGTACAAGTGCGAGAACAACAGGTGCCTCTACACGACGGACACGACGGACACGACGGGGACGCTCTTCACGGACCCCGTGGACTGCGTCAAGCAGTGCCGCACCTCGGACCTGCAGAGCGTGGACGAAGGCAGCGACCTCTCGGACGTGGCCAGCCTCTCCGTGGCCTCGTCGCTCAACGGCACGTGCGCCAACTGCTCGCTCGTGGCCACGTCCACCTACAACTTCCCGCAGATGCTCGAGACCTTCGACCTCACGGCGGCGTCCGTGGCCGCGTCCTCGTGCAACTTCACGTGCGAGATCACGCTGGACACGCCGACGCTCTGGGTGCTGGAAGGACAGGCGTCCGACTGCTGGGCCGGCACGACCGACACGGCCGTGGAGTGCTCGAGGGACGGCAACGCGACCGTCATGACGCTGGACGCCGACGCCCTCGCGGTGCTCATGGCAGTGCACAACAGCTACGACTTCGTGGTGGACAATGTGACGACGAGACTCGGGCCAGGCACGTTCTCGGAGGATACGACGCTGTCCATGAAGTTTGAGGGGACAGGGTGTCTCGCGTCGAACAGCGACACACAGCAGCAGGCCTTCCAGGTGGACTTGACGTCCAGCTCGTACCAGCTCATTGGATCATTTACGAACACAGTGATGGAGGCGGAGGACCCCACGATTATGGACTCCACGTCGGTGACGCTTAGCGTCACGAGCGGCGCGGTGCTGAGCGCAGGCGCGTTCTTCTTGCTGCGTGTCGCGAGCGACAAGGAGGACGAGTTCGGAACTTTGATCACCAATGTGACCACCGCGTCCATGCTGCTGCCGGACTCCGAGAGCTCCTCTGCGGTTGACCTGAATTTGTTTGTTGGCGCATCGAATATCTCCTTCACGATCCCGGATTCTTTTACAGGCAGCATCCAGAACGGAGACACAGTCAACATTTCTTTCCGGACCTTCCAGAACCCGGCAAACAGCTCGATTGCTATTGACAAGGTGTATCTCTCGGCGTACCAGGGCCTGGCTTCGGCTGTGGATAACTCACCCATCCAGTTTTACGAGCTGGATGATGCCAGTCGATCGCTCAAGGCCGCCCCGCTGGACATTATTACTGTGGTGGTGTACGGCGCGTGCTTTTTGTTCTCGCTGGTGATTATTAGGTGGCACGGCTTGCCGTTGACGGTGAATACGCTGTGGACAGATTTGGTGGCGATCACTGCGCTGTTTTCCTTTGCTGCGGCGACGGGCGGATACCTGGTATGGGTCATTCAGCCCTCAAAGGCTTATGTCCACTGGTACACTGCTCAGTACTTTTTCAACACCGCGATGATTCTGTCGCTGTGTTTCCACTGGGCAACTGTGCTGTCGTTCAAGTGCTTCAAGAAGCTCAGCTTTACGTCTCCAGTTGTCATGGCGTACGTTTTGATCAATGCGTGCGTGCTGGCCTTCATTGTCGTGGTGTCGGCTATGGCGGAAGAGAAGCTGGAGTGCGTTTACGACGTGAAGTCTACGGCATGTTCGTCGGAGGAAGAGTGCGCACTTTCAATTGCAGCAGAGGGTAAAATTGTGCGCTCTGCCATTGAGGAGTGCGATATGGAGGCATTCTACCTGGCTTTCGGTACTGGATTTATCGTCTACACGCTAATGCTGATGATTCTGGGCTGCATGGTGATGAGCCGTGGACGAACGTTGATGCTGAACGAGGACCCGTCCGACGCACGCATCCGCAAGTCTCTTACGATTTTCTACGCTATCATCGCTACGACGTGCGTCCTCTACGTTTCGGCTCAGGTAATCTACATCGCGCAGTATGTGTCGCACAAGGGCGAGGATAACCAGCTTTCGGATGTCGTGTGGTACATATTCATCGTGTGGCTGCCGCACAGCCTACCGCCACTCCTGCTACTCTTCCTGCAGTGGAACCCCAGTACGGAGAACTTCCGACAGGACGAGGCGCCCTCGGTGGATCAGTCTTCGAAGGAGGACGTTTTCAACTACACACCTCGTTCTTCTACCTCGTCAAGCCACATGCCGTACTCGAAGCTGCTTCGTGACCGCTTGAGCATGGGAGAGTCGATGCTGAACAACGATGAGCCCGGCAGTCGGTTGCGTCTTATTGTGCGATTGAAACTTCCGGCGTCATTTGACCGCGCGTGTTTCGTGTCGCTTGATTTCTACTCGTCGAAGGAGACTATTACGTCAAGCAACTCGCTGCACAGCATCTCAACTGCGGCTGCCTGGAAATGCGTGGGAACTACGGAACCGGTCGGAGTGGCGGGAGAAACGGAGTCGGTGTTGACAACTGGCTCAACCCACGCTATTTTCCCTTTCGTTGCCGTGCTGGAAGTACCTGTAATTGGCCCAGCATCCAACACGCTACTGCGCTTTATGGTGCACGCGAGCACATTGGGGAAGCGTGATAACTCGTCGCATTATTTGGACCGGTCGAGCTCTAGCCAAGGCAGCCAGGACACGGCTTCGAACCCGCAGCTCTCATTCCAGATGACAATGTTCCACCCTGTGCTGGAGTTTGTGACGTCGTCGCAGGCAGTATTGGATGCTGCAGCAAGCGGCCACTCGTTGAACATTCACCCGTCCGATGACCACACATGCGCGATTTTAGAGGAATTCCCGTCGCTGCAGAGCGAGATCAACAGTATCTTGATGGGCAACGCGAAGAACGCTGAGCTGAGTGTCCAGACAGTTATGATGCCAGGCGACATTTCGAACCGCGACGAGGCTTCGTCTCACAAGAACATCGGTAACATCATCCGATTCTTCCAATACGATACGGAAGATGGTGGCGGCGGTCTCGTGGTGGAGGATCTGCAGGAAAGTGTTTACTCGAATGCAATTCCGCGACAGCTGATTGAGCTGATTGCAGCGGAGCGTCAGGAGCAAGCTGACCGTGCGCGCGAAGACCTGCACAACTTCCTCAACCAGAAGAAGGGCAAGCAGAACATGGGGTTCTACGGCACGCTGATCGGCCAGATCCAGGATGACACAGACTCATCACTTGCTCGTGAGTGGCTCGAGGATCGTGTACGAAGACGTAAAGAATATGTGGCCATGCTCCGCAGGAATATCCAATACCTGGTGAATCGCGACAAGCACAAGAACTATTTCAAGGCCAGCGTTGAGAAGAAGTCGGCTGATTTGCGCTTCGTGCCGATCAACATGCACATCCAAGACCTGCTTATTGGTCCAACGAATGCTTTCATCAATGATGAGAGGAGACGATCGTCAAAGGAGGTGTCTGCATACGATTTTACGACTGTTGGCGCCCCTGCAGCACACGTCTACAAGTTCAACAAGGGCGGCATTCTCTCGTATCAGAACAGGCGCAAGAAAATGGAGGCTAAGATTGCAGAAGCTGACCTGGACCTGTCCAAGTGGCCCGAGGAAGTGCGTGAATACGATAATCTCAAATGGGACCTGCAGCTGCGTATGGATTGCGCGTTCGCTCAGGCAATGGCTGCACTGACCTGCAGTTTCGTGCGCAAAGTGGAAGTTGCTATTCAAAACCCTGACGTTGCCCGGGGTGAAGATATGCTCCGTCAGTTTTCCAGTCTGGGTTTCCTCTTCCAAGTGGAGTCATTGCTGTCTACACATGGCAAAGAAATCGGCATGCTTGAAGACATGGCGGGTGCGGTGGAGCATTTGAGCTGTGTGGCGTTCGTGATTCAAGATGTTCGTGACAAGCCCATGAACCGTTTCTCCTTCCGTATGTCACGCCGTAAGGATGTGGCTGACGAAGCTGGTGTGGTGAAGGTCAATGTGTCAAACAAGACCGGTGCGAAGCGCTCTCACATCAAGTACATTGTGACGGTACAGGTCGCCACTAGCGAAGTGGAGCTGCCTGAGCGCCTTGCAGCTGGAGGTGAGATCCACGTGACACCTGTCCTGTTTTCCCAGGGCATCAATGAGATGCAGACGATTGCCAACAACACCGAGCGTGCGAAGACGGAGCTGCAGGACATCATCAACTTCCGCAGTCTGAAGCCTCTCAAGTCGTTCTGCGAGAAGTACCGTCGTCTAGTGGTAGCTATGCCTACGAACGGCTTGAGCGGTCTTTCGTCATCTAGTCGAAGTCGCGCCGGATCACATCGTTACAAGGCCATGTCTACGGACTCGACAATCACGTCGCCGCTCCATCTCTCACAGGACGAAGTGACTCAAGAGCTGCGTGCGCTTGAGGCGTGTATTAACGAAGCAGCTCAGAGCCTGGTGAAGACGAAGCGTACGGAAATTTTGAAGCGGTCCTCGGACTTGTGCCGGGAGCTTGGCGGCGGCCGTGTCACGGTCTGCAAGAGCGCCAAGGATCGCACAGCCATGTCCGTGACCTTAGAGCAGGTGCGTATCCTGCAGCGCCATCACGATCTGCCGGAGCACCGCGTCCCCGCCACCGTCTCCGTTATGCGCAGTCACGGTGTGCGTATCGAGAACGCGCTCAAGAACACGGGCAAGCGCCAGTTCGCCTTCAACAAGCTGCAGCGCTCGCTGCTGCCTGAGGAGTATCGTTGTCCTGACCAGGTGGGTGGCACGGGCAACGTCAGTTAGAGCGTGCGTGCCGCTGCCAATGCCAAACGGTCAGAGGCTTAGCAAAAGTCCGCCAGGGTATACAGATCTAATAGTAATTTTTTGTGTTTCCATCTCGATCGTGTTGCTTGCCGTTGACTAGAGATCGTTAAAGTGTAGTTGTGTCACGTAAGCTAAGGACTGACTGGGGTTGAGTACCGGGCCGCTAAGTGAGCTGGACACCTCGCCTCCGTTGGCGTCCTTCGCCACTGCGGCGGCTTTGGCGAAGAAAAGCTCGGCTCCGTGACGTGTTGGTGATGTTGCGAGGCGGGCGTCGGCTTCGAGCTGGTTGCGCTTCCGCAGCTTAGCCATCATCTCCTCGTCCGAAATGCCCTTCTCAGCCGCCACCTTTTGCTTCTCCGCCAACTGAACAACGCAGAAGTATGGTTAGCTTCGGGTAATACCAACCAAAACACCGATAGACATACCTCTTTCTTGCGCATGACTTCGGCAAAGTGTCGCGAGCTGCTCATTTTGAGGATATCACGCGAGGGGACCAGTGCGCTCATGCGCTCACCGTCGATCTCCGATCCGGTCGCTGAGACTTCAGAGCGTGCGGAATCTGGCTCGTCGTCGCTATCGGCAATTGTGATGCCGATCCGAGCTGCCATGAGTGAAGCGGAAGGCAGCCCCCGCGTTGATGGGCGGACACGAATGTTGTTTTCGTGCAGCCGCGGGTCATTATTTGTGGTTGGCGACCACATCGTGTGACCGTCTTCCAGCATTTCCAGGTGGGCGTTGTTGCCACCGTCCTCGGGGTTGTTTCCTTGCGAATTTTCATCACCAGCGCCAGCGTTACCGTCACCACCAGCCCCGTCATACCCACCGAAGCTGTTGACGGACGAATTCGACTGACCCACAATTTCGAGGATTTTCGTGAGCTTGAGCTCGGCCGTAACGAGGTACCCAGCGTGTTCACCGCCCGACATCAGGGACATCATGGAACTGGTCGGCGTCATGCCGTTGCCACCAGCCCCAGCTCCGCTTCCGGTTGCACCCGCAGCACCGCCAGCTCCAGAGCTGTTGTCCCCCATACCAGTTTCGAGCACGTCGTCGAAAGCCTGTAGCCGCCGTGCCAAGCCAAACGATCCTTGTCGCACTGCTGACATGACGCCATCCAGCCGTTCGTAGGCCGACTTGTTCACCTTGAGCGTGGCCTTCGCTTGCTGGATTTCGCTCTCCAAAGTGTTGTAAACTTCGCGATTGAGCTCGATACCCCCAATGCCCGAAGCCTTGAGCTCGTTCAACTCCTGCAGTACCTGCTCCTTCTCCTGTCGTACAGTAATCAGTCGCTCTTCTGCGTGTGTTTTCTCCTTGTCCAAGGAGACACTGGTGGCAGCTTGAGCGGCAATTTTTTCAACAACTTCGCGCAGAGTTGAGGCCCCCATCGCAAGCTTGAGCTCGGCAAGTACCGCTTCAAAGTCGGCATTCTTTTGCGACTTGACTAGGTTTGCTGCGTGCAAGGCCTCGCTGGCACGCTCGCGGTTCTCGATGCTACGCACCAGGCGAGCTTCCTCCTCAGCTGACAAGTCTCCACGCATTTCTGCCACCATTTCCGCGCGCTCATGAGCGCGCTGGAGCCGCCAAGCCTCCATCTTTTGCGAGTTTCTAGCGCGAACCTCGTGGTCTCCAAGCTCACGCGCTCTAGCTTTCCGTTCCATCTGCAGTTGCAACTGAACCTCCTGAAGGAACTGCACTGCGCGGCTCTTACCGACCTCGAGTTGTCTGCAAAGCATTTTCACCTCTTCGACTTCGCGTTCGCTACTATCCACCGCTGCGGCCATACCCGTGAGCTGTGCATCCACTCGCAACTGCGTGGTTTGTAATCGTCGAATCATGTGCTCGAGCTGCCGCCGAAGATGCATTTGCTCCTCCATGCTAGCTGTGCATTGTGTAATCTGTTGCTTGATCTGTATGTTTTTCTTGGATATCGGGGTATCTTGGTTCTGTATGCGGCTAAGCGTGTCGTTTTCTAACTGCAACACGCGTAGCTCATCCTGTAAAATGGATACAGAAAACAGGACGGCATCAGACCATTTCACTCCAATTGATACCATGAACAACGCGTACCAATAAACCGTTAAGCTCGCGCTGCCTCCGTTCAGCCATGAGCTTGAGTTCGTTGAATTTACGAGCATTCAGATGGACGCCATCTTCCAAACATTCAATGTCACGCTGACTGGAATCCGTCTCAGGTCCTCCGCTGCCACCGCTTCCCTCATGCAAACCTCGAACTGAGCTAGATAAGGGAGAATCGCGGCCAGGAAGCATCATGGGCGTGGTAGCTTTTCGAACAGCTTCAACCAACTCGCGCTTATGTGTGATCTTCTTAAGTTTCTGTGTCACCAGACCGCTTTTTCCTCCGTTAGAGGGGTTATTACTTGAAAACATTTCGTAAGCTCCTTGAGCCGATGTATCTGCTAGTGGGAGTAGCCGCATTCTTCCAGATAGCCCTCCACGTTTCTTCGGTTGCCTTTCATTGCCTCGCAAGGGTGTGTTCTGCCATAAACAATAGACAAAATGCTTTAGGCCTTCACCGCTCTAAAGGCTGCAACACCCCCGCACGTACCCCTGAAATGTCAGTGAACTCGCTAGTCATGTTGTGAACAGCGGCTTTGCTTCACGTTGATGAACCCCACAGAGCTAGCGTTCCATGTCGATTTCCCACACACAGGAAAACGCTTCAAGGCCCGCAGCCTAAATGAGCTTGGCAATTGAAACGACCCGTACAAAGCATAGCAAAAAATAACTTTCATGAACGCTGCCAAAATCCCTGTCACTTCTGAATTACTTTTCAATTGCTCAGCGCCATGACGGATTCGCCCAAGAAGAAGAGTATGCCATCGCCGATCCAGAAAATGGAACGGGATGCAGCTTCCAACATTTGGACGATTTGGTATGCGTCGCAGTATGGCAAAGTCGAGCGAGTACGCTCGCTTTTGGACCGCAAAGCTGCCGCCTCAATCGATGTTCAAGAGTTTGTATGTGAACGAAGTCTGCGATAGATGACTTGCTCAGTGTTAGAAGATCTAACTGTTTGTCTCTCTTGCTCTTAGCGAACACGTTGGAGTCCGCTGCATTTCGCCTGTCGATACGGACACAGCTCCTTGGTCGAACATCTCGTTGCTCGAGGAGCCAATGTGGATTTGCAAGACTGGGTAAGGTACAATAGCTTCTTTTGAGCATATCTTGGCGATTCATAACTTAATTCCAGCAATCGTCTAGCAAGGAAACACGCCTTTGCATTTGGCAGCTGGGTGGGGAGATCTGCAGTGCGTGACGCTGGTGCTAGAAGGAGGTGCTGACGTCCGACGGAAAAACCTTAAAGGCGACACACCGCTGGATCTCTCTGTCTCATTATCTCGTCGAGATCATACTCGTTTACTGAAAGACTGGAAGCCGCTGGGTTTAAGTGGTGAAGGTCAGGCGACGCACGGTGATATTTGGTTTTTCAATTGATTCCCTCATGATCTCTTCTTTGGTTGCTTATACAGAGTTAGCAGAGTATCGTCAGCAGCTTATCGCCAACGACACCACAGTCAAAGAGTTCGAGCGCGCGTTGGCGGAAGAACGTAATTCAAGTATTCGACTGGAGCTTCAGGCCCTTCACTTTAAACGCCAGTGCTTTGGGGTGAACCACCCTGGTCTTCTTGGGACGTACAGCAAGCTCGTGAATCTGTACAGGTTTGCTATCTTTCAGGGACTTTCGACTTGCAGAATACTATCTCACATAACTCGTTTTGATCAAACTAGGGAAGACGGAAAGTTAGAGGCTGCATTCGCTATGGCTGACTGCGGCTTGACACTCTGTGAGACCACCCACGGTCGTAGTCATTTAGAGACGGCCCGATGGGTTAGTGCGCTTGCTGAGATGTTATTACTACGTGAAAGCTTCGACCAAGCAATTCACTGCTTCATGGAAGCACTCAACACGCTCACAGCGTAGGTTTTGGATGAAATTTCTTACCGAGCTAAGTGGTTCGCCAGGCCTAACAAGAGGATGCTTGTCATCTTTTTACAGCTTGAAGGGCGAATCGGATCATGAGACGTCGATTGCACTAGAAAACCTGGCAATCGCGTGTGAGCAAGCAGGGAAGCTGAGCGATACAGAAAGACACTTGAATGCGCTGCTTCGTATTCTGAGTGAGCGCTATGGCGGAGGCTACAATGCCAAGCTCTTCCATCTAACAGTACGACTAGCGTCTGTCCTCCTTGCTCAGGTAGGAAGATATTGGCTCTCTGGTTGTGACGAACGCAGCTCATCTGTATTTTCTAGAAACGAACGGACGAAGCTCGTGACTTGTTTGAGCGGTGCTTGAAGCACGCTGAAAACTTGTTCGGGCCCTCCGACGAGCAAACTGTGACGTGCACCGATGCCTTGGGAAAATGCTGCTTCTTGCTGGGTGACTTCGCGGTGCGCCCTCGCGATTGGTCTGTCCTTTCCGTTCTGTTTAGAGCCATTCTAACGTATCTCGCTGCTGCTGCAGGAAGCCGAAACATACTTCAAGCGCTCGCTAGCAGTGATAATGCGTCTGCCCAATCCCGGCCCTGCTGGGACAGCGTTGCCTCCATCCAGACAGGACCGATTCCGTCGCGTGCAGAGCAATTTGGCCATGGTAGCGGTAGCCGCGAGATCTGCCAAAGCTGTGCACGCGCATCTTGAGCAGTTACAGACTCTCATATTGAAGTTATGACGTGCCATTTTTATGGTACAAATTTTCTTAAACTGTCGGCCAAAAAAGGCGGCCGCGAACTTCCGAACACGTGCGGAGACGATCGCGCCCTTTAGGGCTGTCTTATGCGAAAAACGCGCGGTCTTTCCGACACGGGTTAGTAAGTTCGGCGGCCGCGAACTTCCGAAAACGTGCGGAAAAGATCGCGCCCTTTAGGGCTGTCTTATGCGAAAAACGCGCGGTCTTTCCGACACGGGTTAGTAAGTTCGCGGCCACTTTTTTGGCCGACAGCTTAAGAGCAGTGACAAATCACAATTGTGTTTCGTTTCTGGCCAGAATAGTCCAGGAAAACCTGTTCCCGAACGGGAATACCTCTAAACAGCGATTATGGTTAGCCATTCTCCAGAGCCAGCCATTGATTGATTAACCCGCTGACCAGCGAGCAGCCATGTCGGAGAAGGCTCCTCAGGTGCTGGGCGGCACGCGCCCCAACGTGGACGAGCGGTTCCACCTGCAGGACGTGGACGAGAACGGAGAGGAGAACAAGGCGCCGGCGCCGTCCATCTACGCGCTGCAGGCCGAGGACGACGTTCCGGAGGTCACGACCATGGAGAGTCTCTGCATGAACTGCCACGAGGACGGCACCACCAAACTGCTGCTCACCATGATCCCGTACTTCCGCGAGGTCATCCTCATGTCCTTCGAGTGCGAGCACTGCGGCTTCAAGAACAGCGAGGTGCAGTTCGGCGGCAAGGTGCAGGAGCAGGGCGCCAAGGTCGAGCTCGAGGTGACGGACAGGGAGGTGCGTGCAAGCCTTGCAATGAGCGGAGACATTCGAAACATCAGAGACCAATGGTATTGACTGGTGCGTGGTTGTCTCTATGGCTGCAGGACCTGAACCGTCAGCTGATCAAGGCCGACGCCGGCGTCATCTACTTCCCGTCGCTGGACTTTGAGATCCCGCGCGAGACGCAGCGCGGCAGTATCAACACCATCGAAGGTGTGCTGCAAAAGGCAATTGAGGACCTGCGCGAGAACCAGGAGCACCGTCGCGAGATCGACCCGGAGACCACCGAGAAGATCGACGAGTTCATTGCCAAGCTCGCGCTCATGTCTGCTGGCATCACGCTGCCGTTCAAGATTGTGCTGGACGACCCTTCTGGCAACTCGCACATTGAGAACCCGCTTGCGCCCGCGGCCGACCCCAAGATGAAAGTCACGAACTACTACCGTTCGGAGCAGCAGGACCTGGACTGCGGCCTGCAGCCCGATATGTCGCACGACGCGCCCACGCAGACCCCGCGCGTACTGCCGCACCGCAACGAAGGCCTGGACAAGTTCGTGGAGGAGGCTAACATTGCCAAGAAGGAGGTGATCCAGATCCCCGCCGACTGTTTCGCTTGCCAGGCGCCTGGTTTCTCGTGCATGTGCATGACGGACATCCCTCACTTCAAGGAGGTGATCATTATGTCGTTTAACTGTGAGGCGTGTGGGTTCAAGACCAACGAGGTGAAGGCTGGCGGCGCTATTCCGCCCCAGGGCGAGCGCATCACGCTTAAGGTGGACGCCAGCAAGGACCCGGACGTGATGGATCGCGATATCCTCAAGTCGGACTCGGCGTGTGTGAACATCCCTGAGATCGAGCTGGAGATGGCGCACGGTTCGCTTGGTGGCCTGTACACGACGCTGGAGGGTCTGCTCGACAAGATTCGCCAGAACATCGAGGAGGGCAACCCCTTCGCTATGGGCGACAGTGACGGCGGTCGCTCGCTGCTAAACGCGTGGCTGGCGCGCCTTGACGCTCTGAAGCGCAGCAAGGAGCCCTTCACGCTCATCCTGGAGGACCCGCTGGCCAACAGCTTCATCTACTCGCCGTTCGGCAGTGCCGACGACGACCCGTACATGGTGGCGGAGAAGTTCACGCGCTCGGAGTACGAGGACGACGTGCTGGGCATTACAGACATGAAGGTGGAGAACTACTCGAGCGACGTCGGCCTGGGCAGCATCACGGAGGAGGACAAGCCGGCTGAGCCCATTCGTAGTGACAAGGAGACCATGGGCGGCGGCCGCGCCATTGACCCGTCCAAGTACCACCCGAACCCGGCGGCCGTCATGGAGGTGCGACAGCAGCTAGAGGAGAAGAAGAAGCTGGAGCAGCAGCAGTAGGATGATGCTGCAGCGGCGGACGCGTGCTCGGCATTCCTTGACCCGCATCCGCCGTTGCGAATACAAAGGCACTCTAAATAGATGATGACTACTTTTTGGTACCAATTGCTCTATTCCGGCCCAAATTCAAATTATACTCACGCGCCTCTTACTCGCGGGATGGAGGCAGGATCGGCGGCTGGAGCTGCGCCACGGGGGCTTCAGCAGGCCGACGGGGCTAGCCACAAGACAGCAGCGACTACTACTCATAGGCAGAGCGTTATTTCGCCTTCGCAGGTGCAGAAGGGGATGCCAGCGGGTGGAAGTATTGGAGATAATGGCACAGCGAGGCTGACGATGGAGGAGAAGCTGGCACTCTGGCGGCAGGCCAAGCTACAGAAGCAGAAGGCGGGAAGCAATAAAAACACAACCGGTGGGGGCAGCAGATGCAGCTTGGGTGGAACTGCTACGAGAAATGGTGGCGTCAAGAGGAGACTCGTGGAGGCGAAGGCGATGGGATGTTCGACCAAGACAACTGCCACGGCCACCTCTGCGGAACCAAGCGTCAAGAACTTGTCTACCCGGAAGAAATCTCGTGCGGCTAGCGACTTTCGAAGGAATGTGGCGAAGTCTATCAACGTAAAACCACCTCTACCGGTGTCAACCGAGAAGACCCCAAACTCAGCTTCAGCAGCTCGTGTGTCTCCCGACTTTCGAAGGAATGCCGCTAAACCTACGACACCAAGTCTAGTGGTCACTGCGGAACCGCATCTACCGCTACCAACGCCGAAGAGCTCAAAATTGGCTTCAGCGGCTCAGAGCCAGGAAGGGGGGAGTCTCCAGCATCCCATTGTCATCGATGGAGCTAGCGCTATGGCATTTACTAGCCCAGCCTCTACCGCCAAAGTGAGGCCACCACATCCGGTATCAGCAAAACGTGCCAGTGCGCCGAAGCCAGCTGCAGTGACGCGAAGTAAGCAAGGGAGTCCCCAATCTCCCGTTGTTATCGACGATGATGGCGAGCTGAAGCCAGTGGACCCCCTTCAGCGTCAGCCCAGCTGCGTTTCTGATAGAGAGATTTCTACCGCGCTAAGCGAAGCCCAGACAAGGCAGAATCCACCGCTGGTGGCATCGACGGCAGAGCCTAACGGTAGATCCAACGACCGAGAAATACCGATCTCCGTCAGCCAGGCTGCGTCGAATCAAAGGTGTATTTCGACGGACAATGAGAGCGTGGCATCACACCCCAGGGCACTATGGACTAATGACCCTGCGTTTGACAAGGAGAATCAGAGCGAAGGTTCTATCCAGACCAACCAAAGTCCTCCAGCGCCTGCCGCTGCTGCCACTGTGGAGAAGAAGTCCGAGATATTGGCGAAAGATCTTATCAGACTCGCCATTGAATTTGAAAAGAAGCGCCGTGTTGTCACCGCCTACAGCATCTTCAAGCGGGCGAACCATCTTCTCCCGAAGGAGAGCACTAGGCTGATTGAACGTCTTGACCGGCTACAACAAGAGTGCCCGGCAGCAGAGAATCAAGCGCCATCCCAAGAACTATCGACCGCTGCGTACATGGTGAACGTTCTCGAGCGGGACTTGATGTCTGTTCTAAACCACGGCACGACAAGCGACCTCACGGATCTTCACGCTATCGGCGCTAAAAGGGCCGAACTTGTGCTCGACAAGCGGCCGTATCAACAGGTAAACTTGCACGTCTTTTATCTTTTCCTTTGTGAAGTTATCTTACCGTACGCGATACCTGTTGTATTTCAAACAGCTCGAGGAGTTGCGGAGGGTGCCCGGCATGTCGGCTAACGTGATCGCGAGGCTGCACCAGCACCACACCAAGTGGGAAAACCATCAGTGACTACCATGTAATCGATCTAGTCGATAGTAACAGCGTTAATGCTAAGCCTAAGCTTATGCCTTTCCTAGCCGTGTGGAATATCTTCCGACGAACTTGCACGTTGCAGTGATCTAATTCTCACACGTCGCATGTTTCAAGGTGAGCCATCTCACCAGTTGGTGTACCCACCCCTCATTCGACAAAACTCGAGCAGATCGCGATGGCGACGGCGTGGCAGCTCCAGGAGCAGGAGGAGGCTCGCCGGCTGCGCGCGCTCCTGCAGCAGCAGCAACAGGAGGAGGAAGAAACTCGCAACCTGCGCGTGGGGCTGCGTCAACATGGAGCTCCGCGCTGGGAGGCGGTGCGCACCGACGCCTGCTTCGTGGAGCGCAGTCGGCGGCGCAAACCTGGCGCCATGAAGGCGCAGGAGCGCTATCTGCGCCGCGACGTGCACTGCGGCGTGGCCTCCTGCGCTGCGTGTCGACTCGCGCGCGCGTTGCTGCCGGCGCAGGTGCTGCCCCGAGCCAGCGACGGGGAGTACGTGGTGCCCGACGCCTTCAGCTTGCTGCAGTGCATGGAGCTGCTGGAGGAGGAGGCGCTGTTCTGTCGCGCGGCGCCGCGCCTGCTGGTGCTGGAGAGTGCGCTGCACGCTGCATTGAGACTGGCGCCCAGTCGCGACGCGTCGAGACTCAGGAAGTTCTTCAGAGGAGAAGACCAGCGCGCTGAAGGGGGCGTCAGCGTCTACCTGTTCCCGGATCAGCACCACGTGGAGACCTTCGTGGAGCCAACGGCGATGGACGAACTGCAGACGGTGAGAGATGATCGAGCTGTGTTGAAGTCGGTGGAGTGGTATGTGACCCAGGGACACTTTCCACCTGAAGCGAGGGTGGTGTTCATGACGAGAGATGTCGATGCGGCCGTGAGTGTGCAACTCGCTGCAGTGGTGAATGCACAGGCGGTCACGTGCGAGGCGTTTCTGGAGGAGAGGCTGCCGAAACACTCGGCGGATACAGCGTTCTTGCTGGAGCTCGCTGCCAATACGGCTGAAGCTGTGAGGTACGAGGAGGCTCAGCGGCTTCCTGACGAGAACGGCAATGTACTGAGCTCTCAATCCGAGTTTGCGCCGCACTTGAAGCCTGCACAGCTGGAGGAAGCATTGGCGCAACCAGCGTCTCGAGTGCTAGCTGGAAAACTTGAGGTGAGCACCCACAACCCAATGGAAGCGTATGTGTTGGTGGAAGGCCCGCATGCAGTCGAGAAAGTGTTCGTCTTTGGACGAGCTGCAATGAACCGTGGAGTGCATGGAGATCGTGTAGCTGTGGAGATACTGCCGAAGGCGCACTGGCGCACCCCGCAGAGTGACCGTCTGCTGGTGCACTACACTCAAGATGAGGATGAACACCAACATGAATCTGAGTCAGATGCTGACGAGCAAGTGCCAGGAGCGATTCCTACTGGACAAGTTGTCGGCATTATCAGTCGCTCGCCGCGGTACCACGTTGCTACAGTTATCGCTTCCACTGTAAATGGAGGAGACGACTACGCACTTGCTGTGCCGATGGATGTGCGACTACCCAAGGTCCGTCTGCGTTCACAGCGACTTGATGCGCTTCTGGACAAACGCCTGAAGGTCGTCATTGATAGCTGGGCTGCGGACAGCTCGTATCCAAACGGACACTATGTCGGAATCCTCGGAGCCCCCGGAAGTTTGCAGACAGAACTCAGCGCTTTACTCGTGGACAACGAAGTGGAAGAAGCCCCGTTCAGTGAGGCAGCTCTAGCTTGTCTTCCATCGAGTGACGAATGCCCGATCGACATTGAAGGCGGTTGTGTGGCCGAATGTTCAACAGCTAAAAGACCAGCCCGATGTGGGCTGCTAAACTGGAAAGTTCCAGACGAAGAAGTTCCGCATCGTCGTGATCTGCGCAAGACGCACCGCGTTTTCAGTGTGGATCCTCACGGCTGTCAGGATATCGATGATGCCATGTCGATTCAACGCTTGCCCAATGGCAATGTGGAGCTTGGTGTGCACATCGCCGACGTGTCGTACTTCGTCAAACACGGCTCGGCGTTAGACCTAGAGGGCAGGCGTCGTGGTACAACAGTGTATCTCGTGGGTCAGCGTCTTGATATGTTGCCTTCAGTACTCAGTGCCGATTTGTGTTCTCTACACGAGAACCGCGATCGCTTCGCTGTGAGTGTCATGTGTGAGCTGGACGGTGAAACGTACGCGATCATCGAGAACTCCACGTGGTTTGGGCGTACAATCATCCGCAACTGTTCATCAATGACGTATGAGCAAGCGCATCGCCTCCTGCAGGGTGTTAATGCCGATGCTGACGACTCACCGCGGCGAGGGTCAGCCAGGTCACAACCACCGCCAAGTGAACATGTGGAGGGTGTAGCCGGAGGTCGGATTCCGATGAAGCTTCAGCAGCTTATTCGCGAAGACCTTCGCATACTGACTGATGTCGGTCGTCGGCTCGGTCGGACTCGTGGTTCTCAAGGTGGTTTGGATCTGTCCAAGCAAGAAGAGGTTCGCTTTTCCCTGAACGTCTCGGAGCTTGGTCAAGAAGACGTGGAGATTACAGTCAAAGAAAGCTTGGAGATCCACGGTACCATTGCCGAGCTCATGATCTTTGCGAATTCGACTGTAGCTCGCAAACTCGTGGAGCGGTTTCCCACCCACGCACTGTTGCGTCGACACCCGCCTCCGTCCGGAGACCGATTCACGCAGCTTGTTCAGCTTGCTAAAGCGCGCGACGTGGTCATTGACGCTACCAACAACTTCACATTGCAGCAGTCGCTCGCTGCAGCGGAACGTTCGGGGCGCATGGACAGCAAGACGATGTCCTTATTGAAGTCTCTAGCCGTGCGCGTGATGACTGAGGCCGAGTATGTGAGCTCGGGTGCTGTGGCGGCCGTAGATGCGGCGTCCTCGAACGGTGATGTCACGCGGTTTGCACACTACGGCTTGGGTCTGCAATACTACACGCATTTCACGTCCCCGATCCGTCGGTATGCCGACGTTATCGTCCATCGTCAACTTCTCGCGGCGATTGCATCCCCAACGCCTCGTAACACTTCGGCATTGCAGCGAACAGCAGTCAAGCCCTCGGCGCCATTGGTGCTCCCCAAGGACGAGGACTTCCTTGACGACCTCATCTCGTCGGTGGATAGCCAGCTTCAAGTATCTACTACGTCCCCAGCCAAGGAAGAAGCGGCTCCGGTCCTTGCCGACGAAGCTATCGCTGATGGAGATAACCTTTTCCCGCCAGAGGAATTGGTACCGCTGTCTCGACACCTCAACAAGAAGAACCGACAAGCGAAGTTAGCGGCACATGCCTGTGACGAGTTGTTCTTGGCTCTGTACTTCAGCAGCCACACGGTGAAGGTCCCGGCGATCATCACAGCCCTCAAGCAGAACGGCTTCATCGTGTACGTGCCCAAGTATGATTTTCGTGCGCCGGTGTACTTGCGCGACAAGAGTGGTGTGGTGCAAATCGATCCGTTGCTGCTTGGTGTTCGGATTGTAGACACGGATCCCGCAACGGGAGCATTTGCTGGTGCCGAGTGCATTCGCCGAATCCCTCAGGCTCGACTTGTCTGGGGCGACGCCGAGCGCGAGACGCTTGAAGTTGTTGCTCCCGACGATAAGCACACAGTGTTCCGGATACTGGATGAGGTGGAAGTCCAAGTCTCGTGCGACCTTACAGCTTCAGGAGCTCGAGTTCCGCAGCTCCAGTTGCTTCTCGTTGGCCGAGCAAGTGCTACACGCAAGAAGCACATTGCGTCATCGCTTTCCGAGTTGCAGCGCGTCGTTCAAACCAAAAGCGAGGCTGACAGTAGCCGTGATACCACGATGGATGCTGAGCAGATGAAGCCAAGCAGCATCGGAGAGGAGTCTTCTGGAACAAACCTGTACCAGATCCTACTGAATACCCCCAACTTAACTCCATCGACCAAGAACCTTGCACGCCGCAAGCCTACCCAAGATGAAGAAGAGGAAGGAAAGAAGAAGAAGCCTGGTTTCAAGCGCAAGGGTCCAGGGCGCCTGGTGTTCGGGAATTTCTCGACCAATTCGCGCCGTCATTATCAGCACAAGCTCGCCCAATACATGGACGAACGCTCGGACGCACGTGAGGAAGAGCTAAACATCCAGCGTTTCGCCAACGGTTCCTCAGCGATGACCTCAGCGCAAGAAGCTCGACGTGCAGAGCGTGAGGCCCTTGTGCGTACCCAAAAGTTGGCCGCCGAAAAGAGGCACGACAGGATCAACCGCCGAAACAAAGCGGGAAAGTAGGTGGACAAACACGGCGACTTTCATGAATACAAAACGATGTTGCTATCCTCCAGACACTCTTTATCTCCTTGATGTAGTAATTTGTGGGTGGTCAGGTAAGTATGCCTGCCTACAGCTCAGTCTCCTTGATGGGGGACTGCACCTTGCCGCTGTTATACTGTGCCGCAAAGAGGAAGCCGCCGTCGTCCAGGCTGTCCATCTCGGAATCGTCACCGTAACCCTTGCGGTTCATCATGGCCACAAACTCCTCGAAGCTGATGACACCGTCACCGTTCGCATCCACGTCGTTAATGACCTCCTGCGCCTGCTCCTCGCTGCCCATGAACTGCACGAGGTCGGCCTTGGTGATCTGGCCGGTGTTGGTCGTGTCGAAATAATTAAATGCGTTGATGAGGTGCTCCTCCTGGTTGGCCAGGTTACGCTTCATGGTGGCCGCCAGGAACTCTGGGTAGTCCACCAGTCCGTCGCCGTCGATGTCGATGCCCTTGACCAGCTCCAGTACCTCCTCCTCAATCATGCCGAGGCCCGTGTCACGCAGCGCCTCCGCCAGCTCCGACACCGTGATCACACCGTTGCCGTCCGTATCAATCGCCATGAACTGGTTCTTCAACTCGGCAATCTCGCTCTCCGTGGCCAGGTCGGCAATGACGCCAAGCGCCGCCTTCTTGAGCTTGTTGTTGCCCGTGAAGCGCTTCAGGCTCGAGAAGATGTTCGGGTTCAGCGTCATGCTCGATCTCGGCGCCGAGCCAGAGATCCAGGGGTGACGCAGCACCTCGTCGGCAGTGAGACGCTTGGACGCGTCCACCAGCAGCAGGTTGCTGATGAGATCCTTGGCCTCGTCGCTCACGTTCGTCCACTCGGGCGAGTCGAAGTCGTAGCGTCCAGCGCGCACAGAAGCGAAGATCTCCGGATCCGTGTCGCCGTAGAACGGCGGGTATCCGCACAGCAAAATGTACGTGATGACACCGATACTCCAGAGGTCGCACGACTTGTCGTAGTGGCGGCCCAGCACCTCGGGGGCGATGTAGTAAGGCGTGCCCACGCGCGTGGTCATGACGCCGGCACTGAGGCCGTCATCCATGCGGGACAGACCGAAGTCAATGACCTTGAGCTCGGCATCCTCCGCCTTGGTGGCGAACAGGAAGTTCTCGGGCTTGAGGTCGCGGTGGCAGATGTCGCGGTCGTGGCAGTGCTTGACGGCGTCCGAGATCTTGCGCACCAGGACGGCGGCGTCCGCCTCACTGTAGTGGCCGCGCGCGATGATGCGGTCGAACAGCTCGCCACCCGTGCAAAGCTCCGTGACGAGGTGCAGGTGGCGGTTGCCCTCGTACGCGTCGTAGAACTTGATAATGTTGGGGTGGTCCAGCGTCTAAATGCATTGATACATGTACACAATACGAGACAGAGCACGTTGCACACGGTCAGAACTGCCCAAGAGGCCGCTGCAAACGACGTGGCAACGGTCCACGCACCTTGAGGATGTTGATCTCGCGCCGCATGGTCTCGGGGCGGCTGACCTTGGCCTTGGGGATGGTCTTGATGGCCACCTTGGCGCCCGTGGCCTTACTCACGCCCACGCGCACGGTGCCGTAGTGGCCATGGCCCAGCTCCTTCTTCTCAATGTCGTAGAACTCGTTCACGTCGCGCAGCTCGCCCGTAATCTAATGATACACAGCATTAGAGCAAACGTTAGCAATCCCTCCCCCTCTTCCAGCGCAATGTAACGCGATGGAGCGCGTCCTCACCAGTTCCTTGAAGGCCTTGCGCTCGCGCGACTGCGGGTTGCGGCGCACGGCGGCGGGGGCGGCGGGCGGCAGGGGAGCGGACGCGGGGGCCGGGGCCGCGCTCGTCGGCACTGCTTGGGCCTGCGCCTGCTTCTGCTGCTGCGCGCGGCGGTGCGACGCGTTGTTGCGCTTGCCGTGCGGCCGGACGTTGCCGGCGCCGCTGGCGTTGCTGCTGCTGCTGTTGCCCATGGAAGGAGTCGGGTCGACGGGGGCGCGGAATCTCGAGTGAGCGAGGCGAGGGGAGGGTACGATGAGTTTGGCCCCCGATATCCGACCGGATGGGTACAAAAAGGACGCAACGTCATTCGCTAGAAATCCGGCCCAGTATCCACCTGCACTGCAATATGACAAGCATTGGACACTTTCGAGCAAGTGACAAGTGATATTCTACACGCTTTCCGGTGGGTGTATGCACTATGGGCATTGCCCACCACAGAAGTATCCACGATGCAAGTTCCAGTATTGCATGTACACAGCGCAGCATGCAAGTCAAGACGGCACTCCACTCAAATCCTGTTGGCCCTTTCAGATTACGACGCCTGCCATGTTGATGTCCACTGGTGGAGCCATCTTTTGCACGACAACAAAACTGTCGCGGACGGACTCTGGTCATGCTCGTAAACGTGGCCGAGCTTACTGCGGCGGCGGTTGCTGCTGCTGCTGACCTGCGCCTTGCACGTGGTTCCAGGGCAGCAGCGTCTGCAGGAAGAGCAGCAGCGGGTTGGCGTCGGCCGGCAGGTTGCCCGCCTCGAACTCCTCCTGCGCGCGAGCGAGCGCTGCCAGTGCCTCGGCGTCCAGCGGCTGGCCGTTCTGGAGCTGCGGCGGCTGCAGCATCGGGTGGTCTGCAGGCAGCGTCGTGATCTCGTCCGAGTAATCTGCGATGGCACACACAAGGCGAGGGGTCAGATACGAACTTGTAACCTTGAAGCATTATCGTTGTTGGTACCTGCAGAGAGTGCGCGCAGATACTTGTGCAAGCACGAAGGGAGCTCCAGCACCTGCGGGTTGGCAGACACCAATGCCGGCGAGGCGAGGGCATGCTGCGCACCCTGGAGAAGGAATGACTGCGCGTCGTTCACCTTCCAGATGGAGTGGTTTCTCGTCACGTAGATGTCGAGCAAATGCTGGAGCACGCTGTGCTCTCCGTCGACACTGCGAGCGTTGGCGAACACGCGGCTTGACAAGATCGGCTGCCACGATGCTGATATTCACAATAAAGCAGGCGTGTCAGGGCAGATGCGTACAAGACAAATAAATCAGTAAGGTGATAGCAACGTACACGAGGACGGGTTTACAGCAATCTTCTCCAGGAGCGGCTTGAGCATAGTCGGGAATTTTAACAACGCCGCCGCCAGAAGGTCCTTGGCCTCGGTCTCGTTTCCTAAGAAGAAGCTGTAACACAAAGCAAGAGCGCGTTAGGATATTGACAGGTCGTGGTGCGTTGGGATCCGGAGGTGTACTTACTGGGCGAGAGCCAACGAAATCTGCAAGTTCGGCAGCGCCGCGATCGTTTCGTCTGCACTTGACGTCTTCTTCCCGGCCTTCTTCTTTGACGCAGCCTCACTGCTAGCGAGTCGATCCACTGCTGGCGTCTTCGAGCCGAACAGGTCAATGAGAAACCGGCACTGGCGAGATGTCAGCGCGTAGTAATCGATCGCCAAGAGAACGTTCATCGGGTCGCCTTGAGGGTCCAGGCTGAGCAGCAGTTTGGCTGTCTCGAAGGCACTGCGCATGCACCCTCGGCGCCCCACTTGCTTCATCAGCAAGAACAGCGCTCTGAAGAAGCCAGCGTTGTGCTCCGTTTGAATGTCCATGCGGCAGTTCCCCTTTGAGACGTCGAACTGGTCGGCCCATGCGAGCTCCAACACGTACATGCATCGCTTGATGCAGTCCGAGGCGTGGTCCATCTGGCCATGGTGCTGGAACACCTCGCTCATCGTGAGCAGCGCATCGATGTGGTACGGGTACCGCTGCAAGAAGTGCGCGATGAGGTTCGGGTCGTGTGTGCGCTGGAGGAGCTCAAATTCTTCTTGGAGCTATCGGACACCATACATCACGCACATTGGTCAGTGGCACAGCATTTAGTAACTTCTTCATCGTTGCACTCACCTTCTTGTAAGCGATCGACCACGTGATCTCGAAATAATTGCACAAACTATTCCATCCAGCTCCCTTCGGTTTGTTGGAACGCGTCCAGCGAATACCGCCACCAACGAACGTGGGCGGACGCGGCCACTCGTCCAAGGGAGTGACCATCATCACCTTCTTAGTCGCCACCCGAGCGGCACTCCTACAAGCGTGACAACACAGGCGCTTCCGTTAGAATTCTAGATCCCCATCAACTGGCAGCTTTACCTCCTTTCGCCGTACCGAGGATCTCCGCGCTTCCGGTTATTCGCAGCTCCTTCCTTCACCTATATCGCGGACAGAAAGGTAAATCAACTGTGTCAGCGCGAAAGTAGCGTTTCCACCCAAATCCCTATAAACTCACGCCAAAAATGCGCTTCATCTCCTTGTCAGCGTTGGCAAACTTCAACTGCGCCCCAAAGAGCGACTGCTCCTGTGCGTTGCGAATCGAGGTCGCTTCGTCCACGCTCAAGTTTCCCGCTTCGGCCGCCAACGCGTCCAGGATGTCGTCCACAGACTCCTCTTCGTCCTCCTCGTCCTCTCCATCGCTTCCAGAAGTTCGCGTCTTCTTCTTGCCCTTCTTCTTGTTCTTCCTGCGCAACAAGCAATAGCCAAGTACACGCTAAGTCAGCACGAATGACCCCACTACGCAGGATACACAGCGACGCTGCTCACTTCTGTTTCCCCTTGGACGGCTCGGGCGTCACCACCACAGGCTCCTCCGCCACTTCCTCCTCTTTCTCATCAATTTCCTCCTCCTCTTCCTGCTCCTCTTCACTGTCGCTGTCGCTCTCGTCCGAGTCCGAGTCGGCTAGGAAGGCAAAGCCCGCATTGGCAGGCCGCTTCTCCTCCAGCTGCTCCTCCTCCGAGCTCACTTCCTCGTCGCTGTCGGCGTGGGACTCAGCCTCGCGCTCCTTGGCCAGACGCTTCGCTTGACGCGCAGACCTGCACGGAGAGAGAGACGTTAGCGCACGCAGGCAGCGAGCGGGGCCGTGTGCGTCATTTAGAGCTTACATTTTGACGATTCAACTTTTGCAATGGACAAATTTCACAGTTCAAACGAAAAAATAACTTCTAAGAAATAATGAAATTGATGTTGAAGTGAGCGGCTTATTCGTCGTCGCTGATACCCCAGGGAGTCAAACCTGTTTATATGATCCTCTCTATTTGGGCCATGCCGTTTATTTGATGCAGGCTTTGTCGCTACCAAATATTTCACTTAGTTTTTGTATGATCTCTGTTTATATGCATACAAGGTATATGAGTCACATTTTTGGGGACCAAATTAGGTCTCACCTGTTTATTTGATTCACACCACACACTCTTCAAAGCACCACTGCTCAACACTCAACGCCTACCACAAGCCTTCTTCGCTCGCCATGTCTCCTCGCACCTGTCTGACGCTAGAACAAAAGCTCCAAGTGCACCTAAAGCTCAAGCAGAATCCTGGCATGAACAACCCCATGCTCGCCGAGTGGATTTACGCAACTTTCAAGGCCCGGGTCAGCCGTGCCACACTCGCCCGACTGCGCAACCTGCCTTCTTCCTACTTCAGCCACGTCGACCTGAGTGCGACCAAGCGGCGCCGAGTGAAATTCCCTCAGTTCGAGCGGGAACTAAGGGAATTTTTCTTTCAGAACGAAGCTAAAACGGCGATGGCGGACGACGTGCTCCTGCTGAAGGCGCATGAGCTGGCGGAGCGCTTAGGAGGAAGAGGAGGAACAGGAACCCGCAGTTCAACCTGCCATTGCTCTGAGACACTGCATGGAGCTGGCTGCATTTCTGCTGCAATGCGGAGAGCAGACTGACAGGGAACGAAGAGCTTTACAGACCGTGACCGCTTTGGTTCGAGAGACTACGGTGAAGGCAAAGCGGCAGCGAACTATGCACGATTTCTTTACGTGCACCACATAATTTTTTTAACTGAGTCCATTTTATATGAGTCATTGTAGTAGATGGTCACCAACAGGGCCTCACATAAACAGGTTTGACTGTATGGCATTTTTATTTATTAGGTTGGGCGTTGCTGAATAAATTATTCCCTGACGCTCCTACCAATACAACAGTACATTATGGCATTGCCCCCAACGTACCACAATAAATAATGTCATTATGAAAAGCATGAAGTCTATTAACAAGACACCAGTTAGCTTATCATCTAGCTCAAATTGTCCACAGTCGTTGCATCCCAGTGCGACCGATTCTGGCGGAGAAACAAAATCGTCTCAAGCGTGCGTGGCAGCAGGCCGTGTCGTTGAAGACCAAACGTCACCCGAGCAATGCTGAAGAAGCGTTCCACCACGTTCGACGTGGGTGGGATGCTCTTCAGCTGCTCATACTTGACACGGTCCTGTGCAAGCCGCCGGCGCTTCCGAAGACGCTCCACGAACGACGCGGCTGGATCCTCCTCCTCTTCACTCGCGGCCGCGTCGTCCGGTCTGGCAGCTTCGAAGGGCTGCAAAGCGGCCTTTTCAGCACGCGCCAGCCGCTGCGCCTTCCCGCGGAGAACGCGTACACACCCAGCCTCAAAATCTGGGTTGTGCACAATGTTGGCCCGAGGCCCTGCAAAATAAAAACCATTATACAATTGTTAGTGAAAATATTAAACACAAATTCAACAGTTATAAACTTACCAATGTAGCGCCCATATTGTGGCTTGACAGCGATCAGCTCGTCGAACGACTCGCGAACGTCCAGCAGGTCGACGTCGTGGCCTTGAAGGGCCTTCGAGACCGACTCGATGTCGCACAGCTCCTGGTACAATGCCCGCAGTCGCTTGTTCATCGCCGGCGGCGGCAGCAGGTCCATGAGGTCGTCGTCTTCGGCGTCAAGAAACTCGAGGAGCTGGAGGTAGCGCCGTACCATCTCGAACGTAGAGCTCCAGCGCGTGTCCTGGCGAATGACAGGCCGAAGTGGCACACTCATAAGAGTTGCCAGCCGCCGATTTACGGCGCAGTTGTCAGCTACGAGGAAGCGACACTGCGCCAGCTGTACACCGTAATCGCGCGGCAGCATGGTCGCTAGAAACTCGAGATGGCCCTGCACGGAGAGATCGTCGTCCAGCGCGTCCAGCAGCGGGGTCATGCTGAGTAGCGTTGTCTTGGGACAGCCGTTCACCTCATAGCACGCGAACACGGCGATGTAGTGCTCAGATGCGTGTGTCCAGCCGTCGAGCATGATGCCGAAGCGTGCTGGGAGCTCCGACGCAATCGAACGCTCGACGGCGACGACGACCCCGTCCATGCCAGCCCGCAGCGTTTCCTCCGAGATGGGGTCCAGGCTGGAGTAGCTGAATGACATCCATAAAGTAAAGTTGTTAGTTTCCGTAGTAATGTAAACACAATGAACTTATGCGTACACGTACCGCCGAGCTTCTCGGCTCTCACAAAAAGAGAGTGGCAGGTTGCACATGACAATCCAAACCATCCAGCCGTGGAGGTTGAGCGCCGAGTGGCGGACGAAGTTCACGAGGGAGCCTGTCTCCGCTGTCGTAGCGTCGAGCATGACGGTCTCGTAGTCAGGGTGCTCCCGCCTGATATGTTGCACCAGGTTGGAGTACCCGTTCCTATGGGTTTGCTTCCGAACCGTGCCGCAACGGCAACGGAAATACTCGAGAATCACCTCGTCGTTCTCGTCGCGACACGGGCGGAAGTAAAACCCCGAGACTTGGGAGTTCGTGTAGGTATGTAGGTAGGGCGAGGGGGGCGGATAGCGCGAACCATGCTGGATGAGGTCTTGGAGGCTTGAGAAGTGAAAATTGAAAAGTGAGCGCTGCCAAATGAGCTGCAACTAGCAACGCAGACAACCAGTGATTCCAGTTCTTCTGAACGACTGGAAGCGAGAAGATGGCTGGCAAAACGCTAACATTATTGTATAAAGGTAACTGTCATAAATTATGTAATATCACAAAGCACAGCAATAAATTATCACGGTAGATGGCTGAACCCGCCGAAATGCGTAATTTATTGTTATTTTCTGAAATAATGTTATTGACAATGCTATTTTCGGTGGCCCTGTCCGCAATTCGCATGTTGATAGCTGCACCCGCTTATGAGATGCACCTACATCCACCAATCATATGAAGCGATCTACATATTTGTATCCAATCAGACCAATTATAGTACCCGGCAAATAAGATATAACCACAATATTACAGTTGTGACTTATTCAACATGAAGAATTTTGTATATGATACTTTTAAGTACGAATACAGATCAACATTACCGGAGTGAACATAGGGTGCAGCTCTCTACATGCGAATTGCGCGCTGGCGAGCAACAGGTCCATGCGGGCGTACTGCACGCAGCCCAGGAGAGCTTCGGGCAGCTCCTCGTCGGTCTGACCTTCCACGACGAAGCCCATATTGACGGCGAAACTTGTCGACTGCGAGCGACACATTGACGTAATGTGCTTCGCGATCGTGTCGGATGAGATGTCCACGTGGACTTCGAGGTACGAGGGCGTCTGATAATATGTGGTCTGGATAGCCTTGCCAATGATGCACGGCTTGCAGCCCACGGCCTTCCGGATGACCCAGGGGCCGTCGACAATCGTCGGTATCAGTTTGAATCGCGACTTGCGGAAGTTTGAATCGCGACTTGCGGAACTCGTCGTCGCTGTTCAGGAACCGCTCCCACAGTTTCTCCGCCTCAGTGAGGTTCCCAGCTCCAGCGCTCTTGGTTCTTGAAAAGTACTGTACGGTGGCGACCAGCGGGGTTCCTGGGATGATCAGAGTCACGACGAACAGTTGCGGCATATCGTTGCCGAACTTGGCGATCGCTTTGCTCACGAAGCTCTTCTTGGCGTTGCAGATGTTCATCAACTCCTCGTGTGTGCCCTTAAACGACTCAAACCACACTAGCTCGAAGACTGCACAAGCAATGCATTCGTTAGCTTGAAGGTGTACTGAAATTCCGGGAGATTCAACGTACGAGGTGGGGCGGATGTCTCCTTAATCTTGTTCTGAAGGTACGTCTTCGAGCGCAGCTTGAACTGCATCCAGTCGGGCTGGGACCAAAGCTTCCGGAGTTGAGAATCTTGGGTCGTGCAGCTCTCCGCTTGTGTCTTCCATGACTTGACCGGGGCCGGAGTGTACTTCACGAGCTCGGGGACTGAAAAATCTGCGCGGGGTCAGGGATAATGGTAAGTCGTTACGACAGCGATCGAGAGTTGCAATCAACTGAGCAAGTCCAATTCGGTCGTACACGTATCCTTCATTATTTCGGCGTCGAGGTGTGAGCGGTGTACTTTATCTTGGAGAATAGAGGGGTCTCTCAGCGAGTCTGCAAAGCAAGCGTTGATGCTAAAAACGAAGAAACGAGACTCGCGACCTGGTCGCTATATTATCGGATACGCAGTCGTTAGTTAGTGACGTGGCGAGGCAATGCTGTAACCGCGGTAGACTAAAGTCACTTAAGTCTGAGTGCAGTGAAGTGAAGACGTCGTTGAAGAGTCTTCTTCAATGGAGACGTTGCACAACGAGACGACAAGATGCTCCATCTTGCTTACACGACAAATATCCACGCAGCGCATTAGCTCGCCGCAAGAAGGGAACGTAAAATACACTGGAACTGTGAACTATTTAAATTGTAAAAAGTCTAGCCACGCTGCTTAGTCGGCAATCGCAGTTGAAATGGACAGGTCCAGGTGGTTGTACTGGATGCATCCCAGTAATGCTTCAGGTAGCTCGGCTTCGTCTCGACCTTCGATGACGTAGCCCACATCCACCGTTAGACGGGTCGAGTGCGAACGGCAAAGTGCCGTCACGTGCTTGGCGATCCTGTCCGAGCAGATATCCACCACCACTTCAAGGTAGGTTGGCGTCTGGTAGAACGTCGTCTCGAGCGCTCTGGCGATGATGAGAGGCTTCGCTCCGACGCTTTTCCTAACCAGCCACGGCCCGTCGTGGACGGTCGGCACCAGCTTGAGTCGCTCCTTGCGGAAGTCGTCGTCGCTCTCGAGGAACTTCTGCCACAGGGTGTTGGCCTCCGACTGCGGGACGTCGCCGGTTCTAGCGAAGTACTGCACCCCGGCCACCACGGGGGTGCCTGGTACGATCAGAGTGACGACGAACAGGGGCGGGACGTCGCTGCCGAACTTGGCGAACGCCCTGCTCGCGAAGCTCTTCTTGGACTTGCAGATATGGTGGAGCTCCTCGGGGGTGCCACTGAATACCTCAAACCACAGCAACTCGAACACTGCACCGCCAGGTTAGATATAGAGTTCTATCCTCTGTGTATGCTGTATCAATGGACAAGGACGTACGAGGCGGCGCGGACGTCTCCTTGACCTTGCTCTGCAGGTACGTCTTGGAGCGCAGCTGAAAGCCCGACCAGGTCGGCTCGCTCCACATCTTCCGCAGACGCGGGTCCTGCTCCGTGCAGCCATCGGTCTTGAACTTCCACGACTTGGCCGAGTCGGCCGAGCACTTCTCGGGCTCGTGCGGCTGCAGCGGCTTGAGATCTTTCATGCTCTGAATCGAGTGGATTGCCGACTGCACTGTGTGCGGGCGGTTGGTTGCCTCAGGGTTGCTCAGCCAAAAGCGGCCGCCGTAACGGCACCGAGAGTTCTTAGCACAGCACAGCACGCAGCACGCGGGTCAGGTCTTGAAGCTGTTGAAGCTGTGCCCCTTAAAATCCCAACGCCCGGTTCCTGGCACAAGTATGTCTTGGCGTTGTTGCTGTAACAGCCGACGCTGCACATTCCCAGCAACCCATCAGATCCGAACAAGCCCCGCGGACCTACTTACAGCAGGATGGCGCCGCGAGCTGAGCCCCCGAGCAGCGTGCGCTCGCCCACCGCCAGTCGGAAGCGCATGAAGAAGTTCCGCGACGTCGTGTCCCCGCTGGATCCGGCGGACGCGCGCTCGGGCGTCCACAGCTCCGAGTTCCGGGGCATGTACAATCTCGCTATGATAGCGTGCGGTCTGTACGTCTTCACGACGCTCTTCACCAACCTGCTGACGAGGAAGGAGCCGGCGGACCTGAAGCTGCTGCTCTCGGTGTTTTACTCGACGCACCTGCTCGAGGTGTTCGCCACCTTCGCCTGCCAGGCGCTCTACGCCTACACGGCGCTGATCCCCGTCTACATGGCCGGCACCGACAAGTTGTCCAACCGCCTGCTCATCAACATCGTGCACCACACGCTGCAGAGTCTGCTCTTCTTCTTCACCGTCGTCTTCATCGTGTGGCGCGACTGGAACTTGATCCACGCGGTCTCGGCCTTCATCGAGGGCCTCGTGCTGCTCATGAAGATGCATTCCTACATCCGAACCAAGCTGGAGATCGCCCGGACGGAGGACAAGCCGCCCTCACCGGACATCAAGGACTACACAATGTACCTGCTGATCCCGTCGCTGGTCTACGAGCCCAAGTTCCCGCGCACTAACCAAATCCGTTGGGGGTACATCGCTGAGAAGACCTTTTCGGTCATCATGGGGATCTCGATGTTGTACATCATCGTGACGAATCATGTTATGCCTCGCCTGGAAGACTCCGGAACGGTGAACCCCGTGCTGTCCATTGTAAGCCTCTTGCTGCCGTTCCTTGGGTGCTACCTCCTCACGTGGTTCATCATCTTCGAGTGCATCTGCAACGGTCTCGCCGAAGTCACGTATCTGGCTGATCGCGACTTTTACTCGGACTGGTGGAACAGCACGACGTTCGACGAGTTTGCACGCAAGTGGAACAAGCCTGTGCACGAGTTCCTGCTTCGTCATGTGTATCTGGAGACCCTGGACTCGTACAACATTTCCAAGACCAACGCCACATTTTTCACCTTCTTCATGTCGGCGGCGCTACACGAGTGCGTCTTCATCCTGATGTTCCGCACTGTCAAGATGTACTTCTTCATCCTACAGATGGTTCAGGTGGTTATCATCTTCTACGGCCGCGGACTGCGCGGTACGCGGCTAGGCAACATCACTTTCTGGCTCGGGATGATCCTTGGTCTCCCGCTTCAAGCTGTCATTTATAGTCGGGAATACCATGGAGGTGAGCCGATCTTCATGGTCATCATGATGCCAGCGATGATTTTCGGGTTTGGCGGTGTGCTCATTGCGTCTTTGACGAGCCTTTGCCGGTCGAAGAAGAAAACCGTTTAGATCCTTAGCATACTATACCCCGAGAAGATGTAAGGCAGTTCTTCCTCATCAAATGTGCAGAGGGAAGAGGAAAAAGTTGCAACAACTAGGAAAAACAGTATAAACAAGAGTAGCAGCTTAGGTTCACTGTTTGCACAGTTTGTCTCCTCCAACTTCCTACTTCTTCCCGAAGCGGAGCACGATGTCGCCCAGCGAAGTTTCGTACAGCTCGCAGTTGTTGAGCTTGCGGTTCATTGCCAGCATTCGCTTGAAGTACGACGAGTGGCCAACCACTGCAATGTGCTGCTCCGGTCGCTCCGCCAGCTTGGCGACAAACTCTCGAATCCTTGCGTCTACCTCCTCCTGGGTTTCGCGAAGTGGCAACACTTCGTCCGATGTCTTGGGCTCCACGATGTTGGCCGGCGGTGCATTGCCCGGTCCAGTGCGCGGGAACTTCTCCATTTCCAGCCACCAGAACGGATCCAACTGAGAGAAGTCGATGTCCACCTGGGGCAGGAACTGCTGAGCCAGCTCCGCCGGTACACGACCGATGTCACAGGCCGTGTCCAGCATCTCTCGACACGAAGGCTCCACTACACACACAAAACCACCGTCAGTTTTTCGAGCTAGAACGAACCATTGGTCAGGTCCTCGTTGCCATAGGAAGTCGCACCAATGATGGGGATCTTCGCGTCCGGGAAGGCTCCGATGGTGGTCTCGATAGCTCGTGTCAACGGGCTCGAAATGATCTGCACGACACCGTCAGCGTCACTGTCTTTTGGTCTCCACGAATGTGCTGAGCTGAAGCCCGTACCAATTGAATCTTATCTTCCAGTTGCTTGGATTTGATGAGCTCGTGGAGCTTCGCTGCCTGTTTTGTCGTGAAATGGGCACAAAATTAAGTTTTCGGGTTTGAGCAGCTACGGCGGGCGAGCAGACGCACCTGCTTATTGCCCTTGGCGCTGAGCGGCGCGTCCACGATCATGGGGTCGCGCACCCACATCCACGAGAAGTTCCAGAGGCTGCTCTTGCGCCACTCGTTGAACGTGGACTCGCCGTGGCGGATGCAGTACAGCGTCTTGGTGGTGCCGGAGTCGCTCATGATCCAGGTGTTCTAATTCTAATCCGGATTTGTTAGGTAAATCTCTGTTTTGAAATGAAAGCACTAACCTTAATTTTAACTTTAGATAAAATGTTGCAATCATTTCAATCGCGAGAAAAGTCAAGGTCGAAGTCTGCAGCTATTCATCAGTCGAATGGTTGAACTACACTTAGGATAAGCACTCGGTAAGTTCTGCTGGGGCATCGAAAAACTGGACGAACCAGTGTTAAATGCTACTCGACCTAGTGACGAATTGCAGTTGATGGACATACGTACCTGCGGTGGCAAGTTGAAGACGAGGATTTTTCCTTCAGCGGTGCCGCATATCATTGCCTTGCACTCCGGCCAGCACTGGAGGCACTTGATGCAGCCGTCCACTCTACTCGGGAATAAAAAGCGATTCAAAAGAGGTAAGTACAGTTGGCAGCAGTGTGGATTTCGGCAAGGTACTTGCACCCACGTACTTGGCCCGAAACACGATTTTGCCGTACGCATCGAAAGCGCTTTCGTCTTCGCACGTAGTGTAGTCCCAGACGATCAGAGTTCCATCAGCGGCAGCGCTGAGAACGAGCCCACGCATTGGGGTGACGTCCAGACACACGATGGGAGAACTCGAACCTGACGATGAAGTCGAGGTGGGATGGCGGAGAACGCCTAGCTCGTACGTTTCTGGCAGATTGCACATGTTCCACATGCGAAGCAGTGTGTCGTCGGAGCCAGAAAAGAGGAAGCAACCGTGCACCGCCATGCTGCAAACTGCGTCACTGTGAGCTCTGAACGAACAAAAAACACTTTTTTTCGCGAAACTCCACATCTGGAGTGAAATCAAAGTCCACACCACCAGCGCAACGTTAAATGTTGCAGTTATGACGCTAGTTTACAAGCTCATGATACGTACAACAATTTGCCCAGATGAGTATCCAGCCACGAAAAACTCCTGACCGTCCTGGGCCAAAAAGTTTCCGCTGCAAAACACAAGTGAGGTGGCCTCCTTCTTCTCCAATTGCAGCACTGGTTGGAATGGCACGCCCCGCGGAAAACCATCTGCGTTAGCCTCCCACACAGAGACGCATCCGTCGATACTGCCTGCAAGCAGCACTTCTTGATCTCGAACGACACCCGCTACACATGTAGTCGTTCGTTAGTCAGGACAATTGAAATGTATCAGCTCTACAGTCCCTATCGAACCGCTTACTTGCTAGGCACGTGACAGAACCATTTCTTTCCATTGGCAACTCGAGCATTTCGCCCGCGTGAATGCTCCAGACTTTGACGACACCGCTATCATGCCCAGTGAAAATCTTTTGGAATTGCTTGGACGCTACCATACAGGTGATCTCGGAGTCTCTTTCTTCGAACCCAAACGACGCCTTCATTTCGTACGAGTCCCAACATCGAATGGAGCCGTCCAGTGAGGCGCTGAAAAATTGAAACGTTTTCGTCAGCTCGACTGCGTCATCTTGAGAGTTCCCACGCTCTCTCAAATTCACGGGGTCTTCGTCGCCTTTTAAACCTGCACTGAAGTCATTGTTGATGATTGCAATACCTACGATTGAATCTGAGTGGCCTCCACAACTCACATACCCAACATTACGGTTGCAGATCCACTGTTTCACGCCATTTGCTAGACCAGTTAGCAAGAAGTCTCCTGCTGGGATTCCAGTTAGAGAATGCATCCCGACAATCCCTAGTGGCATTGCTGCGACCATTTTCTTCTTTCCCAGCAGCTTGTCTTCGAATATGTTCCACAAATGCACATAACCCGCAGCATCACCAAGTAGCAAAATCTGACCACGATCATCCCAAGCACACGACGTGAAACGCGCAGCGCTGGCACTGCAGATCGTAGATGAGAGAGCTCCTGAGATCGCGTCGATAATTTGCGCCTTTTCATCGAAACCAAGCGAGACAACAAAGCAACTGTCGGCCACAATCTCAAGTTTGGAAATGCCAAGAGAGTGAAAGTGCGAAAACTTCCGCTTCAAACTGAATTGAAACTTCATGTCGACTTGGTCACCCAACTGCTTGTCGTCAACAACCTCCAAAACATTGTCGGAACCCACGTCTTCACTGTGAGAAGAGTGGTTGTAGACAGATATGCCACCACCAGAATCTCCGATAAAGAGAGTGCCGTTTGCGCCGGAACGAACACAAAACGCCGAGGGCCAGCAACTACCAGGCTGTAAGATTGACTGGGCTGGTAGATACCACGGGTAAAGCAGCAAGGCTCGACCTTCTGCAGGGTACCAAGTTTTCACCGTCCGATCCAGGCTGCAGCTTATGATGCCATGACTTCGCGTTAAAACTCGCAAGCAGACAACACTGCCGCAGTGTTCGGTAAGAGTTTGTACACATGCGTAGCCACCTTTGGTAGGCAAAGATGAATCCGCACCGCCCCATGGATCCCAAATTTTAATGGACCGATCAGCTGATCCTGAGAACAGAAGACCTTCAGGCCCCAGTTCCGGGGCAAAGTCGAGAGTCAGCACGGCACCTGTGTGCCCTCGCAGTGTGTTGGCCTTTGAATGAAGCAATCACGTTCGTTAGTATTCACAACTGTGTGCAATAGGAGATCAAAATGTGGGGTGGCGTACACTTGGGATAGTTACGCTTGGGGCCTGCGAGATAGGCCAATGCATGATGGCACCATCGTGCTACAAGTTCAGGAAAGCGCTCAGTTTAGTGCTCGGCTACAGTTGCCAGATGAAGCTTTCGCACTCACCCTGCCGCCAAATATCCCCTTTTCAGCATGAACATTGTAGCTTTCGAAGGTGAGGGCTTTATCCGAGATCTGGTGACATCAGCAAGAGTGTGGTTAAGACTGAGGAGGGAGGGTAGTAGTTCAAAGGAGTGCTTACTTGTGGCAGGTTTTCTGCAAGCACAACCCGATCAATTCGGTTGTTGTCATGGACCGAGCTTTGATCGTGCTGACACTGGGGCTTGCTTGAAGGACGCTCAGTTGCCTGGCCTTCAGCCAACGCGCTGTTTGGCCTGTTGCCCTCTTCGTACGCATAAACTTCCCACGCCGTGAACTCAATCATAGCCCAGCACGGCACGCAGCAACACAACAGAAAATATCTACAGCTTGACGACGTCTCTTCGAGGTGAGGGTGGCTGTTTATTTTCCGATACAGAAGTCGGCGAAGAGTACGTCAAGAACGTCTTCAACGTCGATCCGTCCGAGGATGCGGCCAATTGCCATGACGGCCCGACGGAGATCCTCGGCAGCAATCTCGCTCTGGTAAGGATCAGCCAAGAAACGCTCCAAGCACGACAAACACTCGACGAGATTTTGACGGTGACGCTCACGAGTGATCAATGCACCATTCGCAGACGCTCCAGAAGACATCTCCAACCTGTCAACGAAGCAGCGTTAGTACGTCATTTAATACCAGTGAGGTGTCTAACACATACTTTTCCTTCACCGCGGCTGCGAGGTTGTCCACGAACACATCGATGTTGTCGCCCTCCGCGCAAGAAATCACAAGGAGCTGGTCGCGTTGCTCGGTGTCAAAGGTGCTTATAACGCGTCCGATCTCGTCTTCGTCGAACTGATCGCTCTTGTTTAGAACAGCAATAGCGCCTTCTTTGAGGTACGACTGGTACTCATCGTTGTGAAGAAGCTCAGCGTTCTACGCAAACAGAGCACAATTAATACAACAAGAACAGAAGTATCACCGGTTCACTCTCATACCTGAACGTCCATCATAAGCACGCAGATATCTGCGTCACTGGCGCACTGCTGAGCCCTGAGCACGCCTTCCTTCTCGACAAGATCCTCGGTTTCACGGATTCCTGCAGTGTCGCTAACGATCACGGGATAACCTGCAATGTTCAATGGCACTTGCACCACATCTCGCGTCGTACCAGCAATGGAAGAGACGATCGCAGCAGGTCGCCGAGCGAGAACATTCAGCAAGCTGCTCTTGCCAGCATTAGGCGGACCAAGGATGGCGACCTGGACGCCACTGCGAAGTATTTCTCCCCTCCTGCCGTCTGCCAAATGTCCTCGGATCGAATCTGCCAGCACGCGAACTCTACACCGATTCCGTGAGCCCAGCACTGATCGCGTCGAGATTTTGAGTGTATAATGCACGTGTAACTTACCGATCCACTGCTGCTTCGTACGCAGCATCGGTGACGTCATCTTCATCATCACCAAAGTCGATCATCGCCTCAGTGTAGGCCAGACAGCGCACCAGACTGTTGCGCCAACCCTCGTAGATTTCTCCAACATCACCCGAGAGTTGTCGAAGGGCTTGTCCGCGCTGCGCTTCTGTCTCAGCGCTCAGCAGGTCTGCCAAGCCCTCGACCTGCACCAAATCGATCTTGTTGTTGTCAAACGCGCGCTCCGTAAACTCTCCCGCCTCCGCAGCACGGCAGTGCTACACAAAACCACACGCAAATATCAGATATCGCCACTTTATTGCATTGTCGATCAACACATTGCACACCTACAGGCACGTGGCTCAGCGCTTCCAGGACTCCAGACACCACCGCAACGCTTCCGTGCGTGTGCAGCTCCACGATATCTTCGCCCGTAAAACTACCAGCACAGCAACCTCGCGTCAATCATAATCCTCACCCATATACCACTACACTTGAGCCACTTTGCCACCTCTTCGGGTGCGGGAACCGCAGCACCAATGCATCGTCCAGATGCTCCTTGGTCTTCGGGTGGTAGAGCTTCCTTAAAGCAGCACTGCGACATCAATTCACCTCATTAACAATCAGAGCTAGCTTTAACCACTAGTACCATTTCCCCACTCACACTCGAGGCTCCGGCAGCGCCGTGGACTTGCTGAGCTGCTGCAGACACGAGTCCGCCTGCTCGCCAGAGATTCGGATAACTGCCACGCCAGCTTTACCAGGCGCGGAGGACAGCGCGTAGATTGTGTCGAGCTCGTACACGCCGATGTCTTGGTCGCCAGCTCCAGCAGCAGCTGAAAGGCTGGCAAAGCGCCGAGCGCGGGCAGCTCTGGCGCCGCCGCGCAAGGCGCTCAATCGGTGGAGCATCGTCGTGGAGCAGCCAAAATGCATTGAGTTTGATGAAAACCTAGACAACGTCATGAAACCCCAATTTAACATGGCAAGTTGAAGTGGTTAAACGCTGATAAGTTTTGGGTTAGATAGGCAGAGTGACGCCTTCGAAGTACTCGAGCATGTCGTCAATGTCGCTGCACTCGAAGTTCTCCGAGCTGCTGCTGCACATTGTATCGGCTCGGCTGGCGGCGGAATCTTCAAGTGAAGCGGCCGGGGGCGGCGGCGAGTCCGTCTTGACAGCAGCCTCTTCGGTAGCTAGCACGGGCGTTGAAGACTTGGATTCGGTCTGCAGCTTGTCCGGAGTGGTTAGCGTCAGCACAGTGTCGGACAGGAAGTCGTACTCTCCGTCGTCGAGCGTGACGCTCTGAGCGCTGTGGTGGCTTCGGACCGACGACGGAGCGGGAGGACTCATGACCGGCGGGAGCGGGGACTGCAAGTGAGCAGTGGAAGGAGGCGTCGGCACGCAGCCAGCCTGCTCAGCTCCAGGAGACAGCAATCCCAGGGGGTACTGTACTTCAGATGGCGCCAGTGCGCCAACCTCAAAGGATTTGCGTCGATCTCCCGCAACGCTCTTCTCCTTCCGACTTGAGGAGGAAGACACGGAGGATGGTGGCGATGGCTTTGAAGAAGGGTTTCGTCGATCCAGGGAAGGAGAGAGTGGCTGCAGCTGCGGAGGCATGTCCATCTCATCGTAGCAGTTCAGGTACGAGTTCAACGCCGCTGCGGACGCCGTGCTTCGCTCGGAAATGTCGTTGGAGGCAGCGCGCCTCTGCTTCCGCAGTGCTCGCTTGGCGACGACACGCTCCATTTGCTGCTGCGCGCTGTCGGCCTCCAGCTGCCGTTGTCGCTGCTTGGTCAGCTCTGTAGGTTGCATGAAGGACTTCCGCTCCAATGGAGTCCCAGGGGACTCATCACTTTCGCTTGAGCTTGAGCTGGATAAACGCGCTGGACCCCGCCGCGCGACCGGCTTCCTGTTCGGCGGATCGATCTTGTCCGGGTGGCTCACGCTTCGTACACGCTGCTGGTAGACGTCTGGAGCGCTTGATTGTTGCCGAATATGGCTGACATGGTGGTGATGCACATGACCTTGAGTCTGTTGCTGGCGCTTCTTCTGCTCCTCCTGCCATCGCTTGTGCCGACTGCTTTCCGTCGGGCCGAAGTACCGACTCCGCGTGAGCCAGTGGCTCATTTGACGGTCGCGATACTTGGCCAGCGACTTGCTCTTCTCGGCCACTGCACCTCGGATATCGTAGATCGCCTTGGAAATGGTGCGCAGCTTCACGTCGCCACCTGTCACCGCCACCGGACTGGAAGATACTTCTTCAGTCGGGTCGTACAGCCATACATCTGCACGCCTACGCGGTCTCCGCTGCCCTGCAGGAGACGCCGGTAAGCTGTGCGAAGTATTCGGCATCATCATCGTCACGACGGGTCTCGGGAATCCGCCGCAGATCGAGGCACGCGCTAGCGGGATATCGCTAGCCATGACTGCGGGGCTGCCACCAATCCATTGCGTCAGCAGAAGCTTGACGCGGAGCATACCTTCGTCTCCCGAGCGTCCTGGCATGCAGCACACCTCCTCATAGCCGTGGAACTCGCCCGAAATCTCGCGCACCTCCTCCAACGACACTTCTCGCTTGCTGGCACAGTCTGCATGCGTGCCCACCAGCAGCAGCCGTCGCCCCGGGGTGTCCGACAAATGCGCCCACTGCGCAACGACCGCCGCCAGCGAGTCTCGCCTCGTGAGGTCGAACAGCAGCACGAACACTGCGTCGTCGTCGGCGACAGCAGCAGCGCCCGAGTCCTCCTCTCGGCTACGCAGGATGTGAACCGCTGTCTTCTTCTGCCTGTTCCCGCCAGGCCGCGCCCACAGATACTGCGGCGGCGCGTTCGTCGCGGCGACAGCCTCTTTAGCGCCAAGCGCCAGCACGAAGCTCGTCTTGCCCACGGCATCCGCGCCTGCCACGCCGATGCTACCGGTCATGAGTCTGTTGCTGCTCTCTCCAGTTGAGTTCTGCGTGGCGACAAGGCGGCCACCACCTTGCTCTCTCTCTGCGCGCGCGGCGTCGTGCTGGGTACAGCCGCGGGCCGATGGATATCCGCCGCAGACGGAGCGAGGCGTCAAGTCAACGAACGATCTCCGAGCCGCCGATGATGGAGATAGTAATGTGGCCGGCGGCGTGGGAGCGCGACTCAGTCAGCTTTAGTATCGTTGGCGATGTGGCGGAACGTCGTACAGTATCCGATACGTATAGGGGCGGCCGCGCCCGTTATTGCGGCAACAACGGTCGGCTCGCGTAGCCAGAAAGCCCGACGCCAGCACAAATCGACAAGGCCGGCGCGATGCCACGAAAGCCCAGCCGGTGCACTCCATCCTACAATATCGGGCGCAGCTCGACTCAACTCGCTGCGCGCCGCAGCACAGCGCGGCACGGGCATGGCAGTCCATGGCAGCCATAGAGCGATGCTGAACGCGGGGCAACCATCCGCACGCCCTTCCCTGCGCTCGGCGGGGCCGCGGTCGGTTCACGACGCCAGGAAGCCAACGGAACGACTCAGAGAACCTACAAAATGGCTACAGTACTCGGGCATCGATGACACTAGGGAGCAGTGATAATGGGCTGCATGTTGAAATGATATCCAAACTCGTTGACGGTTACACGGCCAGCGAGAAGACTCTAGTGCTTGCCATGGGCTCGGTGGCACGAAGACGAATGCCTACCGCACAATCATCGGCAAGTTCCTGGAGCAACGATGGCATGTGGAAATTCATGCGTGGTTACACGCCTTGAACGATGGGCTGTAGGCAACCCGGAGCGTTGCTCCGGGAGGGTACACAGGTCGACGAATAGTTTCATGGACAATGATAACGGATAATAATTGAGTACTTAGTAAATCCCAAAGTTGTTTTGTTTTTAATCTTTAAAAGCACTACCAGCCCAACTCTCTAGTTGATTCTAACGTGGGCATCTACTGCGCCTGCTTCGCAGCCGCAGCATCTGTAACCAGCAAGCCCCGCTCTTCTTTATCGTGGTGGGTTCTCAGGAACCGAAAGTCACCAATTGAGGTTGCCTGGTCTGATGAGGCCATCGGTGACATAACACCCTGGTCAGCGTCCAAATGGCTGCGTTGGCGCCAGCAATGAGAGAGCTATTTCATTCATTTTGCAGGTAAGGTATACTGTGCTCATTTTTGTACTATGTTGTGTGCTAACGATCAGACGAGAGAGCTACAGTAGCGGAACGAAGGAGAGACGCATGGTGCGCTGATCTTGACCTTTTAACTTGAAAGTGGCAATAATGATCCTTATATTAAAAACAAAACAAACAAACAAACTTTTAACTTGAGGGCTTGGGGGGGGGGGGGGGGGGTAAATTGCGGAATGCGAAATACGCTAATGGGCCAATTCCTTGGAAGTGGGTGCTTCAACGCAGGGAAAAAAAGCTTTATTCAAACGAACGATGCTCGTGTCACTGTCGAGTTGAGCTGATTGGTTTGGCGACAGACACGAGGTTGGGCATCTTCGGCTAAGAGTGATTGGGTATTGAGCAAATTAACATGTAAAAAAATGCAGCCTGCACCTAGACAAGTCATGTTGGTCATCTTCAGCTAAGCTTGGTCGATTATGGCGCAAATTGATACGCCTTCAGCGAAGCCATGACGCTCTCATAGTGTACTGGAGCGTCCGTAAGTGTTTGAATGCAGGTTTTGGTAAATAATAAACAATTAGTATCAACCTTTGGTAAATAATGTGCATAAATCTTAGCATTTATCGACGGGTACCCGATTCCGGCAGATATTAGCTTAAACATTACAATTTAGAAAGAGAGACCCGGTTTGGTACCCGGTTTTGGAAAGTAACAAGTTTTTTTGCCGGGGCCAAGCACTGCTGTGAAATTGAGGACTGTAGGTCGCGACTTAGATTTTATTTCTTCCAATGAAAAACGACCTACCTCCGAGCAATAAGCAAGTAAGCCGCCGAGGAGGAGCACCATGGGGGCCGGTCCGTCGCTGGGCAAGTTCCTCAAGGCTATGGACGACGATGAGCTCTCCAAGCTCGTCGACACTGTGCGTATGCGCCCCTTTCACTATCTATAGCTCATACCGGCAGTTCTAACGCTCTGCTCGCTCTCCAGGCGTACAAACTGGAGCCGCAGCGCATGGAGAAAATGTTCACCCTGGCCAAAATGCGCTACTACGAAGGTGAATATACGGCTTGCAGCACGCTGACGACAGGTTGGATAAACACGCATCTAATGTTTCTCTTTAAATGATGCATTGTAGAGCTGGGACAGCCCCCGCCGCGAGACGTCGACGCCGTGGACACCTCGAACGCCTTGAGCATGCCTGCTGCCCTGCTGTCCACCCCTCAGCCTGTGACCTCACAGGCAGCCCCTCCGATGCTGAGTGAGATGCTGCCGCATACTCCATCAACGACGACGGCGTCTTCGGCTGTGAGCACAGTGCCGCAGATGTCGACTGTCACGACCATCGAGGTGATGGCGGATTCGGCCGACGAACACGCGCCGCTGACGGGTGTCAAGGACCCGATGAACGCTCTGTGGACGTTCGAAGGCCACCACCTCCGCGAGCTGCAGGCGGCGGACAAGAACCCCCAGAACGCGAACAACCAGGCGTTGCAGCAGCAGGGGCTGACCCATACGGACCACTTGGGCAAGAACGGCGGGGCGATCGACCCCTCGACTGGAGCGGCGACGACGGTCGTGCAGCGCGAAGTTGATGCAGATGGATACCCCATTCTCTATGGCAGCTGCGGTCGCGACAAGCGATACGGACGCTGCTCGGTGTGCTACTTCCGTGGTCTCCGCTGCAACACAGCGCACTATTGCGCCTGTTGTCAACGACCGGTGTGCATCCGTCCGCGGAAGTACCCGGGCGAAGAGCACCAGAAAATCTGCTGGAACGTGCTGCACATGGACAAGGATATGATCCAGCGCGTGGAGAAGAAGAAGAAGCGCAAGTTGCAAGCTTTGACCACTGCGGCCACCGCATCATCATCTGTGGGGGTGCCGGCTTCCTCACGATTGAAGAATGTCGACGGCCACGGCGACCATAGCGATCGAGCGAATGACAGTCTCAACCAGTCCGAGGATCTGCACCCGACACCGTCCATTCCAACAGTGGTGGCGGATGTAAGCGGCGCAGTGGATCTATGAGAGTGTTTGGCTCGGTAGTACTATGCCTTCAACACGCAGCTCGTTTTGAACGTCTATTATCACGTGCTGGAAACTTTAGCATGACATAATGCAGAGCAAAACCGTGCTGAGGGCAGCATCCTTGTTGTCAACCAGGGCAAAGAAACCAGCCAGAAATGTAGACAGCTACCGCAGTTGTAAGTCTTAGAGCAGCCAAGCTCATTGAAGAGAGATGCAGCGGGGAGTGAAGGCGTGAAAGCGGCACAAGCATCTTGCAAGTGCAAGATCCTTTCAAGTGCTGAAAGGCATGCGCGATCAATAGCGTGGCGGAGGGCGACGCGAGTTGTCTCGCGGCTGGTAGTCGCGTCCTCGCTGCGGTGGTGGGCCTCGGTCCCGGAACGATCGGTCACGATCGCCTCCAGGAGGGGGGGCTCTCTCGCGGTTGCGGCTGCGATCACGGCTTCGATCCCTGGAGCGAGATTGCATCGGTGGATTCCATCCACCTGAATTCGCTCCAGGGCCAGGCATAGGACCAGGAGCAGGACCAGGGGCAGCGCCAGCGGACAACGAGTACGCTTTGGAAAAGGATATGCGCATGTGCGAGTCCGGGTACGCCATATTGTCGAGCTGGAGGAGCGCCATGATCGCCTCGTCCATCGAGCCCATCTCAATCAGAGCCATCTTGTGGTTGTTCTGCAAGTAGTGGAAGTTCTTGACGAAGCCGTATTGCGCAAAGAGATCCACGAGTGCGTTCTGGTTGCGCTGCAGCTCCATCGGAATGCCAGAGATGTGGAGCAGGGGGCAGGGAGAAACGGCTTCTTGTGGGTTGCGGCGACGATATCGGTGAAGTGGAGAGCCCGAGAAGTCGAGCGTGTTCTCGATCTCAAAGCGGTCGGCATCCGCGTGCGGCATCGACACACTCGTATGCTTTGAATAGTCCACGCGTAGCTTTTTGCCGAAAACGTAGACACCATCCAAGTGATCCAATGCCGAGGTAGACTGAAACGGCGAATCATTGCAACAACACACGCGCCGAAATATGCATCACAACAAATAGCCAATGTTAGATACCATCCCATTAACTACAGTGCACAATACACTTACATGAACATCATCCACGAACTGGATCAGCGCGGTATCGCGCTTTCGAAACATGATCTTGATACGAAGGACGTCGCCAAAGCAGCCAAAGAGTGTAAATAGGCGATGCGGGTTCTATCAATATGGCACACGCAACAAGAAACCATTAGTTTGGCCCCACACCGATGAGATCGTGAATGCCGCGATAGCACACTTACCACCAGTTCGCGGTCAATGTTGCTGCAAATCAAGGCAGGGGACGGACGAGTGTCGCCTCGTATAGCTCGGCCAGTTGAATGGGGCGGCAGTTCGCGTCCACCGCGGAGCTCACGAGATCTATCGGTGCTCGGAGGTCTCTCATCATAGCGCGATGGAGGTCCGCGGTTGTCACGCATATCCGGGACGTATCTGTCGTCTCGACGAGCGTTTGGAGCATCGGTAGGCCCACCGTAATCATCGCGGCGTGGAGGTGGGTTATTGTATCCGTCATCTCTTGGCACCTCTCGTCGATCGGAAGGAGCGGGGTTGACCGGGTTGCTTTCGCCAAGATCTTCACCACCACGACCAGGACCTGGGGGCAAATTGGGGTTGGTGTAATCACGCGATCGATCGTCGTTGTAGCGCACACGGAGCTCCGGGTGGCGCGAAAACACAATGCTGAGCTGGTTACAACCCGTGTAGATGTCACGTCCATCAAGTGCTGATTGCGCTGCTTGGGCTTGATCGACCGACTCCATCTGTACGAGTGCCTTGAACTCGTTGTCCTTCCAAAACGTGACGATCTTCTCAACATTGCCAAACTTCTGGAAAACCTGTGACCAGCAAAAACGAAATCCGTTTTTATGAGTATCGTTGAGAAGTACAAGGGCAAAGAAAGCTATTACTGTACGGCCTGCCGTACCTGTTGCAGGACGTCCACTGTGACATCGTACTCGATCTTGGACACAGACACCATCAGGATTTGATTCGGCGGACCAACGCCACGGCGACCTCCCTCTTGAGGCAGCAAACCAGGTTGAGCTGTGCGTGAAAAATCCCATGCACATCGTCAGTTGAACGCCCCTAAACAGAGCAGAAGATAAGAGTTTCTTACCTCCGCCGTCTGCACGGAATGGGGGCATATCTTGGCGGGGTGCATACTGCATTGGTGGAGGCTGTTGGTATGCAGTAGCTCTTTGCGGCGGCGGCTGCTGCTGGTAGGAAGAAGCGTCATTGTCCGAGCGTACAGTGATCTCATTGCGGTTGCTGAACTCGAAGAAGATCTTTTTGCCACGGATAAGCGCGTCACGGGTCTGGTAAAAGGTGACGAGGTTGACAGCCGAGGTCACGTCGGGAAGTTGCACGAATGCTTGGCGCTTTTGCGGGATCATGAGACTCTTCTCCACTACTGCAAACGGACAGCAGAGCGCGAGTAGTTCACTCTCCAGGCAGTCGGCGGGTAGTCCGCACACGAACACAACCTACTTGGCGGCAAAAGGGCAGAGCACAACAGGACATAAGAGAGCAGGACAAGACAAAGAGAGTGAGCGAGCAGGTCGTCGAGGTCCGAGGGCCCCCGCACAGTAAATCATAGAGCCAAGTCAAGTCCACAGTAGGTAGTTACCCGCGATGCCGGCTGCGAGCTGCGCTGGCGCTTGGACGGGTCGAAGTCGTCTCCGCCGTCGTATTGGCGCTTCATGCCGCCGTTACTCGCCATTGGCGAAGGTCAGAGGCAGGGGAGGGCGGAGGGCGAAGGTGCAGGCAGGGCCAGAGGTCGAGGGGAGAGGTAGGGGGCGGAGAGGTCGCTGCAGAGATCGAGGCGAGGGAAGCCAACACGGAGAGCTGCAAGACGACAGATTGGGTGTGTCTGTGGATTGTTTTCGACCGAGCTACACACTGCGCACAGCTTAACACGAACTGCAGCCAGCACGAGAGGGTCATGTCAGCTTCACCTTTCCCTCACTAAGGCCTGCCAAATGCATCACTGGCGACGTACGGAGAGCTTCCTTGGCGTCCTTGTTTCGCTGGATCCGAACGTGGCTGGCGCGGCCTGGGAACCCAAAGTAGTGGGCGGAGAACGCTGTTTTGGGTTTCTCGTGGCGTAAAAAGGGAGGGTTGATTTGGGTCACGTTAGATTGGGCGCGTGAGCTATTTTTTATCCGTAAAAGAAGGGCGATCTCCACGCCAGGAAGCGTTTTATCTTTGGTGGCAGCCTGTGATTGGCTCGCGGGGCAGGCGTTTCGCTAACTCGTGGGTCTATTTCCAGCGAGGTCGGCGCCGGTCGTTTGATCGCTTCCCCCTCTCTGGTGGGTTTCTCCCTCATTTGCGAATCGCGCCCGGAAGAGAAGCAGCAGCAAAGCAGGCGAGAGCCCGGAACGAAACCAGCGGCAACCATGGGTATGGCCTTCTCGCGCGTGTTTGAACGCCTCTTCGGCAAGAAGGAGATGCGTATCCTCATGGTCGGTCTCGATGCCGCCGGTAAAACCACCATCCTGTACAAGCTCAAGCTGGGCGAGGTGGTCACGACCATCCCCACTATCGGTACGTGCGCAGATCTGCGTCGCTTCTAAGGGACTCAAGGACGGGATCTCGAGACGTCGGCGCTGTCTCCTTCCTCTGTCTGTATGCTCCACGCCTGTGCAGGACGAGCTCTTAGACGGAGGAGGGGGCGTCGCCAACTCGGGATCTCTTCCGATGTCTTGGATATCTACAGATAGACTCAGTACTGACGTTGCTGTTGTTGTGTATTTCAGGCTTCAACGTGGAGACGGTGGAGTACAAGAACATTAGCTTCACGGTGTGGGACGTGGGTGGTCAGGACAAGATCCGCCCGCTGTGGCGCCACTACTACCAGAACACACAGGGCCTGATCTTCGTGGTGGACTCGAACGATCGCGACCGTGTGGACGCGGCCCGCGACGAGCTGCACCGCATGCTGAACGAGGACGAGCTGCGGGACTCTGTGCTGCTGGTGTTCGCCAACAAGCAGGATCTGCCGAACGCGATGAGCGCCGCGGAGATGACGGACAAGCTGGGTCTGCACGGCCTGCGCCACCGCCAGTGGTTCATCCAGGCGTGTTGCGCGACGACGGGCGACGGCCTGTACGAGGGTCTGGACTGGCTGTCGGCCACGCTCCAGAAGGCGAAGTAAATCAGCACGCGCTCGACGTACCCAGTGCATCGGCCGGTAGTGGGAGAGATATAGACGACTATATATCATGGGTAGAAGGCGCTGCTATAATTTTGCATTTTTCTCCTTCACGTGCCCGCATGCATCTCGTGTCGCTCCCCAAGCCAGCCAGAATGCAGTCCGCGTTTGCGTGCCATCATACACGTCTCCGTTTACCCTCATTTCTTCAGCTGTGTTGCTTCCATTGCCACCATGCAGATCTCGCGTCCAGGTTGCTGCCACGTGTGTGAAGGGCAACGAGGATCGCGTTGACGTTTCGTTCCGACGCCTTGCGTTGCCAGGCCTCCACGTCGAGCTGTCAACGCAGTGGGCTGTCCATTGCCAGCTTGGCTACTTTTTGCGTGAGACTAGACTGCAACAAATTTCCGCCTTGTGTTGCTTGAAGTGCAAGAGAGACTACGATTCAGGCCTTACCACAGCCGCCGTCGTCCAGGGAAGGGGTACAGCCCGCCACTGGAAGCCTGCCAGCTCACCGAGCCCTGAATTAGCAGGCGGCCAATGCCGCCGACCCAGGTCAGCATGACATCCTCCACGCGGCAGCGCAGCCATCTGGTTCGGGCCGGGTTCTGGGAGGCTGGCGGGTTGGATCGATATGTCGCGGGTTTCACTCGGGAAGACGATACCTCCGTGAACTGATACGTGATAGCCAACGCTGGGTAGCTATGGCGCAACTTCCGTAGCTATTGGAAACCATTTCGTACAACCTAGTGGAGTAGACGCTGTTGATTCGGGTGTGGGGCAGTCATCCATTTCAAAAAGAACTGCAATAGGGATTGATCAGTAGACTTATAGCTCCGCGCTGTTTTTCTTTGTAATTAATTGGCCTTTGCAGGCGCGCGCATCTGCAATACAAGACACGCACAACATATGAAGTTTACTATGAAGAAGAGATTGAGAGCCTGAAGACTCGCTGTTAGGGTGAGGAAGCCGAGATAGATTGTCGACTGACCGATCGAGCAACTAACGAAGATGGAGAATACGGTGAAGGCACTTACAAAATTCCCTGATAAATGCTTGAACACACAGGGTAAGTTAAGGCGCGCGACGGATACCCGTTTTACCACCAACCTCTGTGTACCTTTTGTCATTGACTAAACGTCAACGCGGGTGACACTATGGAGATGAAGATATATGGAGTCGATGGAGAGCATCTGTAGATCGGCATAAAGAACGATTGGAGGCTGCACAATTTACTTTACTTGAAGTGTTCATAACGATTACACTTTTATTTCTGATACTCGCCTGAACATACGAAACCGGAGGTTTTCGGACGGGTGGGTCTGGATAGCGCAAAGAAAAGGGGGGCGTTTCTTCGCCAGGCCTCCCCAAGCTCACTTTCAGAATTCCCGACGCTTTATCAAGGGCGGTAGACGGTCGTAGCGAAGCAAGGGCGAGCGAAGGCAGCACCACCACCAAGCAGCAACCATGGGTATGGCCTTCTCGCGCGTGTTTGAACGCCTCTTCGGCAAGAAGGAGATGCGTATCCTCATGGTCGGTCTCGATGCCGCCGGTAAAACCACCATCCTGTACAAGCTCAAGCTGGGCGAGGTGGTCACGACCATCCCCACCATCGGTACGTGCGCAGATCTGCGTCGCTTCTAAGGGACTCAAGGACGGGATCTCGAGACGTCGGCGCTGTCTCCTTCCTCTGTCTGTATGCTCCACGCCTGTGCAGGACGAGCTCTTAGACGGAGGAGGGGGCGTCGCCAACTCGGGATCTCTTCCGATGTCTTGGATATCTACAGATAGACTCAGTACTGACGTTGCTGTTGTTGTGTATTTCAGGCTTCAACGTGGAGACGGTGGAGTACAAGAACATTAGCTTCACGGTGTGGGACGTGGGTGGTCAGGACAAGATCCGCCCGCTGTGGCGCCACTACTACCAGAACACACAGGGCCTGATCTTCGTGGTGGACTCGAACGATCGCGACCGTGTGGACGCGGCCCGCGACGAGCTGCACCGCATGCTGAACGAGGACGAGCTGCGGGACTCTGTGCTGCTGGTGTTCGCCAACAAGCAGGATCTGCCGAACGCGATGAGCGCCGCGGAGATGACGGACAAGCTGGGTCTGCACGGCCTGCGCCACCGCCAGTGGTTCATCCAGGCGTGTTGCGCGACGACGGGCGACGGCCTGTACGAGGGTCTGGACTGGCTGTCGGCCACGCTGCAGAAGCAGAAGTAGGCTGCTGCAATGCGCCGCTCCTAAGGGCGTTCTGGCTGCACTCCCTACTCGTGGGGCCGTGCGGCGAGTCGCTCCGTGGAACTAACAGGCTGAAGCTATGGAGAGTTAGGAGAGGAAGAGAGGCCAAGTGACGCCGCCAGTGTAATAGTGCATCGATTTGGTTTGCAAAAGCTTGTCTTGTTCTCTTGGTTTTGGTTTCTTGGAAGGTGGTGGAAGATCTCAATGCAGGAAGTACAAAAATCAGTTTGAAAAAGAATACACGCGCGCTAGATAACACGTGCCTTACACAGCCACTACTGATGACACCTTGCTACTCTTCTGCAGCTCGAGATGGAAAATAGATATCCAGCTCACGACTCGCCGAGCATGAGGTTCACGCGCTTCATGATGTAGTCCTTGGCAGGGTCATAGGGCGAATCCTTGCTCGGGATCTCCAGCACCGTGGGGATGGTCTTCTCGTACGTGTTGAGCAGATGGCGGATCTCCTCGGCAACCTGCACAGCCACAAAGAAGTAAAGTTGGTAAGGCTCTATCCATAAGATCAAGGAGTTTACGAACACCTCTTACGTGCTGGTTAATGAGGATGATGGCAATGTCGTCGCGATTCGAGAGCGATCGGAAGCTGGCTTCAATAGCGGAGATCGGCGTGCCTGTAAGCATAGACCCAACACCACATCACGCGTGTTAGTGACGTTCCTAGCTTGAGGAATCCTTTCAAGAACACTGTGGACGCACTGGACTTGACGACGAGGAAGTTGGTTCCCTCGGCCGTTCGGTGGCCGATGCCCGCGAGGATGAAGCCCGTGACGGTGTCCTCGTCTCCGATGACGGCGATGAGTTTGGTGCCGTCGCTCATTCTGCGCTGTAGCTCGAAGACAACGAGGAAGCGAAGGCGGTGCAGCAAAAGCGAGCAGCTCACTCACTTCAAAAGGAAATGATCGGAAGATTTTGGTCCTCGCCTTTATGTTTTTCTAGTCCGACCCAAATTTTGTATCGACACAAAACGGCCAAAAAGGCTTTTCGGCCGCGTCGCGTCGGTATGTTCCCCACGCCCGGAACTACTTCGTCCTCCGCACAACGCCATCTCCAGGGGCTCGTCACGCGCCGCGCGGCCTCGGCGGAGCCCAAGAATGCCGCGCAGTACTTCGGCCACGTAGCCGACGTCGTCCGCGCCAACGCGGAGATCACCAAGTCACGGTACGTGCCCCTCTCTCGGCGCGCTCGGCAGCCACCAGTTCGTGGTCGCAGTCCTCGCCCTTGCGCCTCTAACGTGGCTCTCCTGCAGCACGTACAACCTCAAGCGTAGGGCCAAGGTCGCGTACAAGGGCTACGAGGCCGTGCTCAGCCGCAAGAAGCGCGCGGCGGTCGGCAGCAGCGTGAAACCGTCGGCTGCCAATACGCTGTACGTACAGCGGCCTGCCGCGGTCCCCACGCCGGCCACAGCCACGTTCAACCCGGCGGCGGTGCTCCAGCTGCAGGCGATGCTGCCTAGAGCGCAGCCTGTCGCGGTGAAGCCGGCGCTGAAGCTTGCAGCAGCGGCGCCGGTGTCGTCGGTCATTCCGTCGACGACGCTGGCGACTCCTACGGTGACCTCAGTGGCAGCGACGACGCCCGGACGGATGACTCCAGCGCAGATTCAGCTGCATCAGCAGCAGATGAAGAACGCACAACTGCAGCAGCAGCAAGCAGCTCCAAGGAGAGCGGACTTTGTGGTCGGCACGACGGTGCTCATCCGGGTAAGTTGTGATATTTTGTTTTGAGTTTTTGATAGTGGATTCTAATATGTGTTGGTCGTTGCCTGCCTGCAGAATACTGCCGACCTGGTCGCGTGCGGAGCTCGGAATCTCGCTGGGAAAACGGGACGCATCGTAGCCGCCCCGCAAATCTACGGACAGGAACTCTTCTCTGTCTACATCGACGAGCATGAGGCGCTTTTCCAGGTGCCGTTCAACGCGCTGACACTCGTTGCCCGTCCTACTTCGGTGCAGCAGCCGCAAACGGCTCAGCAAATGCAGGCGCAGCTTGCAGCAGCAGGGGGTCGGCTTCTCCCCAACCAAATGCCTCAGAACGGAAATGCCCGAGGATCCAAATCAGCAGAGCAGATCAAGATGGAGCACTCGTTCCAGCTCCACCGCCTCATGCAGCAGCAGTATCGTGAGATCCAGACATTGCAGCAGCGCTACGCGGAATGTCGACTCATTGACCCCACCGCACTGTCTGGTATTCAGAAGGAGCTGTCGAAGCTGCGGCTCGTACACCTCTCGCAGGTGCAAACCCTCAAGAGCAAGCAGGCACTAGACATGATCGGCAAGTAGGTAGCTAGGACGAATGAATCCGACGATGTGTGATTGTTTAGCGCTTTAGTTTTATTGTGTTCTTGCAGTGTGGGTACTGCAAAAACCGCCCCTCATTGCATCATGTGTAGCAGTACCTCTCAAATGCAAGTAGTACTCTTTGTCCGCCACTACTCCCATCACTACTGCTGGTAGTAGCTTGCGTACTGCGCTTGCGAGTAAGTCTGCTGGACGGCTGCGGCCGCAGGGTCAGCCTGGGAGTAGGCTTGAGCTTGAGTGGCATATCCCTAAAACCAAAGGAACAGAGGAACAACACACTGGTCAGTACAGATGATCGTCATCACCCCCCTGAAAGAAAGCCTGGTCTACAGCAATAGGATAAACAAAAACGAATGCAAGGTAGCTCCTGTCAAGCGACGTCCCTCTGCTACCTGCATCGCATCGCAGCACGTGCGCAGCTACTACCAGCAGATTTCCCGGTCGAAAGAAGGAAATGGGGTCAGTCGCTTTCCCACAAGCAAGCTGACGCCCAAGCAAGCTCACCGCGGAGCTCGCTTTGTAGAGTCGCCGGTTCATATCAATAAACGCACGCAATAGCGGGGGGAAAAGCAAAAGCAAGAATTTACCTGGTAGCCTTGGTAGTAGGCCGCAGCCGCCGATGTCGCCGTCACCGCTGCTGCTTCTGTCGTTGCTGCTGCTGCAGTTGGAAGCACTGCCGAAGTCTGCGGAGCTGTGTAGCGCGCACGCTTCATCCCTGGTTCAACGCTGGAGTTGTACCCGCCAATATCACCCTCCGATCCCGACTGGAAGGTCAACACCTTAATCGTTCGGTTACGTGACTGAGCATTCTTAAGCTTCCATGACATCTCCCTTTTGCGCACGTCACGCACTTTCGCGACGCTGCTAGCGTAATTCTCCATGAACTCCACATACTGGAACCACAAGTCATTCTTTTCATCCATCGTGAGATTGCAAGAATCTTCAAGCGCGAGATCGTAGGCGCGGGCAACCCGAGGGACGAGCTCTGCATTGTCCCCACCCACGTTGATCTCGAAATGGATGAAGTTTAGCCAGAGCAGCACGGACTCACTGTGCTTCTGAACGGCTCGTTCAAACACCGAGCGAGCTAGCGCTGCGTCACCAACGTTCTTGTGAAGGAACGTGGCATAAGCGGTTGACACATACGCGTAGACATCCGACTCGTTCTCGACGGCTTCCATTCCCCTCTCATACCATGTCTTGGCCGTCTCGACATCCCCGCGTCTTCGTTCGAAGTTGCAGTAGTGCAGGAAAGCTTCTGCAAGCTTCGGTGCCACGTCAGAGAGCACTTGCATGTACACACCCTGGGCCTTCTGCAGCTTTTCATGGGCCTCCAAGAAAGATGCATACTCCAAGTAGATCGATGCACGGTACTTGAGGAAGATCGTCACCGCGCGCTGGAAAACAGCGTCCGCAGCATCAAGACCGTGCACAGTTTCCACCCAAGCAACGTAACGCAGCCAAATCTCCTCGTAATTTGCACAGGAAATCAGGCAACGCTCGTAGAGAGTCTGGCAGCGCACGTTGTTACCCGCGGCTTCTTCAAAATCCAAGTAGCTGTGCCAGTTTTTCATCGCGGCTTCGGTAACTGGGGTCACATGGAAGTAGCTACGGTCGATTCCAGCTTCAAACGCCTGGCGCCGGTAGATATCCTCCATCGCTTTGTTTTTCACAGCTTCCACTGCGTTCACGATCTTGACGCGGAGCAGCCCCTCGTCCATGAGTTCCTCTCCATCACCGGCAAGAGCTTTCTGCTCTTCGGGTGTTGCAAGAGCACTCAGTTGCTGAGCGAGCACAAACTGGTTGTATTTCTCCCAAAACTCCTCAAGGTTGCGGAGCGGTTGGTGCATGATGCGCTTAAACACTTGGTTCAGGCGCGGCATGTCGTTCTACACGGCAAAATCAACAGACAAGAGGTCAAACTTACCGCCAGCAACACAATAAACTAAGTAAAACACGTCCCGACTTACGTTGACGGTCTCGACCTGAATGTACAGCTCCCACAGTGGACCAGCCAAGGGGTCAGCTCCACAGGCCGCCACAGCTCTCTCCAATACTCTACAGCAATCCAAAAGCACCAGCAACCCACGACACACATTGAGTTAGACCCACTACCGAAAATTAATCCACCCACTGACAACAACAGGAGACTTACGGTCGAGTCTCGTCAATGGGGCTGTGCAGCGTGTGGATGAGGAACTCGCAGTACTTCATCCACATGTCAACGCTGTATTTAACAGCCACAACGCCGCGTTCATACACCCCACGCGCCTTCGTCTTAGCCTCTTCAGGCGTCGCTACAGTCCCCGAGCCGTCCTCAGTGAGCTTGTTCGCAAGCCCAAACTCGTACTGCGCATACTACTCCAGCAAAATTACCGTACAATCCGTAAGTATACCAGTACTTGTATCATTGCTCAGTGTGGCCACCTCCAGCGCCACACCTTGTTCCAGTAGCCGAAGCACAGCGGAAACTCCGCCAGGAAGCGGTCGTACGTGGCCTCCACCGTCTCGCGGGGCGTCGTAGCCTGCCAATAATACGCAGTAAATTGTGCGTTAATAAGAGTAGTTGATATCATAGTATATACTTGAAAGGTACGGGAAGCAATAGCGCGCACCTCGCTCTGCACGAGCGCCAGCAGGCTGACCCACGAGTTGAAGTCCAGCGGGTTCTTGTCCACCGCCTCCGTGAGTCGCTCCAGCGGTGTCTTGGCTGTCGGCACGGTGGCGTTGGATGCTGCATCGGCGCTGGAGCCGTTGGCGGCGTCGGCGGGAGTCGGGAGCGCGGCGGGGGTCTCCATGGTGAGCTCGTGGAATTGGAATGACGCGATTGGTGGGGGGTCACTAGGCTAAAGTATCCGCGTTTTGGACCCCATGACATCCGTCCCCAGCAAACCCAGAGAAGGCTCTAGAGTTGTAGATCGATAGACGGGGCGTCATGATTTGATGTGTTACCACACCACATACGGCAAACATTGAGATACAAAGCAACATCTTCAAGTTGTCCTCAATACCAGGACTCTGCCTGCTTTATAGTAGATGAGTCCAGCCCTTGCGGAAGCCCAACTTCTTGCGTTCTCTAATCTCTAGCTGCTCGCGTTGATGGCGCTGCAGGTCGCGTACTAACTCTTGCCGCCGTACTTCCACTCTCCGTCGCAGCGTCGTCGAGTACCGTTTAATCTCAGCGCGCAATGCGTCTTCGTTCACCTCTGCTACTGCCTGAAGCGCCGACCCACCGGCTTTATGTAGCGCCTGCACCTCAGGAATAAGGTACTCGCTGGTATTGAGCTCCAGCGGCGGCATCCCCTGGGTTGGGAACCTCTGGCATCTCCACGTTAGCACCAAGTCCGCAGCCTTCGCGTCCAACTTCTTGCGTTCCTTATCTCGGTATTGCTTGCACGCTTCTAGACGCTCTATTGTGCACGGGTCGACAGAACGTGCGGCCAAGAACTCCGTGCCGTGGCTCGCCAACGCGAGTGTGTCCTCCATCACATGATTGCTGCGATAGAGCACATACAAGGGACGTGTCAGCGCCACAAAACCAAATTACAGCACCTTAAACCTCTACTAACCGCACCTCGTATGCGGCGAATCAGCCGTAGCAAGCACCTCAGCCAGCAAGTGCACCACACCGAGCTTCAGTTGCCCGGGTAGTGCCCTATACTCGTCTGAATTGAGCCACGGAGCGAGTGCATCCCGGTTCTCCGCCAATTTCTGCCTCGCCTCGTCATTATTGCCTGCACTGACTGCACTCCCCGTCCTGGAGCCCAGCGGCAAGGTGTCGACATCCTGCAAGCGCCGTGCCATTGCTCACTTCCAGCATTGCGCCGGTTCAAGATAGCGTTTCTAGAAGTTTAGCTCTCGAATTTCGTCCAATGCCAGAGCGCGTATTCTCCACTTCCAGCCAATCACAGAGCGGCTTCCTACCACTGGTACGTGTTGCCGTTCAGTATCGAATCGACTGGCAAGGAGCATGAGGTACCTCCGCGCCAAGGGCATCCGCAAGGCGCTGCGCCAGTTCCACTTCCTGTGCGGCATCAAGCCGCCCTACAAGGTGCTGCTGGATGGCAACTTCATCGCCATGTGCGTGCAGATGAAGGTGGACGTGCAGGAGCGCGTGCCCAAGTTCCTGCAGGTCAAGGCGCACGAGGTCGAGTTCTACGTGCCGCGCGCGGCGCTGGAGGAGCTCAAGATGCTGGGCGAGGCCACCAAGGAGGCCTACGAGCTGGCGCAGAACTTCAAGGTGGCGGAGGTCTACGACCAGCCAAAGACGGACGGCGACGCGCCCGTGGACGTGTCCAAGGTCGTGCAGAGCATCATCGGAGACAAGAACGACCGCAAGTTCGTCGTGTGCACGCAGGAGGTGGAGCTGCGCAAGGCCCTGCGCCTGGTGCCTGGAGTGCCGCTCATCTACCTGAACCGCTCGGTGCTCGTGTTCGAGGACATCTCGCGCGCGACGCTGGCCATCGTGCGGCAGGACGAGAAGGCCAACATGGCCAAGCTGGACGTCAACGAGAAGCGCAAACTGGAGCAGATGCAGGGAGGCGAGGAAGGCGAGGACCACGAAGAGAAGCAGCGACTCACGAAGAAGCGTGCTAAGGGGCCCAACCCGCTGTCCATGAAGAAGTCGACCAAGAAGAAGGTTCGCGCCAAGAAGAAAGAGAACTGAGCCTCACGCCTTCGCTCGCCTTGGGGTGTACTTACTGCAATCTATATTATGGTATTACCTCTTTACAGTTGATTGCTTTTGTGTTGTGTTGTGGTTGTTTGCTAGAAGTCTTTGTCCCATTCGTAGCCTTCCATCGTGTACGCAGGAGCTTCTTCGTCGTGGTCGTTGATGGCTTCGAACTTGGAGGCGTCCAGCGGGTCTGCGAGCTTTGGTCGATACGGTGCATTGACCTTCTTCTGCAGCATGGCGTCCCAATCCAGCTTCGCGAACCAGGCGTGTGATCGGATGGCCCGCGTGCCACCGTGGGTCAGACCCAACCTCTTGGTGAGGTCGCGCTCCAGAAGTTTCGAGATGATGTCGCGGCAGGGCGAGTTCACCCACCCTGGGAACTCGACTTTCTCCTTGACGATGTTCCGGCAGATCTGCATCTGGTCGATCTGGTTCGATCCTGCGAAGGGCGAGTGGCCGACGACCATCTCGTAGATCAAGATGCCCAGCGCCCAGTAGTCGACACCGCGGTTGTGGCCTTTACCGAGCACGAGCTCTGGTGCTAGGTACTCGGTGGTGCCACACAGCGTGTAGGTCCGATCGTCCACCACCTTGGCGAACCCGAAGTCCACGACCTTGAGGTATCCCTGCGGGTCGATGAGCAGGTTCTCGGGTTTCAGATCTCGGTACACAATGCAGCGCTCATGAAGATACTCGAGCGCCATGAGCACGTGACTCGCGTAGAATCGTGCATGGTCGTTCGGTAGTCGGCCTGGTGACGATGGCGTGGAGTGCAAGTACGTGAACAGCTCGCCACCCTGCACGAACTCGATGAGCAGGTACAGTCTCGCTGCGTCCTTGTACGTGGTGAAGAGTTTGAGCAGGAACGGGTTGTTGCACTGGGCCATGACTGACTTTTCGTTGACCACATTCCGTTGCTGCTTGTATGCCACCACAGACGCCTTGTTGAGCACCTTGAGCGCATATGCGGCGCCTGTAGGTATGTGCCGCACTAGCTTCACACGACCGAAAGTACCCGAGCCCAGCGTGCGCATGACCTCCAGTTCGTCTAACTTGATCTGCTTCTGCTCCTGCATCTTCAAGGCGCTCTTACGCTCCTCGGCCTCGCGGTTCAGGATCTCTTGAATTGGACCCAGTAGCTCCACAAACTTGCCTTGGTCGAGCGATAGGCACTCCAAGCTTCCGTTTGCGACCACGTCAGCCTGTCGAGGCTCACCGTGAAGCAAACTCATCTCGCCGAAGTAGTTGCCGGTGCTGAGCGTGGCCACCTGCCTCTTTTCCGAGGTCGAGGCCCCATTTTCATCCGTGCTGATGATGGATTTCGCGACGACAGCCGAACCGCTCTTGATGATGTAAAATATGGTGCCGTGGTCGCCCTCCTTGATCACGAACTCGCCGTCAGCGAAGGAAACCGGTTCCAGCGCCAAAAAGAGCTTTTCTTTCTCGTTGGGCGAGAGGACCTTTAACATCGGGATGGACTGGAGCACGCGCATGCTCATGTTGTGGTCGATCACTTCGCGGAGACTGCCCAGTTGGTCGTCAAACGCTTGCCGGTCCAGCGCAATGAGAGTCACGTCCGTTTCCGCTGTCACATTAGCCGCTCGGGGCTCGTGGGTCATGAGCGCACGCTCACCGAAGTAGTCGTTCTCAGTGAGGCGTACCGACTCCATGCGGTGGCCATCGCCGACATCGGTGCAGACGACAGCACCGCTCTTGATGATGTACAGGACGTTGCCCCGTTCGCCCTTTTTGATGATCCGATCGCCCTTCGCGAACTTGACGAACTGCGCTGCTTCGGCGAGCTGGCTGAGTTGCGTCTCGGTCAAGGCGTGGAGCAGTGATACCTTGCGCAGAGCGTTCTTGCACTCGCCGATCTGCTCTGACTGGATGCGAGCTACCAACCGCCGGAACGTCACGCGGTCGAGAGCCCAAAGGCGACCAGACTGCGAGCAGGTCACGGTAGCAGTACGCGGGCAATTGTAGACCAGCGCCAACTCGCCGAATGTGGCACCTCGTTGAACCGTGTTGACGACGTTTCCGTGCACTGAAATGGAGAACAAGCCCGTCTCGACAACGTAGAAGAAGTCGCCCGGGTCGCCCTCAGTGATGACGACTTCGCCTGCCACCGCAGATTTCTCCGCCATGAAGTCGACGATCGAGTCGATGTCGCTGTGGCCGATCGTGTAAAAGAGGAAGTTGTTGAGAAGCGCTTGTCGAATGATTCCAGTGGACTCGGCCGATTTCACGATACTCTTGAGCTCCAGCGGGGTGTCGAATTGAACGCTTTCGCCGAAGATATCGCCACGTCGTTGAGCGGCTTTGCGCTTTTCGCGCAGGAGAATACTCATCTTCCGCTCTGGAAGCACATACACAATCAACTGGTGAGCTATCGCGATCGAATGCGTAGCCCGTGATATACCGACTTACCGACGGCGTCATCGCTCATGATGACAGGGTCGAACGTCTGCCCCACTTGGTTCGGCACCGAATTCACGCAGCCCATGGTGGATGCAGATACCCCGGAGCTGCCGCTTCCTCGGGACTAAGTAGTCCTTGTCGTCACTTTCCCTCGGGTTTTCAACAATGGATTGTCGGAGTCGCATGTTCGGCGCTAAATTGTCTAACGGAGGAGACATCCTCGAATTCTTAGGCAAAGGGGTTCGATCTGCTAAGATGAGAGGGAACGGGTGTCTTCGGCTTCTGCTCGTTCCGTTGGCACATGCCTATTTGGAGCTACAACAATCGAGAGCTGTTTGTCGCCGGAACTTCCGGGCGTTTTGAAACTACGAGCCTCAAGATAATCTTGAGCGCTAGTCACCTCATTGCCCATGAACGCGTCTGATCTTCGCCCTGCTCCACCGAGCAAGCTGGATATGGAGGACGCCGAGCCAAAGGCGTCTCGGATGCGACTGGCGAGTTTTCCCGTTCTTGAAGACGACACCGACAGCTTCATCTACGAAGATGACGGAGAATCTAATGAAGGAGATGGAAACTCAGAGCTGTGTATGTACATCCAACGCCTTGAGAGGGAGAAGCAAGAGCTCGAGAACGAAGTACAACTGCTACGAGATCGCAATGCCAGTCAGCAGATCAAGTTCCAAGCTACCGAGCGCCGTGTCGAGATGCTCGAGGCCTCTCTGAAAGACGCCTTGAACGCCAGCGACGCGTTCCGACAGGAAAAAGATGTGGTACTAGCACTTCAAGCTAGTGAACGCGAGCGGATGGCTTCACTTGTGGCACTGTTGGAGGAAGCTCAAAATCGTTACGAAGACGCAGAGCGTGCTCGTCAAAGCGCTATATTCAAGCTCAGCTCGCTTCAGGCATCTCGAGCTGATGCTACCAGCCAGAGTTTGCTACCACCGGTGACCAAGAGCACCCCGACTCCGCGAGGCAGCCTAAGCTTAGCTTCAGACACCTTCGCGGATGGATCGCTAGATTTTGGCGAGCGCATCGAAAAGTACAAGCGAGATATTGAGCTGCTTCGTCAAAAGCTTGGGTTGACGGAGGAACAAGCGGCGGAGAGGCAGAAGATGGCGGTGTCGTTAGCGCTGCATGAGGCGCAGCTCGACTACTCGAACGTGGTTGAGCACATGAAGCTGGAGTGTGAGCGCCGCTTGAATGAGTGGCGACACGATGAAGCTGTTCGAGCGAAGGAGAAGGAGAGTGCCATGGATGAGGATCGCTACAGTATTCGACTGGAGATGAAGCACGCACTGCAGCGCTCTCAGATCGACCAACGGGTTGCTTACCTTCAGGCGCAGGCCGAGTTTACACCGGGAACGCTCAGCCAACGCTCTCCGGCTGAGAGCGATTTTTCAATCGGAACGCTCGACGAGGTGCTTGTGCGTATGCAGCTGGAACAGGTTCGTACTCGCCGGTTTGAAGCGCTCAAGAAGACGCTTCTCATCCGCCACGCCAAGCTGAACCAAGCAGCGAAAGAGCTCTTCTGCCGCTGGAAAATACAAACGTCCAACACGAGGATGTTGCGGCTGAATGCTATTCTGCATATGCACCGTATCGTGTTGCACCTTGAATCTCGCAAGAAGCTCAGATGCTTCAACAAGTGGAGGACGCAAGTGCAACAACTGCAGGTTCACACTTTCCAAGCCCAGGCGCTTTCGTGCTGGAACCGCATGATCGCAGTCGAGCGGATCAGTCATGTTATCGATCAAACCACTGTGAGTGGTGTGTTGATCTTGTTGAGTAGTGTTGATGCATTTCACTAACCTTGCTGTGATCCCGTACACAGGTGAAGAGGACAGCTTCATACTTCCACCGCTGGCGTCAGCAGACATGCACGTCGACCCAAGAAGGCGAAGGGCGATCCGAGAGCGACTCCAATAACGCGGAGTTTGGCGAAGAAGCCATGCAGTCCCTGCAGTTAGAAATCAAGAAGCTCCACGACCAACTAGCCTCGTCAAAATCCGAGGCATGGCGATACAAGAGGCAATTGCTGAAGCAGTTCCTTTAGACAACAAATGATGCCATCAGGCGATAGCTAGCTTTATGTAGGTAGGTAGGTCTTGAACTCACAGTCAAAGCATAATGGTTCCAACTTGCCACCTCCTGAACGTCCGAACCATCGCAATCATCCTCCGTATCCTGGGTACCCAGGAGCCACTCCCTGGGGAGGACCTTGAGGAGGGTATCCTTGCTGTTGCGGAGGATAGCCTGCTTGCGTCTGGAAGGTTTGTGGCGGCCCCTGCTGGTAACCTTGGGGAGGGTATCCTTGCTGTTGCGGAGGATAGCCTGCTTGTGGCTGGAAGGTTTGCGGCGGTCCCTGCTGGTAACCTTGAGGGTAGCCTTGCTGCGGTGGATACTGCTGTTGGCCTTGCGGAGGTGGAGCACCGTATCCTTGACTGTGCTGGCCCGGCGAAGGTTGCTGGGGTTGACCTTGAGCGGGATACTGCTGGTACCCTTGCGGAGGTGGCGCGCCATATCCCGGAGCGTATTGGCCCGGAGGCGGCTGCTGCACTTGAGCAGGATGTTGCAGCTGTGCTGGCGGAGACACCGCGGCAGGGGGAGCAGGCGACGCTGAAGGCGGTGCACTTGGCTCAGACCCCGTAGGCTCCGTGAACAGGTGATACGTGGGCGGCAAGGCTGGGTTGGGCGTAATGCCCCTCACTTTCATGTACTGGCACAGTTGACGCGGAATCTCAGCAAGCGTTTCGCGAGTCAGAGCGTCCGGATAGCCCGCGAACCGATTGTAAGGTACAAATTGGACACTATCGTGCATATATCAAGGGCTTGAGTCAGAAACGATAGGCAGGAGCACAATATATCTTGTCAGAAAAAAAGGAAAGCAAATACTTACATGTCACGTGACGAAACCCGTCCATTGCTAGCTCGGAGCTTTCCTCCGTCCCCATCGAGAGCGACCATGGATGAGAAGTCTGCGGGCCCAACGCCAATAATCACAATCTGCGAGAAAGATATCACCCGCTGTTAGCAAAGCATCTCGGTAGGATACACTTGCTGGTGCTCACCGAAAGTGGAGATGTCTGGGATGCCTCAACGATCGCGTCAATCGTCCCCTGCATATCCATGATCGCGCCATCTGCATACACAGTGTTGAATGTTGCACTTAGTCTACTCGTCGGCACACTCAAAGGAACGGGGTTGCAGCAGCTTATACCGGTGATAATGAGCAGTACAAAGTACTTTTGCTTGCGAGGGTCATTCAGTTGAAACGCAATTCGGCTCGCCTGATTAATAAGCCTGCCAGTGTTGCCGCACACAGCACACAGAATTAGCGATGTTTTCCCCATCTCAACACAACAAATAATGCCTTACGGGGCAAAGAACGTTGGACCATGCAGCCGAATATGGCCAAGAGACGCCGTATAGAGCTGAACAATCAATCGTAAAACGTGTTTGCTTCGTGAGTAAAACTGACTGCACCGCAAGCTAACATCACAAATTTTACCTGCAGCACACCCTGAGAGCCCGCAACTTCGGGGCTCGACGGATTCAGATTGAGCGGAAAACAGTGGTCCACGTCCAACGCTCCAGGAGGAATGCCTCCGAACCCGTACACTGGGAACTGCTTATCTGCGTCGTATTCTTGCAAAATAGAGACCGTCGACGAGATCGCGTGCTGGTACTGATTTGGACCCCGAGGATCGATAAAGTGCAGACTGTTCATGAGTAAAGCACAGATTAGTCAAATTAGACGACCAGCTCCACTGTCAGACTCATTATGCAGTTGTATCGTACCTGCGCGGATCGTTGGGCGGGCCGTTCGATGCCGTGTAGTCGATACCGATAATCAGGTTCATCTCCAGACCACCGCTAACTGAATACACAAACGTCCACAATCAACCATTCGAACCTACCACCGCCCCCAATTCCCGAGACCAAGCATAACGACATATATGCACGTACGAAAATCGATGAAGCTGTGCTCTCGGTAGAGCTCCACCTCCGCGACCACAAGCAGCCCGGCGTTCGTGTACTTCTTGCCCTTCTTCTTTTGCAGAGCCTCATTGTGCAGGGTGTAGTTGGTGCCTCGCTTTGCCATAATCTCCTCCAGCGTGGTTTGCACTTGTCCGATAAGCTCGAATTTGCCACCTCGATCTTCATCGAACACCTCCAGTCTCAGTGGGCGCCGGTGGTCTCCATTGCACAGCTGCTGCAGTGGCAGATCGAAGCGTCTCCAACTAGGATTCAGGTTGTTGTCGATGGTCTCCGTTCGGTGGACCTGCGTCCACGAGCTTCCGTCCTCCCTCAGGCGGCTGATGGTAAGGAACGGGTCACTCTTGCTGAACATGCCATCCATGTTGGCCAACGCTGTGGCGGAGAAGCGGAGACGTGCGGTTTCACTGGAGGCCTTGACCTCCTCGGCCCTCACGAGCAGCGAGCCCTGGTGCTTGGACTTGTTCTTGCCCCGGGTGAGCAGGAAGGACCCACTTTGTCCCGGAGCTCCCATGAGCTGCCCCAGAGTGAACTCGGCACCTCCGATGAAGTCCTGCTCCTTGAGCTTGTCGGGGGACGAGCTGTCCTGGTCGTACACCTCCACCTTGAGCTGCTGCACGGACTCGAAGTGGAACTCCACGACGAAGAGCTTGGCCCATTTCGGGTTCAGGTCGTCCTTCTTGGCCTCCGTCTTGCCCACTTGGGACCACCCAGCGCCGCCTAAAACAGAGGGAGACAGAAGGTTAAAAGCTACGGTAAGAGTGGATGGTGTCACTGACGCGGCTTACTTTTCACGTAGAGCACGGCGAACGGGTCGGATTTGGAGATGACGTCGCGGTCTTTGAGGTCCTTGGCGCTTAGCGACAGCTCGATGGACGACGTGGGCGGGCGAACGGCCCCGGGGGGAGGCGTGCCAGCGGCGTACATGGCTGAGCAAGATGGGATCTTGAAAAGTGACTAAAATCTGATCGAGATGGATTTTTCTGGTTGTGCAACAATGGGTACATTTGTGTACGGTTTAAGTGTACTTGAAGTTAGCAACTCTTGAGGAGCATTGCCGCACGGCACTTTGCAGTGCAAGGGCTATCGCCTCGCTGAGCTAGGCACAAAGGGTAACTCAGCCTGCGACTTGCTGGTATAATCTGCATGACGAAGGGATCGCAGTACCTGGCTAATGCACCAACAGAAGGGCTTCTTGGTCTTCCTAAGCTTATCCTTTTGCTGCTGCGGCGGCGCCAGCGGGTTCAGGCGCGGGAAGACGTAGCGGTCGCCTGGCAAGCTAGCGCCACTGCCAGCGGTACTGTCGGGGCCGTGATTCGGATGGTGTCGCTGCTGCTCGGGCTGGTGGAGACCACTACGGCGGGGGCCGACCCGGGCAGCGACCGGGCCACCGGCGGCGGCGGCAGCGGCGGCTGGGGCAGGTGGCGCGCCTGCTGCAGCGTGCGCTGGCGCACGAGTCGGTGCAGCGCGGTCTGCTGCAGCCCGAAGGCCTGCGCGGCTTGGCGCAGGGAGAGTCGGCGCTCGACGACGGCGTGGATGGCCTGCGCCCAGACGCGGTCGCTGGCGGGGCTGTCGGGGCTCCAGTCGCGGCGCATGCCCGGGGTGCTCATGGCGGGGGCTCCTTCTTCTCGCTCGGAGGCCAGGTCGCAGCGGAGAGCAGCGGAGGGCGAAACACCTTCGGGGCTCAGCGGCAAATTGAAGACTGGATCGGGGTCGAGGACGCCGCGGCACTTGTCCTTTGTATGGAACAGGCCGCCGAATACAGCCGAACGATACGCTGTAACGAGAAGGAGCGACAGGGCGGAGAGTAACATGTACGGTAGGATGCAACAGCAGCGGCGCGGCTTATGACGGAGCAGAGGCTGGGGTCATACGCAAGCCAGCGTATGCCGTTCCGAAGGCTATGCCTGTTCGGTGGGGGATTTTAACTCAGTGGGCGCCCCTAGCCCTCGAGCACGAGCTCTTTGCTAGAAAGGGAGGCGACGTTTCAGCGGGCTTCCCGCACAGAGGACGCGCTTGAATCGATTTGGTACGTGTCCTTGCCAAGGCAATGGCGCGGCGGCCCCCGACCAACGTTGGGATCGAAGTCCAACGAGTCGCCGGCCAATATCGCGGGCCCCATCAAGGCCCTGAACGAGCCGCGCGAGTCGGTCGGTCTGAAAAAGGTTCTTCACTGCTTGCGTAGGATTCGGGACGCAGCAAGCCGGCGCGTCCATATCTTTTCCATCTATTCTGCGTCACATGCGGCTCTAGCGCCACGAGGGCCTTCTACGCTTTTGCGTTATGAGCTGCGGTTGCTCGAGCAGTATGCGTAGGCCAGCCACCAGCCCGAGTCCAGGGGCAGGCCCAAATTGAGAGAAGCCGTGCTTCAAATTGAGAACCGCCAGAAGCAAATTGAGAAAACCTCCAATCCCGAATATGCATATCATCTAATCACCTTCAAGACCGAATATATCGTACAGAGCAACTGACTTGCCCACTCTAAGTTGATCAGAAAATTCCATCCGGAAAATTTTGGCCGGGACAGTGCCCTTTTTCTTGATCTCTCTTGTTTTGATTTTGGTCGTTTTTGTTTTGATTTTGACTTCTCTCAATTTGGCCTTGAAATGGTGTAACAATATTGTCAACAATTTGTGTGTGAAATAATATCTACCCGGCCGACCTGTCGTCCGACCGACGCGTCCAACATGTTTTTTTTACGATGTATAGTGTGCGGTAATGACTGCATCACTCACACTGGGGGTGTCTAAGGGGAGGCAAACGCACCGAACAGTTTTGGTTTTTTGCTACTACTAAGTTGAGCATCACGTTCGCTGCGCTCATGTTGCTTTAGGCCGACGCCTCAAACTATGTGTACCACATAGTTTTGGCCGACGTCCCCCAGTCAGAAAGATCTGGCGAGGATGGCCAAGATGAAGTCGGCAACCGGCACCCGGAGTAGGCGACAGCACGCCAAAGGTACTTCACGAGAGATAGGAGGGCGGCGAAAGGAGGATAATTATGTGTGTTACTTGTTGTATCTGTCAATACCTGTATTAAGCTCGGCCAGAGGGCACGGCGATGATCACCGTGGGCGCATTCTCAACAGGTTTGTTATCATGCAAGGCTATATAGTATCTAACGCTTCTAATCTTTTATTACTGTAAGTCCAGCCGCATATACCAAAAATCTATCGGAACTTCCGAGTGTAGCAGCGGCGCTCAACCTGATGAGCCTCCCTCTGATGAGCAAGGAGGAAGCTCCCAGCCTTGCACCTTCAGCGACCAATAGCGTGACTGCAGCCTCTGCGCAGATGTGGACTACGTCGATCACTACAGCGCGCGAGCATCATGGAGATGAAACAGGGATTCTAGCGTGAATGCTGGAGAGGTGCATGCTCGTGGAGCGCATGCTCGCGCGATAAAAACAGCAAAACTACTTCACCTTACCTAATGTATAAGGCATCGTGTAAAACAATTTACTTCTTTAATTGAACTGATACAAATATGCAGGGCGCGAGGTGCACGCTCTTCGTGTGCGCCAGGCAGCACACGCACGCAAGTTCAAGCCCTTTAAGGACAGATGGGTAAGATTGAATTCATATACGTTTGCGTTATGAATGAGGCGCTATACTACTCAAAATCGCTTCTTGGGATGTGTTCCGGAGTTCTCCCTGCTGCCAAGTCACGGGCAGCTATCCCTTCACACATCAGTTGGAAGGAGACGTCGCGCCTAATGCGCAGGAGTTTGTCAGCATAAAACTTGTCCGGGACTTCGTGAAATCGCCGCGCTCGCAGCAGCTCCTTTTCGAGAGCAGCATTCATCCTCCGTGCTCACTCGCTGCGCAATTCCTGCATCGCACGCTTCCGCTGGGCAACGAACTCCCGCTTTCCCACTACCTCGTCACCTTTCTGCTGCGTCACCTGCACCTTAGCAACATCGGATCGCAGTCGCTTCGGTGGTTGTTGCGAGGTTTCCAGGTGTGTAGGCGCCGCCGACTTCACACGAGGACTCGATCGCTTTAGTGTTGAGACTGCTCTTGAACCGGGCGGACAAGAGCTACGACTCTGCTGGCCGGTAGACAGAGACGCGACGTTTTTTGGAAGGTACAGGACTAACACCGGGTTGGCGTTCGCTTCGATGGAGCTGCTTGGGACTTGGAGACGAGAACACAGCGGCAGTGGGGACCGTGTTGGGGGTGTCGCTCATCAGAAATGGCTTGTATCTTGAGCACAGGAAGTTGAAAAGTGAGATGTTACCCGTAGCCTGCGATAGGGTGTTACGGAGAGGTGTGCTACGGCAGATAAGTAATGTCGGAGGAGCAATAACAAAAGAGTTCACCGTGGTTCTAATGATCGATTGTGGTCTAAAGCTGCTTGTTGCATGGATAAGATTACAAGCTGAGCTTTATGCTTGGTCGCATCCACTGCTTGTTGAATTCGCTTTTCTTCGTTAGAGAAACACGCTTGCTTTTCTGCTGAAGTCTTCAGCTGCTGTAACGTAAGCGGAGCCGTGAGTACGATGTCTTCGCGATCTCGAACTCGGGATAGTGCAACAACGTACGCGAAAGACGCGCTAGGAATTGAAGTCGAATGGAAAACCATTTTGTTACATGTCAAGCCCTGCACTTTGTGGACAGTGAGCGCGTATGCAAGACGCAGTGGAATCCCCTCTCGAAATACTGTAAGATCGCTAGCTTTCTTTCCCCAGCTCACTTTTCTTGGAACTACTGGTATTATATTTGGCACATCGTGCAAGAACGAAGGGCCATCATACAGATCAGAAATTTGGACAAGTAGAATAGGCAGATCCATGTCACTAGCAAAGATTATGTCGTAAATCACCCCAGTGGTTCCGTTACAAAGGCCTGCTGACTGCTCCATGTTAAATGTCAGGGAAACTGGAGCGCCAACAGCAATGTTGAGATGTCTCCCTACAACTCGATCTCGGTCCGAGATAGCTAATTCTGCATCTTGAAGTAGTGCATTGATCGACTCGGGAGAAATACTCCGCTGCTGTGCTAGCCTCTTTAGCTTTACACTATGCTTCGATCGAATATGAACTGTTGGGTTAGGCTCACTTGCCAAACTGCGATTGTTTGCTTCCAATACATCTGCATTCAAATACGCAATGTGCTTAGCTTGAGAGACCCAAGGAGGCATCTGATTTCCCCTGTAATATCTAGAATTGAATAAATCAACATCACTCTGAGTAGGACACTGCGTCGTAGGCGTCGTAAGGCGTCGAACCACAAGGGGTCTGCTTTACCTCGGTTCTGACTCGTTAGAGCACCTACAATCGAGATATTTGCTCAGATTTCGCGTCCTAATAATTGTGTAGGGTTGAGGATTTTTGAGATCGGCGTGGACAACGCGTACGGAATTACCGGATCACGCTGAGCTAAATCGCCGGTGAATATAATATCTCTCCCGCCGAATGGCTGGTGACTACCTCGTGGCCATATCTCGCGCATTCTTTGATCTATCCAATACATCATACCACAGGAGATAACGCTAAATTCATCAATAATAACCAGATGTACGTCCGCGTATTGCTCTTGTAGCCGTTTAAGTTTTGATGCCAACCCTTTTGAATAGTAAGCGAAGAATAAGGACTGGAAAAGGCATTTCGTGAGAAGGAACTAAGCTCCAGTGCAGAACATATCGTCTGCCCCTTAATATTAAAAGCCGCAGTGCCTTGGTGTGCCAATAGAAGAACTCGTTTCGACGTTCGCCTGGAGGATGAGTGCTCACAGAACACATTATGTACGTCCTTGACAATGTGCCTAATGAGCCAACTTTTGCCACTTCCTCCTTCACCATGAATAATCATTTGCATAGGTTCACAGGCAGTGTTCTCGCACGTTGCAAGCAATCGAGCGCGCGATTGAGCCATAGCAAACGCAAATGGGATCCACTGTGATTCATCCATTGTTTCAGTGTGTGTGTTATTCCCATCATCATTAATTGGATAGTGGTAACTACTACCTCGTGGCTCCGCGATGCTCATTCCACTACTAGCCTTTCTAGCGTCACGCTGCATCTTAACCCACGGCTTTACATATTTCTTAATAAAATCTTTAGCCAGACATGCAACGCCAAGCAGTAGTTGTCGTAAGTTATCGTTTACCTAGAAGGCATGATAGTACACGATACCGATTAATGCACGCTACAGTCATTCAGCGCAGTAGTCATATTAAATTTGGTTGACACTAGCGAACGTGAATGGCGAGTTGCAGTCGTCCAAAATCAGCTTGAATGCATTGCGCAGCCCACGCATCTCCGTCTGCAAGATGCCGTATTGTGCTTTTCAGTTGTTTTGGCAAATCGGACGTGTAAAACAGCTACCTACTAAGATGGGGCTAGGTTATCGGAGCAGATTAGCAGGTCCCTCGTAGGGAATTAGGACCAAGAATTGCTAGTCCGATGGAAGCACTTGCGCAGGTCCTACAAACAGCCGAAAGCCCGAATGTCGCCCATTTTCACGGCATTCGGTGTTTGAGGTCTTACGAAGGACTCCTACCAAGTCTTGTGGCAGGACTTTCATACGAGCTGACTCTATTACGGTGTATGTCAAACGCAGAATAAACCTATGAAAACACGATGCAGTCGATACGTTAAACACTCCAGTCGTCGCCATTCGCCTTCGCGGGTTCCGGCATTGCATGCTTCCCCAAACAAAGATTGCTTGACTTGGACTCCAACCGGAGTCCATTGAACGCAGAGACTCCAGGAGACCACTCATCGAACTCGTCCGAGATTTGCATCTCAGATTTAGAGACCACCAACCTCAGATTAACTGACCTCCAAAGTCCTACGTAGGACTCGGCAAAATGACCGAAAGGCACAATAAAACATATTCTCGTTGACACCATCGCTGTAGTAGTTTACCCGCGGTTCGTGTTCTGGTAGCTCAAAAGAAACCGTAGCAAAGCATGTGCAGCAGGTGCCAAATGTCACTTAACCCCTTGGTTCTCGACGTCGTAAGTTACGACTTTGCGAAATCCCAATGTCGTATAATACGACATAGCTCGATTAACAATAGCGTTTGGCTCGAAACGAGATTGCTATACTTTAATCAAGTTTATTTTCGTCAGCAAAAGTATAAACAAGAGAGGTAAAAATCAGAATTGCACAAAAACCCGGATATGGAGCTGTCATCAGAGATGTGTTGTGCATAAGTGAGATGTAAACGTTTTGATTGGTAAATATTGATGATTTGACGATTAGAGCCTTGCAGTCATCTCTCAACATCGCGAAAGCTGGACGTTTTGTGTATTTTACCAATCCTATTGATCCACCATCTGGGATTAGTATGGACTCGTTCTACGTTCAATGTCGTAAGATACAGCGTACTTCGCGTCGTTTTCGACTCTTATGTCGTAAGTTCCCCCCAGAGATCTCTACAATCTTATATTTCTGGCGGAACTTCTCTAGTTACGGACAGGACTTGCCTTTACAAAATCGTAGTTATTTTTTACGTCGTAAGTTACGACATAAAGTACCGTAGATTATGTGTTTCGGTGCCTCAATCTTGGGAACCAAGGGGTTAAAGCTGTAGCAGCAGCTTGTCGTCCTTGACGACTATGTTCATGGTGGTCACCGACTCGATCGGGTACTTGCCCGGCGCCGACTCGACGCAGTCGGCGCGCGTCGGGCGCGGGTTGTTCTCCGTGGACTCGAGCTTCTGCTTGCCCACGTCCACAGGCTTGCCAACGGCATTGCAGTGGTCCACCGTCATGTTGTAGTACGCCAGGCGGGCATCTCCATGCCCAGGTCGCCGCGCGCGCACCGAGGGTCTCCTCAAAGCTCCGTACGCCCTCCGGGTTCTCCACCGTAGCGGTAAACTTGGGTGCGATGTCATTGGGCTCGTGCAGCCAGGGCTTCTTGATGCACTCGTCCACGAACGAACGTCGTGCACGTCGCTGGTATTGCGGATGACGGACGCCGCGATGAAGTCGATTACGTGCTCCACGGCCCAGTTCATGCCGCGCTTGTCCTGCTCCGACAGCGCCGGCATGAGGCCAGGCAGGTCCACGCCCTGCCGACCGTGCACTGTGTCACCCAGAGCGCTCCTGACTTTTTACAGACTACCCTTTTTACAATGACATAAGGTTTCACAGAGAAAATAGCCTTAACAAGGGGTCCTAAGGATGTCCAAGTTGAGTTAAATCTTCGCATTTTAAGCTATTTCTGACATCCTCCATACTAACCGTCGCAATCACTGTTTCATAACTTCGACCCTCGGGTTTTATGGCACAATCAATTAGTGACAACAGTTCACTTCAAAATGAAACCGACTGATCCTACCTTCTATTAATAGCCAACGTGTTATTAATCCCAGTTTTTTCGCCGTTTTCGGCCGCAGTCGACGTGATTATTAATTGTGACCCTAACCGATTCTAGTAATTGATATCGACCCTTGGTAAAAAAAGTAAATCTGAGTCGTAAAAACAGCTAAATCAGAGTAACGCGCTATTATAGAGGGGACTTCGTCCCAATAACGGACACGCTGCGCCTCAGCGGATATCTGCTGCCTGCACTTGTTATTACCATTATCATCACTATTTTTGTGAGTATTATACATGTATTACTGCACAAGATATTTTAATTCTTATACTAGAGATGCTCTAAGAGCATCTCCAGCGGTTGGTCTCAAACACGGTTATAATTGATGTAGGCAACATCATCATGTTGCTATTGGTATTGATTGCAACGGCCACTGTCGCCGCCACTGCCATGCTACAGCTACTGCGGCTGCTACTGTCACTGCTACTGTCACTGCTACTGCCACTGCTTCAGCCCTGACACTGTCACTATCGCTGCTACTGCTACTGCTGCTACCCCATCTCTACTTCTATTGCTATACTACTGACATTCCACTATTGTTAAAGAAATTGCTTTTGATATTGCTACCGTTACTACTGGTCACTGTTATTGCGCGTTCTATTCGAAATTTCCGAGGTCGATTGATTGAATCGACCCAGCCGAATCACCGCAAAACGACAAACCCTCGTCAAATCATATTTTATGAAATACACAGGGTAAGACAATCACTGTGAACCCAGGTGCAGATGCAATTCCGCATTCCGCATTTCCGCACTCAATGCAAGGCAGCCGCCGTCAGGACGATCGTCTCGTGCGCGAAGCCATCGGCGAGTCTCGCCATACCCTGCGCGCGGGAATGTAGCGCGTCATGACCCATCAGAAGACCAGGAGACGCCGGATACTGTATTCGCAGCAGAGCAAGCAGCTTCTGGCTTCGCCCAAGTCCTGCGCGCCGCTGCTGGAGCTGAGAGTCAAGCAGACCGTGTCGGTCAACAACGCGTCTCAGCTGGCTCCTCCCAAGACCTTCGAGCCTCCTGGAGGAGCTGAGCACCAAGTCGATCAAGTGGTTCGAGAGCGCGCTGCTGCTGGACTCACCCCAGACCTGCCCGTCGCTGCTGGAGCAAGACCTCAAGTCTGGCACGCGGTGCTCGAGCGCGTCGCGGCCGGGGGTACATGCAAGCAGCCGCTGGAGCTTGTAATGGGCCTACATTGGCTCGCTACTACGGCTTACACGTGTGCGCACGTGTACGAGGAAGCGTAGGTTTCTTTTACTTGAGTTAAGTATACTCGAGATCCACGAGTATACTTTAAACAAGATAAAGACTTTAAGTAGCGTGTTTTGGTAAAGATGAGAACTGTTATTTGTGATTTATGGTTTGACTTCCCCTACATGTAATATTCTAAAACTAGGAATCTGCCAACGGCTGGTTGGCAGGATTCCGCTAACATGCAAGTCGCTCATTCGCTAAAAGATGCTGCTTTCAGCCAATAGGAATCCTAAACGTTTATGAACCACCCGTCGTGGTGGTCCCAAATGTATGTAGCCATTGGTGTACCTTACACCAAGGTCAAGAAAGTCTTTCGGACCTCTAACAGATGCCGTGTCTGTTTGAGTTACAAGTGGCTGTAGCCACTTGCCACTTGTGCGTGTAACCCCGTTACACCATCCCCCCGTCAACCACCATTGACCGTTTGGTCAATGCGTGACGTTTGAAGAGAGCGTGCTCGTTCCGTAACGAGTACGTCGAAGTTGAAGACCCCTGGCGCAGCAGCGGAGGATATCTCTGCTGCTGCGTATAATGCACGGCAACGTGCGAAGCGCGTCGCTGCCACGGGGCCAGGACCCACAGCTTGCCCTTGAAGTGCCTTCGGGCGCTGTTGTTAACAACAGCGCTCGTATTACTTTCCAGCGTGTAGCGCATGGTGGGCTTCGTACGCCCTCACCATGTCCGGGACGTCTTCGAGCAAGACGTTCCGCGGCTCTCATGTATCTTGGTTGGGAGGGAATCCTCTCCAACGGATACGAAAACGAACCGGTTGCCTGTTCGTTCTCGGGATACTGTGACCAACAATCCGCTCAATTATCCATCCAGTTGAGCCGTGTGCGTCACGAATTGGCGGCAGTGGTGGTGTAAACACGTCCCGTGTGTGGTCAACTTGGTGTTGACCCTGATCTCGCGCCTCCCCACGACCGAGTTCCGGTCGTGGAGTAGTTTCAGAGCGCTGAGTTCGGCGTTCTGAAGTATCCTCAGGTTGCGGTGGCCTCCCAGACCGCCTCGATCGTTCCGGCCGAGCTGTACCATTAGCTCGACCCGCTGCTCCAGCGCGACTTCGCACTGGAGAGGATGACGGCTTCCGCCGAGTCTTCTGGTTCGGTTCAGCCGAGCTAGGTAGCTCGTGCTGCAGGTATGGCTTCAGTCGTCCGACGTAGAACGTCGGATGGAGGCGCATACTAGACGGTATGTCCAGTGTGTAGGCGTTACCGTGCCGTGCCAGCGCAGTGAACGGCCCGATGAAGCGCGGAGCAAGCTTGCTTGCCCCGAAGTCGGAAACGCCATGTTTAGGCAAGTTTTGAGTAGCTAACAAGACTAATGAACCCTTCTCGATTTTATTAGTGTTGCCCCTGCCAACATTGTCTGCATTCAGCTTCTGTCGACCGACAGAAGCTGCAATAGCGTCTTGGACAAACCGAACGACGGCTTGTCTGCGCTGCACGAAGTTGATTGCGTCCGAGCTGGATAAGTTCAGCTCGTTTCCAGCAGTAGGCCCGGCCTCTGCGTCCATGTTGGCGGTGTCTGTGCCCTGCACAGACCCGTTCTTCCTATTGTTGTTGCTATTGTTGGCGTCTGTGCCCTGCACAGACGCGTGTTTCTTGTTCTTCTTGCGTGTGGTCGCGGCTGACACTGTGCAACTGTCAGCGACAGTCTTCGGCTGCTGCGTTGCAGTCGGAGATCCTCCCCCACTTAAGGAAGGAGCCACCATCCCGAGTAGACTCGAGAGGCGTGGGTGCCTCATGGCATTCACGTAAAACGGTGTATGCCCGGTCGAGGCATGTACCGAGTTGTTGATGGCGAACTCCGCCATCGGCAGGCACTCGCTCCAGTGTTGGAACGAGTGAGCGTAGCTCTTAAGCACGTCCACGAGCACGCGGTTCACGCGCTCGGTCTGCCCGTCCGTCTGCGGATGGTCCGCAGTCGACATTGAAAGTTGACTCCCAAGAAGTGTAAAAACTTCTCGCCAAAGGTGTGCAGTGAAGCGCGGGTCTCGATCCGACACAATGTCGATCGGCATGCCATGGTGTTTGAACACCATCTCGACGAGCAGACGTGCAGTCTGCTTCGCAGTCACTTCACCGGGTACCGCAGCAAGATGTACCATCTTGCTGAAGCGGTCAACAAAGACCACAACGCCCGTGTTCCCCTGACTGTCCGGGGGAAGACCGAACACGAAGTTTAAAGACATGGACTGCCAACACTCTCGTGGAGTTGGTAGTGACTGTAAGGGAGCCTGCGCGAAAGGCGCAGGCTTCACACGTTGACAAACCTCGCAAGCACGGACGTACTTGCGCACCCATTTGTACTGGTGGGCCCAGTGGAAGTCTCGCGTGAGAAGAAGGTATGTCTTCTCACGGCCCGGATGCCCCGCAGTCGGTGCATCGTGATACTCGTACATGATCCTGAGTCGCAGGTCATGATCATTGGACACGACAACTCGGTCCGCGTTGTCGTCGACAGCACTGTAGAGTAATAACCCGCCGTGCACCCGATAACGGTGTGCACGAGCACGAAGATGCTTCGGCAGCTTCTGACGAGCTTTGTCAGAAGGCGCTGAGCCGTAGGCCAGCAAGAGCTTCGCGTCCGCGTCGTGCGCGTACGGGACCTTCACGCCGTCCAACAGTGACGACGTTGGGGTGCTCGATCGCATGGCGTCAATGGAATTGACGTCGGCATCAGTCGTGGCGTAGTCAGGTCGACGAGATAGCGCGTCGGCCACCACATTGAGTCTTCCGGGTTTGTACTCGACCCGGAAGTTATACTCTGCGAAAAATGAGAGCCATCTCGCCATCCGTTGCGAAATGTGCGGCGACTTCACAGCCGTCCGCAGCGGCGCGTGGTCCGTATAGACCACGAACGGTTTGCTTCCGAGTAGATACATTCGAAACTTCGCGAGTGCGTACTTCATGGCAAGGAGTTCCTTGTCATGCACCGGGTAGTTGCGCTCAGCTGGCTTCGCGATTGGTAGTAGACGACACGATCATGACCCTCGTGATCGTTCTGCATCAACGCGCATCCGATTGCGAAGTCGGATGCGTCGCACACAACGTGGAACGGGCGATCGTGGTCGGCCACCGCCAAGATCGGCGCCTCAGCCAAGCCCTGCTTGACTGCATCAAAGGCCTGCTGACACTCAGCAGCCCGATTCCTTCTTCAGAAGTTGTGACAGCGGGCGAATCGTGCCAGCATAGTCTTTCACATACTTGTACAAGTACGTGACCAAGCCAAGGAACTGTCGCAGTTCCTTGACGTTCGACGGCGTCGGCCACTCAATGATCACTCAGGTTCAGGGCGGACACCGTTCTTCCCAACGAGACACCCGAGCACGGCTATCTCGCTCGCCCCGAAGATGCACTTCTTCAGGTTCGCATCGAGCTTGTGCTTGCGCATGAGCGCAAGCAGCTTCCGGAGATGCACC